CAGAATTCTCAGAAAAATGATCTATATGAATAAGATCAGATCTAGTCAAGTTATGAGTAGTGGATGGAATAGAAAAGAAAGGTATATGCTCGAGAAAAATAACATGAAGAGGCACATAAAATTTATGAGTTATTGGATCAAAACAACGATATTCCTTTTTACCTTCACCATAACCAAGAAAAACACAAATAGCAGATCGAGAGGACAGCTTGCTACGTTCAACATGAGGATGAAGAACGAAACAAGTACAACCCAAAACTCTAAAGGAAGAATAATCAGGGGCATACCCATACAACTTTTCGAAAGAAGAAACACCTGAAATATGAGAAGATTGAATTGTATTAATCAAACCTACAACAGTAAGAATAGCTTCACCCCAAAACTCACTAGGAGCAGAAGCAGACAACAAGAGAGAACAAGCAGTTTCAACAATGTGCCTATGTTTTCTTTCAGCAACATTATTTTGCTCAGGAGTATTTTTACACAAAGTTTGGTGAATAGTTTCATCTAAGGCAAGCAACTCATCAAATTTATTAGAAGTGTATTTTCCACCCAAATCACACCTAAAACATTTGATAACAGTAGAATGTTGAGTTTTGACAAGAGCTCGAAAGGCTGTATATATCTCAAAGAATTCAGAATAATATTTTATTAAATAAATTCAACAATAACAAGTATGATCATCAATAAAAGAAACATAATATCGAGACCCTCCTTTTGTGGCAATAGGAGAAGGTCCCCATACATCAGAATGAATCAAATCAAATGGAGAAGAAGAAACAGAAATACTTTGATTAAAAGGTAAAGCTGAAAATTTTGCCAGTTTACATCCACTACAATCAGAAATATCACAAGTTTGCAAATTTCCTAAAGCCCCTGTAGATGCCAAAAATCTCAAACGAGAAGACGAAACATGACCTAGATAAGAATGTCATAAATAAAAACTAGAAGAAGAATGACTCGAACGAAAGAAAATAAATCAACACTAGTAACAACAGCAGCACCAGCAACAATTGACACTTTTAACTCATCCAAAATATATAGTCCCCCCTTCCTACGGCCTGTCTCAATCAGCTTCTGAGACTGCAGATCCTGCACATAACAAGAAGAAGAGAAAAAGTGACTAAATTACCAGAATCACATAACTGACTAACATAAACAAGATTTAATGTGAGTTTCAGAATATGATAAACATTCAGGAGGGACAAGTGAGATGTAACAACAGAAGCAATACCTGCTAAAGGCATAGAAGTGTCATTAACAGTCATAACAGGAATAGAAGATGAAGAAGATACAAAAACAAATGATAAAGAATCTGGAGACATATGATGTGAAGCACCAGAATCTAAGACCCATATAGAATGTGACATACCTGAAGAACTATGAGGCAACTGACCTACGGAATAAGAAACAGACATGGCTTGTGGTTGTAAGGAGAGAAACTTCTAAAATTGCTCAACCAAAGTACTAGAATCGGTGAAAGGACTTGATGAAACTACTGTTGCAGTATTAGACTGTGGTGGTTTGTAACCCTGAGGTGGTCTATGAGCATTAGATTGTGACTGGTTGTCCAGCTTTCAAGCTTGAAATTGCTGCTACGATTGATTCTATTGTCTTAACTTAGGACATTGAGCCTTCCAATGACCTTTCTGTTTACAAAAATTGCACTCGTTGAAGGCAGTCCTTGTGTAAGGCTTATTCTAATTATTAGATAATGGTTTAGAAGGTACTGCTAGTACAGAAAGATTAAAAGTGGAAAGAATTCCTTTTCAGAATAAGACTTAAGCGTATTTCTTCATCCAATAACTCACTAACAACTGAGTCAACAGAAGGAAGTGGAGAACGATACTTAAACCTCTAAGTCCTTCAAAATTACTACGAAGTGCCGTTAAAAACTGTACCAACCGTTGCTGCTCTCTACGAGCAATATAGGCACCACATGCCTTTTATTCGGCCGATTCTGTAAGAGCCAATTGATCCCAAAGATCTGTCATAACAAAATAAAACTCTTGAATACTTATATTCTTCTGCTGAAAAGCTCGTATGTCATTCTTCAATTGATATTGTTTTGCAAAATTTGATTGAGTGAATAACCTTTGCAAATGATCTCAAACCTCCTTTGTTGTCTCATATTTTGCCAACTGTGTACCTATAGAATGCTCAACAGAATTGTTAATCCAAGTAATAATTTCTACATTGTTTGCTTCCCAGGCATCTATCAAAGTAAAGTTCTCATCACATAACTCCAATACAAATAATTCTTTCCATCTAACCTTACACTCACAGACTAGAGAGAATCGTCTCTTTCAGTAGCCATAATCAAAAAACAAAGAAAACCAGTTGGATCCGTGTAAGCTGTGTTTGAGATTAAGCCTTGTCCCATGAAACTTTACTCTGATACCATGTTAAATAATCTAATAAAAGATAAGTACAAGAGATAAGAAAAGAAGAGACTAGAATTTTTTGATACTGCATTATTCAATTGAATACAAGAAGTATTTTAATCTAAATACAAAGAGACTATATATAGGCTAAACAAAGAGAAATAAATGACTATTCTACCCTTAATAAACAAAATAACCCTATATTTCTTAACAAATAAGACCAGACAACTTGATATTAAGTGATCATTTAACTAATTTTACTTTTGTCATATTCCTTAATATCTCAACCAAACATATAAAAGTATAGATACTCGGGTGTACAAAATACTTTTCAGAAATTTTAAATTCACCGCTAAAGATGACTTTGAAATCAACAAATATTTTAAATTAACTTTCAAACTAGAGTATAAACGTGAGATTTTACCTTGTCTTTCCATAAATTGAAAACCGCCATTAACAAGTTAGTTCCAACGATGTGAATTAGAATCAGCCTTAGTTGGTGCAGCGTATTCTTATTTTCCTGTTGGTAAAAATATAAATAAGAAAATGTCAATGACCTAAACAATAACACACATTTACTGTATCATAATTGACAATTAAAAAGGTTAAGACAAACTTACTTTGAGATTTGTATAGTTTTTGGCAATTAAAACCGCCTTTGAAGGATGTACAAAATTTAAAAGCACAGATATTTGGTCATCTGGGATTAGTTAAGAACCTGAAAGTTTAAAGCATGCACAAATAATCTTTTCATCTGAAAAATGACCCTAAAATTTTGAAACTTTATAAAATAAAATTACGAGTGCAACATTGGTGGGCTCGGCTGACCCGAATTCAACCCAAAAAAAATTAGTATTTGACCGAGAATTAATGCTAGTATATCATAATTTTTAAAATTTTATAATTGTAGTCATTAGATTGTCAGTGAATCATAACATTGAATACATTTTCATATCAATTCAATAGTTATAATACATTAAGTCCTCAAATTATATCCGATAGTATTATTGTTTTTTCAATTCTAATCCAAATCAAATCCGTGTGAAACCTAAAGGGTTAATTATAAAATGCCTCGTCAAATTTGAATCAAGTTGTAATCAACTCCCTTAAGTTTGAATTTCAACAAATTATTCCCTTAAAGTTTGTACATTTTTCAATTATCTCAAATTGTTAGTTTAGACAATGAAAAATAATGGGCATTAAGTAACATAATCTCATATTTATTTAAAAGAGAAATCACCTTGAATTCAAATTTTTTTTCTCCCATCAAAACTTCTCATTATTCTTCCCAAAACAAAATAATTCGAAGGGTAATCTTCTCTCTTTTGTAGAATTTTAGATCATATAATTTACAAATAAATGTTTTCTGTCATTTTTCAGTGTCAAAATTAATAGCTTGACTTAATTTATAAATATTTAAACTTTGAGGAGATAAATTATTAAAACTCAAATTATAGGGAGTTGATTGAATGTGACATATACTTGAAGGAGGTATTTTATAATTAACCTAAATTGAACCCAAGTTAAAAATTTAAATAAAAGTAATACTTGAATCGAAGAGTTTTGGCGAACATAGTTGAAAGTTTTATAACTTAGTTTAAGTTTAATTTGAGCTGCATGCACTCTTAAATAGAAAACCCCAAAGAAACAATGCAAGGATTTGCTTACCTATAGAACAAACGATTTCAAAACTTATTACGTAGCAAGGAAAAATTTGAGCATTCATGCAAGCACCCCAGATTATGTATCTTCTAGGTGATGAAAGATTATCTACTCCAGAGTCGAATTCCTTGGAACTTGGTTGAAACTGTTTCCAATTACCGCAAAGCACTTCCCTTTTACCCATGATTACGATACACAACAGTAGATGCCTTATTCCATTCTCATCTTTCACTGAAGACAACGCACTGCAAGATATAAATTCAATCAATACCAAGAACAGGCAAAGATGTCAGATTTGGACGTTGCCTAACCGAGATCATAATGAAAACTCAAACCCTTACTCAACTTTAAGTTAAAAAAAAGGGTAAAAAATTTAGATTTAATATAGACTCTTTCAATGGAGAAATCCATATTTAATGGATGACAAACACAAATTTAGAAGAGTAAAATACAACTACTAGATTTTTAAAAAAGAATGAAATCTTAGACCATCTTCAATAGAGATCCAAACTCTTACCTAAACTTGAGTAAAAAAAAATTGGTAAAAACTTAGTTTGGTATACATCTCTCTAATGGAAAAATTCAAATTTAAAGGAAGAGAAACCTAACTTTAAATGAGAATAAATCCAAATTTAAAAGAGATAACTATGACCATTGGTTGTTTAAGGAAATGTGGAATCTTACCAGTGATAAAAAGAGTAAAGATTTGAGTCTCACTTGATTTGATATGAGTTTGAGTATAGTATTAGAGAAGATTTTTAAGTGTTTTTTTATGCAAACTTTAAATTTGATTATAAAAAAAAGGGTGAGGTTGAAGATGCTGTTTACAAAGTTGTTTTTGCTTACCTATTGATTGAGGAATTTCCAGGAGAAAGATAGACGCCAAAGCCATACGATTCACCGATTTTGGGTTGTCTGCATTGCCTGAATCCATGAGATACAATATCGCAAATTTCATCCCTTGAAGAACCATACCAAGCATTTCTGTAAATCAGCATCCCCACCACATTTATTTGCCACAGCATCAGAGAAACTCTGAAACATTACAGATCGGGCTCGCTTGATTAAATTACCAGAACATTTGTTTATATGTATAGCCACAACATTCGTGTATTTTCTAAATGCTCCCATACCCATGAGAAAGCGTTCCTTGATCTTGTTATAATGCCTATCTCTTTCCTCTAGTTTGAACATCCCATTCCGAGTGAAAGCCCCAAATCCCTCAGAACCAAAAGTACTAGTCGAATCACTTTCCGAATCAGCCATCACAATTTCACCATCATCCACAGTTATCGAGACTTGTTCGTCGTTTTGAACGTTCTCCATTTGTTCTTTGAATGAACAAATGAGAATAAGTTCGAAAACAAACAATTCAAGAATTACGGTTCTTGGTGTACGAAAAGCTTGTGTCTAAACTCTTGAAAGTTGTTGGCCTGTGAAGAAAATTTTCTTGGAGAGGTGGACAAGAGCTGAAGGGGAGAGAAGAAGACCAGTTTATATACGTACTTGTCTGAGAGAGAGATAGAGTCAGAGAGATAGAGAGATGAAACCGACTCAATTCTGTTAGGATTCGGGAGTGTTTTGGCGGTTTATCCCAAAACAAAGTTTTCTTGCCCCCTTGTCCAAACAAAGAAAGGGAGGGTGATAGTTTTTCTTGTTATTCCAGAATTTGATTTGAATGGTTGAAAATACCATAATACCCTTGATGTTACATGCCATGCCAGGATGTCGAGCGGGTAGTTATAATGGGAGATTATTTGATGCATTTAACAGCAGACATGATTTCTCATATGAATCGTTTCAAATTGTTTTATAGTCCTTAAACCTATCTACTTCTAAATCAGCTCACCACATGAGCTAATCTGAGCTCCCAATTCAGATCAATTCCACCCTGCACCAGTCAATTTGTGCGCAGTGGTTGATCAATGATGGATCGGGGTTTGAGGGCAGCCTCGATTGCCCCAAAGGATTCTATTATTGGATATCTGATAAGAGACATTTTTATTGCTACTTTGCTACTATGAGGAGAGCATGCTCTCCAAACTGATAAAACAAATGCAAAAGGTAAAGATTTCGAACTTAAAAGTCCATCGAATTTAAAGAAAACTCTATGTGAACATGGGCCTAAAAGAGTGATGATGTTGTTGTATCTTGTATAGTATCAGTAGGAATGGAAACTAATGAAAAGATAAACATTCATGGATCAAGAAGATAAATTAGTTCACCTTTCCAGTGTAATTGCCTGCCTTCATTGTATAAAGAAAGGCAAGGAAACAAGGTGCTTCACAAGTCATCTGAGATACTTGTACTACACGCGCGCACACAAAAGAAAAAAACAAGAGGGTAAAGCCAGTCATGTAGCATTCTTTAGTTGAAGTACCCCATCCAGTTTCCTCAATGAGTAGGCTTAATCCATCCAGTCCCTCAACTACTAAGCTTGATCAATGAAGCCTTCAAATGATTTGGTTGAACTTCCGCTCTGTTAGCCTTCCAAAGGAAAAATAAAGTCAGTGTATAACCCAAGATGATTCCATAATTCTCTTTTTATTTCACTCGCCTGGGGGGTGAAAGGGGATGGTAAATGAATCTTTTTTCATGTTTTACATAGAATTCCTATGAGGTTGTCATCTTTTGGGCTAGATTTCTGCCAGTGATTTTGTTCATTATATTCGTAGACATTTTAGTGATTATTTGATGTTTTCATTTCAAATTAACAATCATGCCTTCAAATTCTATGTAGAGTGACTCCATTATCAGAAATCTCCTGAAAGCTAACTAATATGGAATCTCTAGTCCTAATATAGACCATGTTAAGAGTTTATGAAAGCTCAATCAGTCTTACCTCTACCACGAGAATATTCGACGCCATGCCATTACATGTTGTAACATTGGCATCGATTACTTGAAGTTCCAACGAATTCAAAGCTTCCATCAACACTGCAAACCCTCCTCGCTTGTGCTTGCTAATCAACTTAAGAAGGAAATATCTTGCACCAATCTGGCTTACTTCCACTGTTGATGATACCTAAACAAAAATAAATAAGGAATCCCATGAAGTATTTTCAGTCATGAAATGTACTATTGAAGTTATAAGCATACTGCTAGCCTGCTTTTACCAAGAAATTGTAATTATAATCAGAATTGGGGGTATAAAACGACGTTTTTATGTGATCTTTATACCTCCAGTTGTTTATTTTCACCGAAACTGGATGAACTTTGGTTGTTCTTAGTAGCAGGAGGAATTTGAGTGCTTTCAGGTGCCTCAATTAACTTTGTGACCACTACTTCAGCATTCTTCTTATTACAGTCATCCTCTGTCATCTCCCTGAGCTCACCTTCAAGTTTATCGACATTCTTCTGCAATTCCTGTATATGCTCAATCGCGTCTCCCAGAATTGATGCCTTATCCATCTGTAAATGTTGTTATGAGATAGAGGGTGAGGTAAATAAATGCAGATACACACAAGTATGATGTCGTGGCATTTGACAGAAGCAAAGAGAGATGAACCTTGGAAATCTTCGGGACTAAAGCTCGTAAAGCAAAGAGACCATCTTTGATTCTGTTCCTCCTGTTTCTCTCTGTTTCCAGATTCTTTGACTGGTAAGGTTGCCTTTGAGTCTTCTGCCCGGCCTTCAAATTTTCTGTCCTAATCGGATGATTGGCAAACCCTGAAACAAAATTAATCTCTTGCTTTGTTGCAAAATTCACAACACAATTGGGCTTCCTAGTCTCTGAATTTTTTCCAATCGGTTGCTCTGTTGATGAGTGTTCTTTTGAAGGATTAGAACCAGTTGATGATCCTTCTAAGCTAGGAAAGGTACTGGGTGGGGATACTGTAGGAACAAGTTGCAGCCTTGGATTAAAATTCATATAATGATGGGAGGCTTGCCAATTGTTTAAACATTCATCAAGGAAGGGCTGGTGAGGCTGTTCATTGGCATAGCTCTGTGCTGACATGGCTTCCTCTTCAACAGAAATCTTGTACTGAGTTGCAATGAACTCTGTTATCTTGTCATCTTTAGGTACCTTGAGCAATAAAAGAATTTCTTTACATTGAGAAGAAAATGACAAGTACCATGTCCAGATAACAGCTAAACGAGTCTTACTCTTACCATCTTTGAACTGAAGAGCTCAATAAGCCCACCACCAACTGGAATCAGAACTTGGGTTCCAATTGAGTCCTGCCAAGAGAAAATTGTATTCTCCAATTAGATGACTTGCATAAAGGATCAACCATGCCATAGCGATGGTGAAATCTTTTCAAACTACGAGTCATGGGTTTTCAATACTAAACAAGTAAGTATGCAGGAAATTAGTGGAACGCGTAAGCTCCCAATGAGGTGTTTGTTAAAAATTATTGAACCATTAGATAAGGAATTTAGCATTTAGCATAGGCATGTGTAGAGAGAGACCAATAGTCGCGACAACTAACAATTAGTTGATTCACAAAACAAACTTGATGTTTTGCAGGATGCTGCATTGTATGCTTCAGATTGCAGCACCCTGGCTCTAATTAATATAGCTGTACTAAAAGGTTGATTCCTGCTCTATTGGATATCATTCAGTAGGCCATTGTTCTCATTCAAAATTTGGGCCGACCAACTCAAACCTATATCTTTTTCTGTTCTTGGACAACACCCTCAAATGCATACCATAGAACCAAAAGATTCAATATGTAGAAGCATAAACGTGTGTCTCTTCGTATGCATGTGTGTGTGTGTGTGAGAGAGAGAGAAAGAAAGAATTAAGTACCCACCAGGGAATTATTTGGATTGGAGGTATTGGCATGACTAAGCCACCTTGGTTGGGTTGATATAACTACTTCGCCATGAATCCTGCTTTTAGTCTCACTTATTAGAAATTTTGCTATATTGCAGCAACCTAATCAATTAAATCTAGAAACATAGGTGTGTAGACGTGGAGAGAGAGAGAGAGAGAGGTACCCAGAATACAAGGGGATAGAAGAAGGAAAACTGGCTAGTTCTTCACAAGCTTTAGTTCTTATGGGATGTTTAATGTAGTCATCCCTGCATAGAGGAAGCAGATGTTTCTCCACACAGTTTTCCTCCTTGACAGTGACATGGTCACCAGTTCCACCACCACAACAACAGTCCATCCATTTAATAAACCTACACAACCATTTAATGGAATAAGAAACTATAGATTGACGTTGATAAAGGTGAAAAAGACATTAATATGGGTTATGTGTGGCAAATTAGCTGTTAGCACCTTGAAGGATCATCCCCCAACTTCCAAACCACACAGTAGTCCCATGCCTTAGTCTCAACAAGGGGTCTTAGCCACTTCACTGCCCCCTCCAAAGCCCTCATACCTTTTCCTTTTTGAACACTTCTCTGCTACAATGTGTCTCTCACTGTCTTTTCTACAACGATTTTCTGGGTTACCTTTTAAACTACCTCTGAAATTTCCACCACGTCTAGACGACAATCCTAACAAACTTTTCAGTACAAGTGTCCTAGAAAATATTTGTTCAGAATCAGATACCCTCTCTCTCTCTCTCTCTCTCTCTCTCTCTCACACACACACACACACACACACACACATATTGACAAACGACTGGGATGCAATTCAAAACTAGAAGGGAATGGTTCAAAAGCTCAAGTGAAAAGTACTGGTAACTGCACATGACCATGACGATTCAGTCATATAAATCCATATTTAAAAAAAATTATGATTCACATAAGTTAATCTGCACAACCTGTTGAACCAAAAAAGTAGAAAATCAAGGGTTTGTTACCCTGCTATGGTATGAAATTTTTTCAAAAAATGTTCCAAGAAATTTCTGTCCTTTGATACCTTTAGAATTACGCGTGGTTAAAGCACCGATATCAGCACAGGAATATTTGCACGGCCAGAATATTTGTCCTTTGCTCCGGCAGCCAGAGGGATGAATACTGATAAGCAGTTGCTTTGCCCGACCGACAAGGATGTGGGCCGATACGTAGGCCTGACCCATTGCAACGGGCTAATGAGGAAAACAATTTTAAAAAAAATATGAAATTAAATTTTTTAGCTGAGTTTGAATTTTTGAGTTATTTATAAAAATGTCATCTAGAAAATTAAGAAATAAATACTAAATATTGTAACTTTTTTACATTGAAAAACTCTCAAACTCTTAAGGGGTGTTTGGGACGCCAGATAAAGGCGGATATCAAGGAGGATTGAATTAAAAATATCTAAGGGATCCACTTATCCTTAATTTGACAACAAAATTGAGATGGGGATATTCGTTGCCCTCAAAAACTCTGGGCCGTATGTTTTGAGAACAAATATCCCCTCTGAAACGGATTTTCAAATCCTACCTAAAGTTTGAGATTGTTAGAGAAGCCAACAGGATATCTACATATTTACCTCAATGTCCCAGTACAGTAGAAAACAAGGGTTTTTATTCCCTTCTTTCCATTTTCACCCACTGGTCCCCCCTTTTGCTACAAACGGTGCTCACCCACAAGTCCCCCCTCACAAGTGAACGACGCTCACCCGCCAGCCCCCCCTCACAAGTAAAGGTATGCCCCCCTCTCCCTCTCCCTCCGGGCTTTGTAGCCATGGATAGAAACCAGAAAAAAATCTAAAAAATTCAGTCTATATAAATCGAAGCCTAAAGCACCCGTTGACGATAACGAAATTCAAATCACTTCAGAGGTACTGGTTCTCATACGCCATTGAATACCCCATTCTCCCTTGAAGGTGAAATCGTTCGCAAATGCCTCGCTCGTATCGAACAACAGGTCTTACAATCTCTCTCTCTCTCCCTCCCCCCTCTCTCTTTCTCCATCATTATACGTACATATTTATGATGTGCAATTGTGTTTGTGTTTCGTGATTACTATGGCGAGTTAATTGATCCGATTTTTGGGTTTCCCTCCAGAAACTATTTAAATTAACCATTTTACTGATTCGTGAGCTTTTATTCAAGTGTTAGTAAGCAAGCTTATATGCGTTGCAGCCTCTTTGGCTGTCTTTTTTGCGGATTACTTATGTATGAGTATAGAAGAACACTGACATCTTGTATAGTGAGAGAGATCCAGAATTATATAGAAATTGAATGATTGTCTTGTCAAATTAGGCAATCGTTGGATCAAATAATTTGTAGTTGTGAACTAGTTGCCTAGTGAAGCTTTCAAACAGGTTTTGCTTCTTATAAGTTATATATGCGGAGATGGCTTCCTAGAAACTAGTTATTTAGGTAGTTTTCCATGCCTCATTTGTCTTGATTATCCGTAACAATAGTGTGTCTCTATGTTTAAATCCTGCTTTATGTATATGTTCTTTTAGTTTAAATATTTTGGACTTAATTGTTGTACTATTTGCTTCTTAATCACATAAGAATTATACGTTTCTATAATTTTTAAGCATTTATGTCTTTGTGAACCTACACCTATGTTTTGTTTTGATATCAATTTCACAATTATTTCATGTGTATAGAGAAGCGAATGTGGTTGTTGATGTTTTGGCTAACAGGACTGTGAAGGATCAGTTCAGTTCGTATTTTTCATGTGTTGATTTGTTGCCGAAAATGGTCAAGTTGATGCAGTTGTTGGATCAAAGAAGGCTGCCAGTTGGTAGAGTCACAAATGTGCTCATTTTTTATGATAAAGGCCAAGACAGATTGACTGTATAGGGATTTTGGATAATTTTTCTTTTAAAGAGAAGTTTTGTTTTTTGTACATATTTTGAAGAAGGTTTGGATAGGGTTTTTCCCTTTTGCTTCTTGTAATTTTTTTGGTGATTGGAAATAAAATTTTCATCTTTTTTTTTTTTTTTAAAAGGGTTAATTAATGTTATGGTTTATGTGAATTTGGGTTGTAAAGTATTTTCTTGTATATTCTGATTTTTTTTCTAATTTTTTTAATATCTTTTGTGGATGAAATATCTATGTGATCATTCAAATTGTTGGTAGTTCTAATGCAAAAAATTGAGAAGTTCCTAGAAACAAGATCACCTGATTAACTCATATTCAATTTCCAGGTGGTTTGGGACTATTGTGTTTTGTTACTACTGTTTTTATTGTCCGTATTCCTGCACTAAACTATCAATTTCGTTCTCATTTTCCTATCCAAAGTATCACGACAATTTGCCACAACTCATTATAAAAGTATACTTGCAGTTTCCATCATATTGCTCTTTTCCTGTTCATCTGAGAACTAGAATTCGTGCCTTGCCCCTTGCAGGCCACATTCAGAAAACAATTTGCAGTTTTCCTTCATACATGCTCATTAATGATCTTTCTCTGTCAGTTTTCCTTCATACATGTATATATTTTTTCTTTGTAACATAAGTTTTGTTCTTTTTAACATGTTTTGAAGGAGGTTTGTATACGGTTTCTCTCATTCTGGCTTCTTGTATTTTTTTTTTGGTGATTGAAAATAATTTTTTCTTCATTTAATTTTTAAATAAAAAAACCATTAACTACTACTATGGATCATGTGAATTTAAGTTATGACGTAATTTTTCCTATATTCAGGCATTTTTTTTTCCTAAATATTTTAATATCTTTGGCGAATGAAATAAATTTATGAGCGTATTATAAAATCAACGTGTAATAATAGGTATTTGGTGAATACATAAGTTCTTAAATCTTTTACAATATTAAATTGGTAACCAACAATGATAAAAATAAATAAATAAATAAAGTTGTAATCAACAATTCTCAAGCTAAACATGAGATAGGATTGAATATGATTCAATGGTAAAATGGTTCATTTATGTTAAAAGTATTAGATGCTTAATAAAAAATTGAAATTTGTCCATATCTCAACCACATTGTAATGTACTATTCAAATCTGAGATTGAATAACACAATTTTCTTTTATCCCCCTACCATATCCGGCCCATTGAAATTTCACTGGACTGGTTTGGGATATAGGTGGATAACACTTGTTGGATTGGATAAAAATATCTGAGGGCCCACACATCCCAGCTTTGGGTTGTCCAAATAGGATTGAATTTTCGTTGGGTTGAATTACTTGGCCCGTAGTCAATTAGGTCCCAAATCCCATCTGATCCGGATAAATGAAACCCAGCTGGACTTTGGGATTTCTAAGCCCGGTGGATTGATAAAGTACAAAATTACGTTATTACCCTTTAAGCAGTAAAGCACGAATGTTTGTTTATTCCTTCTTCCTCCATAGGCCACCACCGCCATTCTCTCTCTTTCTCCTCTCCGCCGTCCACACCTCAGCTTTGTCTTCCAAATCACTCCTCCAACCCCATTCTCTCTTCCCTTGCACCAAAACCCATCAACCCGTTTTCTCTCTCCCCTCCAATACTAGATCCCACCAATCCATCTCCGTCGTCCACGCAGCGGAACCTGCCAAAACCCTAGTCATCACCAAAAAGACTCCCAAATCATTTGCACCACCGTCCACGGCGGCGCCATCAAGGAAATGGGCAGTTGACAGGTGGAAATCCGAGAAGGCTTTGCAACTTCCAGAGTACCTAGATGAAGCTGAGCTTGAATTTGTGCTTAAGACCATTGAAGCCTTCCCTCCAATCATTTTTGCCAATTATGCGAGGAGTTTGGAGGAAAAGCTTGCTGGTGCGGCGTTGGGGAATGCTTTTTTGTTGCAAGGAGGGGATTGTGCCGAGAGTTTCAAGGAGTTCAGTGCTAATAATATTCGTGACACTTTCAGAATAATTCTTCAGATGAGGGTTGTTCTTATGTTTGGTGGACAAATGCCTATTATTAAGGTAATGAATCTTACACCTTTATATGGATCTCTATATAATTTTTTTCCTTAATTATGTGAAGATATATGCAGATGGAATGAATTTAAGTTGTGGGTATTAATTAATTTTCATGGGTTTCCAAAAATGTTGGCCTGCTTCATTGATGTTGAATTAATGGGTTCTTAGATTTATAGTTTTTTTATACATTTCTTTCTGTTGGCATTATGGATTGAGATGAAAAGTAAATAAAATTTTTGCAGAATTAATTTTGGTCCATCACAAGGGTTTTCAAGAGTATTATTGGTCATATGAAAATTGGGAACTTGAGAATTGTGATTTTGAATTGTGGGCTTGATTAATTTAGGTGGGAAGAATAGCGGGTCAATTTGTCAAGCCGAGATTAGATCCATTGGAGGAGAAGAATGGAGTGAAGCTGCCAAGTTACAAGGGAGACAATACCGATGGTGATGCTTTTAATGAGAAATTGAGAATTCCGGACCCTTAAAGGATGATAAGGGCTTAGTGCCAAGCTGCGGCAACTCTGAACCTTCTTAGAGCCTTTGCAACTGGAGGTTATGTTGCAATGCAGAGGGTCACACAGTGGAATCTTGATTTTGTGAAGCACAGTGAGCAAGGAGATAGGTTTGTATAAGAAAAAGGGATATGGATATACTTTTGACATAATTCCATTTGCATGTGCTTTTTCGGGCTTTGATTATGTGACTATATTCAGACTAGACACTGAAAAACAAGTGAATGCATGAGCATTCTTATATTTTTCATAATATTAAATTGGTAACTAACAATGATCAATAAGTAAACAAAAAAAAAAAAAAGTGGTAATTAACAATTCTCAAGCCAAAAAGGAGAGAGGATCGGATAGGATTTAAGGGTAAAATGGTCAATTAATGTCAAATGTATTAGATGTTTAATAAAAAATTGTAGTTTATCCATATCCCAACTCCATCATAATGCACTATCCAAAACAAGGATTAGATAACACAATATCCTTTTATCCTCTTACAAATCCGGCCCATTGAGATTTCACTGGACTGGATTGAGATTTAAATCCAAGTCAGTCCAGTCCATCCATGAATTGTCAAAAACACCCTTAAATCTTCACTTAACCAATGCAAGATGATTTTTTTTTAATATCCCAATTTCGATTAAAAAGATTAAAACCATGGTATTTAGGTCAATTAAATGGAGTAGCTTGTGGTCCATTTCATCTTCTATGGATGCAACAATTTCTTGCTTTTCAAGCTTGATCAATTAGACAAAATGTTTGAAGATGATCATAAAGTATAATGTGGGGTACGAATCACAATACCCCCTTGGGATTTTCTTTAATTCTTTTCGACGATGAATAACTGACATAAATCCAGAAAAAGTGTACTAGAAAAGATTCAAATCCAAGGAAACACTTGTATACCATGAGGAAATGCAAACATGTTACACTTCACAATCCCATACATAACATGCATATATTTTCCAAGAGAAATACAAAAGAAAAGGCTAATTTGATCCTGATAACAAAGCCAAAAAACAGAGAGGAAGTAAAATGAGTGAGTTCCTCATTCAGTAGTGTCATGCACCAGCTCTGAATTCATTATCATCATTTCTCCTCTGATCTCACCATTTCCAGATTGCATAGACCCTTTTCCTTTTCCATTAGTAGCCATTTTTGCAGTTGGATTTCTCTTCTGATCGAACCCAAATTCGATATCCCCTTGATCTCTTGATTGGAAGTTGTGATTTGGCCTGACATCCCCCTCTTTCGGGCGAGACCCATGGTTTTGCTTACCCTTCAGATGGTGGCCGTGGCCGTTGCCGTGGCTGTGGCTGTGGCCGTGGCTGTGGCGTGGCGTCGGCTGCAGAGCCTGCCAAGAAAGCAAGCAATGGCAGATACAACAACTATCACTGCCAGGACTATGAAAACTGCCCCAAACGATCCATTCGAGTGGGATGAAGGCTGTCTAGTGACAGTATTCGGGTAAACCTCAACTGGTTGTGACATTTTTCGGATTTGGTTGAGAGAAAATGGGACTCAGGGTGTGATATAAGTGCTATGGAGGTCCTGTTCTTTGAGTGTGAACAAAGGCAGGCTTAGGTGAAGTAATGGAAGAAGCAAGAACAATAATGAGCGTGAGGAAGGGTTATGAAAACAGTGGGTTTGGTTCTAATGTGGGGTTTTTGAATTCCCAAAAGTGGTAGCTTTCTTTAATAAAGAGACAACTAAAGATATTCCTCCTGTTCTTTACTGCGGAAGAAGGGGTATTTTTGTTGCTTTGTAAAGAGAGAAAGTAAGACTTTGGCTCCTTTGGTCTTCGGACATCACAATCTCAAGTCCCCAGAAAAGAGTCTACTTAATTTTGCCTGGTGCTTTCGCTTTACTGTGCACTTGTTGCAATGAGATCTGCTCTGGTGCAAAGCTATATCCACATAGGAATTTGGATCAAAGTTAACCCATCATAGTTGCACAACGAGAATAGTGTAGTTCAGTTGTATAATAGGCTTCGTTAAGTATATAAATGATATATCCCTATCCCAATCCCAAAGAAAGTTTGGCCAAATTTAACTATCCAAATGCATAAATTTATGTGTATATATATATATACACACACATACACACAATTGTGGGGCCAGCCCATTTTTTCCCCTGGATAATGGCCACTGTCTACACTACCATTTTCCTATGCAGGAGCTTATCAAATTAATGGGGACACACACTGCTTGATTTGCGTCTTTATTCTTTTCTTTTTGCAAAGAATGATTCTGCCAGAAGTGGGTAGGGTTCAGTGTCCTCCAATGATTATATCATTGAGTTGCTGTAATAATGTTCACCTATACATATAATAAGGTTGGCTCAACCTCGTTGAGCTGAAAAGAAGTGGGCAGCCATCGAAAAGGCTTCTTCTGCTCATGAAGCTTGATGCATTTGTTACTGGTGCTGTTGCGTGGCTCCACTTAAGAGGCCACACTAATATTAAAAGTAGCAATTGGCATTGAACATGTGGCAAGGACAAGGAGATGAAGCTCAGGCGCCACCCTTTGACAACAAGGGGAGCTCTAGGGGATTGAAAGAGCACATCACGTACCTCTCTTCTGCTAAGCCAGAGCACTTGGGCATCAAAATCCAACAAAACCATAAGCCGAGCAATTGGACTAGAAAACTCGTTTTCGCACCAACTTGCTTTCCTGCCCAAAGACTCATTTGCCTCTAATTAATTGGTTGCTTGGTCTGACCCTTCAATTGCCTGCCAAAATTCAATAGAAAACATGGTTTTATCATTTGGATTTATATAGCAAAATACAAAGATTAATAATGACCCATTTGAGCCAGTCCAATGGGTGACCTGATGGACATGCTAGGGCTACCCTACAAGTTTGTTCATTCCTTACATGATGACTTTTGGTGATTGTTCTGTATTAGACCACCCTAATTTTAGTTGGTTAAAAGTATTGGCAATTTGGTGGGACTCACACTATAATTGCACCATAATTGTGTTTTTTCATACATGATGAAAGGCTGTGAACCTACTAACCACAGTTCATTAGTGGGGGGGTTGAGCAAACTTTCAATCCTCAGCTGTTTGCTAGAATTTTGTTGCTATTGCCAACCGGTATAGTTTAGCTAAAAATCCAAATGACTGAAAGAAAACAAGTGAATAATGTTAACCCGAATTTGGTGTTAAGCCTAGAGTGATGAACTAATCTCTGCTAATTGATTTCTCTCGGGGGAAAAAAAGTTGAGGGTACAATTCTAACTTGGATTTTTTCGCCTGAATTGAAGTTCTTGTATGTTAAAGAAAATCCAAGGAAAGAATCGAAAACTTTTCGATTGTTGGGGTGCAATTGTGCAAAGCATTATCAAAACAACAACGTTTGAATTCAACTTGTATATTAACTTAAATTTTAATATCAATCTCACTTTCAACTTTCCATAACACCAACATTTTGAAAGTTCAAAGGCCACATCTTGAAACGGCTACTTCAATGAAACACATCTCAAGAGAAAGCAATGCAAACCCAAAAGAAACTATTTCAAACCAAAATCAAACCAACTTCCAGAACCTAACACTTCTTTGTATTTCATTGTATAAATTCCCATACAATCTATACTTATATCCATCAAATACTCAATTTTCATTGTACTCTTCCCCAACGGTGCTAATGAGAATGAAAACTCAGCCCCTTTTGTCTCTCTAGTCTCTCTCATCATCTTCCTCTTCCTGCATTCAACAGGTATCACCCAGACCCATTTGTAACCAGAACATTGTAATTTAGGCTTTCTGTTTTGCAGTTTCTTACTTTCTTTGACCATTTTGATTTTCTTGGTTTTTGCAGCTGCTGCACCAGTCGGAGTTTGCTACGGCAGGGTCGCAAACAATCTTCCTCTGCCCTCCGACGTTCTCAGCCTTATCAAATCCAACGGAATTACAAGAATTCGCCTCTTCAAGGCTGACCCAGATGCATTAAAACCCTTCTCTGGCACCGGAATCGAGCTTATGATCGGTGTCCCCAACGAGGCCCTACCTTCCCTCGCCAATGGCATTGTAAACTACTCTCTAGAATGGCTTCAATCCAACAACTTTGCCCACATTCCTACAAATCAAGTCCGGTACATTGCCGTTGGCAACGAAGTCTTCTTAAAAGACTCATTTTACACACCACATGTGGTCCCAGCCATTGGGAACTTATATCAAGCACTTCATATGCTAGGCGTTGCTGACACAATCAAGCTCTCATCATCCCATGCAGCGACGATATTATCCAGTTCATACCCTCTTTCCGCCGGAGCTTTCGACCCCAGTCTCCTGCCGGCCATGGTTCCTCTCATGCAGTTCCTGCGTGACACTGGATCGCCATTGATGGTCAATGTGTACCCATATTTCAGCTACATAACAACCCACATGATGTCTCACTGGACTACGCTTTGTTCAGATCAATAAACGTCGAAAATGACAACAACTTGGCTTACAACAATATCTTCGACGCAACCGTTGATGCATTTGTGTATGTCATTGCCATGGTGAGAGAAGGGTTTGATGGGATTCCAGTGGTGGTGACGGAGACAGGTTGGCCAACGGTGGGCGGCGAAGCGGCGAGCGTTGAGAATGCGTTGGCTTACAATGGGAATGTTGCGAGACGGGCGTTGAGCAATGTTGGAACACCCAAAAGGCCTGGGGTTGGATTTGAAGTGTTCTTGTTTGATTTGTTTGATGAGAATGAGAAGGGTGGGGTGGAGTTTTAGAAGCATTTTGGACTTTTTGGAGTCAATGGGGTGAAGTCCTATGAACTACGTTTCAACTAAATTAGCCTTAAATCATAATGTGTCATTACCTTAATTGTTTTTTTTTTTTTTTTTTTTTTTTGGGGGGGAGGAGGGGATTGGGTGTTGTACTTTTCAAGTGGAATTAACGAAATTCTTCACTTGACTTTTTAGGAGATTATTCAATTTCATGAAAAAAAAATTTTCTTTATTACGGAAAAAAACAGTCATAACTGCTTCACTTATGTATCTGTAATATAAGAAAAAGAAAGAAAGCGGTAGATGAATTTGTAATTGAACTCATCAAGATAGAAATTGAACTAAACGCCGGTGAGAAGGTCCACCGTGGGTAAACCTTCATCTATTGACCAATTTAGATCTAGGTCATCTTTGTCCAAAATCGATAATATCATAAAGGATGAAATAGGCTAAAAAATCGATTGATCTTTTAATACAGTCTTCAATTCGTCTAAGAGATCCAAGTATAAGAGCTTCCTTACATGATTGAACAAATGTTACATTTTAAATGAATAATATAAAATCTCAAATCCCAAACCCAAATCCACATTTGGCATGCCAGTCGAACCCATTCACCCGACCATCTTCTCCTTTTGATTTCATCAACCAAACTCAAACTTTAAGCACTATCAACTAGTGACTCTCATTTTAGGTGGTGAAGTAAGCCGGTCACATCAGGGAGAGAGAGAGAGAGGGGGGGAGAGAGATTTCAAGGTGCACAAGCATATGGGATCGGATTGACTACAGTACTTGATAATAATTTGAGGTCTTACACAACAACGAAAGATTTTATTAGGGTTCCTAACAAATTTAAAAAGTCATAGACTTCTTTGCTAGTAGATACCTTTTGATATATAACAACAAACACATTATGTATTTGTGAAGTTTTACACCCAAAAACAAAACAAAGAAGAAGGAACAAAAGACAAAAGGACAGGCCAAGTAGCCAAAAATAAGTATCAAACAGAATAAGAGAGAATTACTCCAACTTTTGAATACTCTTGAGCCTCATATATATTTGCTTTTAATTAACTTAAGCAGCAGAGGGTGCAGGAATGTAGGAAATTGCAGGTTCAGGAAGAGAAGCCATGATTGCGCATGTCTCTCCTTGTGGAACTTGGTCTTCAGCCTTGAAGTCAAGCGACTCATCGTTATAAATGTCCCACCATTTTTCAACTAACATCTTGATGTCTTCCCTCTCCATGTTCACTTCTTTACCAGTATACCTCCACGGCTTTGATCCCTATTTTTCGTCGATGAAAATAAGATTTAGAGAGCAATATCAAATGTTGATTCGGGATTAGTTACTCAATTTAAGCAAATAGTGCATGAAGTTGAAGGGATGAGAATGCTTACAGCTGCACAATAGTGCACGACTTTAACTTTCTCAAGCTCGACGTTATCTGGGTGGCGCCATAGCATCGCTAGAACCAAGTTGTATACCGGAGGAATTGGTTTGTAAATTTGTTGGAAGAACTTGTTTAAGAAATCCTAGAACATCATGTACAAAAATAACAAAATAATTAGAGACAAGTAGGATTCGTTTGCTTTTTTACTATTTGTTTTTTATATTGATCATGATGGTCATCACTATTCATAGACAATGTCTTTATCTCCATAATGTTAGAAAATAATCATTATCTCCATTATGTTAAATATCTAATTACCTTCATTGCATTATAAACATGATCATCATTATTATCTCAACAACTTAATTTTCTATGTGCGACGATACATTACTTTTTTAAATATATCAATACTTCAATGAAACTTAAATAAATCTCTAACCTAAAGAAAATAGAATAGAATATCAAGAATCAACAATAAAATAGAATACACTATAACCTTCTAAGAGAGGGACATGAGAGATTCATCATTGCCTTTGATAGAGATCGAACATCTAATCTCCTTGTTGTGAGTATAAGAGATTCTTTCTAATATACTTTTTTTTCTTTAATTTACCACAATTCTAAGTTAGTTATCTTGCATTAATGGTGGACATGCTTAAATACTGTAAATCTCATTTATTTTAGTGTTAAATAATTTAAAATCAAAGAAAATGAAGAAAAGTATTCCAAAGTGAATCCCCATCTAGGAAAATTGGTATGACCAAATGGACAGACCAGCACTCTCTACCAAAAAATTTAATAAAATGGAAAGTCTACAGTATTGAGAATTCTTTTTAATATCATACTGAAAATTATTATTTTTAACGACAAGGAAAAGTTACTATTATTTAAGGAAATCTCATAATCGATCATACAGTTGTAACTTTTTTACGAGTTGTAACTTAACTTTTAAAAGTTATAACTCAATATTTGAAAGTTATAATTTCTATGAGTGATCACAATGTTTTAGAATTGATTATACATTTATAAATTATCACTTACACCTCAAAAAGTTTCTAGGTATTTAAGAAAAAGTGAAAAAATATAAAAGAAAATGTAAAAATGTAAACTAAATGTCCTAGTTTACTAAAAAATAAAATACTCAGAAAAAACAAAAGTATAATAAAGCACTTAAAAAACACTATCGAACGATACCTAATTTCCGCTATCATGGTAACTACGAAACTCATTAATCAAAGTAATTGAACTTTAACAATGTACTAACTAGGGTAATATATAAAACTCACTTGCTCTGCAAAGGGTGTTGGAGGAGTGATCTGGAGAGTCTCAAGAAGGCTTTCGTAAGTCAAACGGCTAGGCTCATAAACGAACATACCGGCGTTGAAGTAAAAAGGAGGAGGCGAACCCATCTCCGCCGGCCAAGTCACCTTGTCCGGGCACTGCTGGCAGTACCCAATGGAGAATTGTAGTGAGTGGCTCCATGTCTTCTCACAAAAACAGTCCATTACCGCATAGAAATACCCATCCGGCATATCAAAGAGATGGTCGATGTTCTCAAAAACTTGGATATCTGCATCGAGATAGATCATCTTGCTGTACTCCTCAAACTGCAATTATACATAATCAGCAATCTTTGTATCAAAAATCTTGGCTCTAACATGTTTCTATTAGCTGATAAGGGTTTAATAGCAAAAACGAAAACTAAAATTTCAATTTAATGGCACAGTACAAACTTAACACTTTTCCATATTTGTACAAGAATTTTTCTTAGATTCGAATCCACAACTTGAAAATTATTAGATCAAATTTTAAAAGAGGATAGAGTTTTTGGAGTATAACATAAGGGGGTTCTGAAAGCACATGCATGTCGGGATTGTCTCTCCAATTCATGCAGTAACACATAGCTACAATGTTCTTCCCTATTTACGAGAAAACATTTGATAGAACCACCATGTAAAATATTACGTGATGTTGTAATCTAATAATGAGCAAATAAATGATTCCCTAAAATATATTTATGCAAACAAATATAGAATATAATATTTAACAACTAAACATATGACAATAGGATCAAATGAATCAGAAGCTCATAGATATATAACAGACAACAGTGCTAATATGATATAGAATGATGTGTTTGGGTTCACTTACATTCCATATACGTAGCTTCGAGTAGTTGATCACATAGTATGCCATTGCAAACTGAATCTGGTTCTCCGGTGGGTATATAGGCTCAATCTCTTTCACTACGCAGCCCTGAGACCTTAAAATCTTCCGGTGTTCCTCCGGGACGTCTGGTAAGATTGCAACCACAAGAGGGTATGCACTATTCACCTTCCTCAAACCCTTAACCAACCCGACCACGCCTTTCACATAGTCGCCATTGCCGGCCAAAAATGTCACGTAGGCCCTTTTAGAGTAGCCTGCGTTTAGGGTGGAAACTTTTCCGGTGGCCGTGAAGATGTCTACCGGCAATTCTGGAGCCATTCCAAAGATTTCAGAGTGATAAGAGAATTGTATAGAGGCTTTGAGAGTTGGAGTTGAGGAGTGTTGGGAAAGCAAACTAGCAACACTGGATGCCACCCTACTTGCCTTTGTTCCTGAGTTCTACAATGGGACTTGGCCTCCTTAAATAGACCTCAAATGACACTTAAATGAACTCCAAATGAAACTTCAAGAAAAGCTTCATTGTCTTTTTCAGGTTTTCTACAATAATTTTGTGTAAAGTTGACATTCGTATGTGGAGGGAACGAATGAACATCTTTTGTTGTTCAATCAACCATCAGTACTCCAGCCTTATCATCAGAATGAACGGCTAAGATTGAGTAAGGTGAGGTCCTATTCCAAAATAAACTGACAAAATGATGATATATTTTTTTTCTTTGAATATTTGTCATTACATGATTGAAAAAAAATATTCCCGAAATGAGGCGGTACCAAGTGGGTGTCATTGTCCTTCTGGAATGCTATTTCAGCTGAATGAAACTAGCATTTGAAGGTGGACCTTAGAACACCAGTAATATTGTTTCATTGCAATTTGAGCGTCAAAAATTTAATTAGTGCGAAACAATCTTTCTAAATACGGAGGTAAGACTATATACATAATACATCTAATGAAGCTAACATTCCCTGAGTTGAGTTGAGTTGACTGTTACTTTTTTTTCAATTAGCTAGAAGATGCAAGTGTTCAAAAAATTATAACAAGTAGATATAGTTATATTTTCCATTTGGCCTATTGATTTTGCAGCTATACTCTTAGTTCTACAAAACAAAAGCCAAAAAATCACAGTTTTGTGACAAGTTCAAGGAAGCCTTATTGGATATATATATATGCAAATATAGCTTAGAAAACCCTAGTCAATTGAAGCTTTTCAGAGAACAAGTTATTGGGTTACTTTAAAATTGTCTTAAACACATACGTGCTGTTACTTATGCCGCTTTTAATTAATTTGTTGAACACCATGTTCTTTATTTGTTGAACAGCGTCTCCTCTAAACCTGTTAGAGAGTGGTGTGATAAGTATTTATCTAATACTGTTGTAAAGTACATGTCAGCATATATATGCGAATGTTACAACCTTTGTTTATGATATGAAGCTCTCTTAACACAAGAATTAAGACATATGTTTGATATGCTTTTAAATTACAGCCTTTTCAAACTTGCACAACACTTGCACGCTTAATGTACGTACTGAAAAATAAGTTAAAATAATAATTTTTTTTTTTAAATTCCGGGAGGGGAGAGTCGAACAACTGATATGTGCCACTCCACAAAAGGAGAGCGTTACCAATTCGCATATTAAACGTGCCGGGGTTCGTGTCAAAAAATATTTTATTCATATTTGATTTGTATTTAATGAGTCGTGTCATATTAAGTTCGTTTCGTTTACAAACCGTGCATATCAATATATAAAAGAGTCGTCGTGACATGTATTTATTTTGATTGGTTTTTTTCATACTTAATTCGTTTATTAATCACTCGTTTACGAAATGAATAGCTTAAAAAAAATTCAAACCCTGTAATTTTGTATCATATTTGTGTCGTGTTAACGAGTTGTGCATATTTTGATACCCCCTAATTATTAACAAGAATGATTCTTTAACCCCCAATCACTATACAAAACCAAATCGATCTACCACCACCCTTTCTTTTTGAAAAGCACAGAATAAAGATCTGTATATCTACTAACGTATACACACTGCACTGGATTCCAGTATATACAAGATCACTTTCAGGCAAATGATTTATTATCAGCAAACCAAGGCAACGAAGATTGAAACTTCCCCATAACCAGACAATTTCAAGAGTTGCCAACAAAACACACATAAAATAATGGGTGTGGCATATCAACTAGCCAATAAACATTGAGGAATAATAAAATGCATGGCCCTCACTGTGCAATAATCCTTCGCCACCCATCGAAAAAGGAAGTATATATATATATATATATATATATAGGTAAGTTTGGGAACACAGCTGAAGGTGACACCCATTGTTGGCACTTTCACTACTCTCTTATTGATGACAATGACGATAACAGATTCTCAGGGCCCCTAAGGTGATATGGTAGTGAAATTTGATAGTTAAGTAACTAATGAAACTTCAAACTTTTTTATTTACAAGGAAAATAATTTGCAGGAAATAATGTAAGTTAGCATATGGCTCTCCTTGGATTCTACTCATTGAGAGCTTGGTTCTTGGCTCGTTTGCTAAATGAATCAAATTTAAACAATTTTTTAGGCTTGTTTAAAAAATAAGCTCGACAGTATGCTCAGCTTGTTTATATATAAATATTTAGGTTCGATTTGTTTTCTTGAACAATTTTTTAGTCTCATTTAAAAAAAAAAGTGCTCGACATGCTCGGCTTGATTATCGATCTTACTCTTGAGGAGTTCGACCCCTTCACCTGATTTTATTTATTAGTAGTTCAATCTAATCATAAATCAATTTGATCTATAGCAAGAATTTAGTGTGCCACTTTTGGACATCGTGAAAGTCAGTCAAGTTTTTAGGATAAAGACAAAACCAATTTGTGATATCATTTTTCTTTGAATTCTAAATTGTTGTATTCAATACATAAAACTTTTGTGTATTATAAAATTAAAAAAAAAAAAAAAGTCGTGCGAGAAGAAATTTTGTTCTTAAGTGTGGATATTTTCAAGTAAAATCATACATGTGGACCTAAATATTGTGCAGTTTATGACCTAGGGTGATCCTCTCGGGCCCCAAATATTAGAAATCAAACTTCAAAAATAATTCAAGTGGTAATAGAGATGAGTTGTAAATTCAAACGTTTTGAGTTTGAATTTTGACAGCTCCATAAGGTCAAGTCATGAGGAATGTATCCCTCATAAATATTCTAATCTCGGTGTAAATTGTTTACATTTAATTAGACCAGAAAAAGGATTAATCAAAATGCGCGCAAATTCGTCTAGACACGTCTTACCGGTGAACCCACAAAAAACAAAAATAATATATATACACACAAGAAGACACAAGTTTCAAAAATTGGCCCTTCAAGGTTTAGAAACTCTACCACCTCAGGTCTATGTCGACATACATATCCTCCTATTAGATGAAAACAAAAGCATAATGTGTGTCCCAAACCAGAGGGCGAGCCTCAACCGCTCGTCGATCCTTGGAAGGTAGAAAGATGGATGGCGGTTGCCCATGCACGACTTATTGGAGTCTAGTGATTCCAATTCCTAATTGCAATCGAGTCGTGTTCTTGATGTGCCGAACGATATTATTTTGATTTCATGTCAAGTATTAATTAATTTTAATTAACCCATTTAAGAGTAATACTAGACTGAATAAAAAAAAAGACAAATTTTAAAATTTAAAATGTTTAAAAATGTGACCAACATAACCATGACATTAATTTCACATCATTTGATATCTATTTTTTTCTCAGTCTAATATTAATCACATCAAATATGTTGATACTAATTCGACCAATTTATTATCGTATCGTTTTTAGATAAAGTTGCATAACACCAGTAGAGAACTTAGTCACAAGGTTCAATTTTCTCTTAAATAGGGCAACTACCCATAGGGCCCCCCATAAACTAAAAAGACACTCAAAATCAAGTAAAAAACTCTTCGATTAAACAAGGATTTATATGATACAACTTAAAGATAGACGAAAATATATATATACACATATATTTTCTTCACATAATATCTTCTAAATGGTTTTGTTGTTATAATACTAGCTTGTTCCGAAAATATATATATTTTCTTATAATATCTTCTAAATGGTTTTGTTGTTATAATACTAGCTTGTTCGAGTTTAACTCTACAAGGATTTTTAATTCATGCTAACGTTTTGTGTCGACAATTGCCACCCTTATTCTGATAATTCTTTCCCAAATTTCTTGGGGGTCAGTACTATACACCCACCTCAACAATACCAAAAGGGGCCCAACAAATATCCGTCCACCACGATCTCAGTATAATAGATTGCTTGAGAAAATAGAGGCCCTATTCCAAGAACTACCATGCATGTCATGTATTCTTGCTTTTGGTTTTTCAGTTGAAGATATCACAGGAGAGTCTAATGGCAACCCAAACTTCTTGACGAGAAGCCGGAGGCACTAATAAGTTAAACTCTAAAGAAATCCATATTTTAAGTATTCAAAGTATAACCCGCAAGATCCAGTCTAATTGGTCATCGCCAATTCTCTGAATCAGATGGTCCAAAATCAACCTTTGTCAAAGGAAACAACTGATTTATCGTGCCCTCTCCCGTCTTGAAGTATCCAGTCTCTCCCTATTCTCCGCTCCTCTTTAAGAGATCGGTGAGAAGCCCTGTTCAATTTTCTTTCCCAAGAACCTTTGAAAAAACAAACTCCTACTTTCTTGCTCAACTTTTTCCAACTCGAATGCACCCTCTCCATAAAACTCAAAAGTTCCTCCCACCTCTGCACATGCATTGACCTCAAGTGGATTACTTTACGCCGCAATCACCAATTAGTAAGAACACTCTGAAGATTTGATTTGTGTGTTGGGGGTGGGAGTGGGGTATTAGAGGAAGTAATTGTCACGGCCTCCATCTTCCCATTACGGCTAGAGGACTCTATCTCACGTCTTCAAATTCCCGCCGGTTTAGAAGTTACAGTACCTATAATCAGTGTAATTGTTTCAACAGCACCTATACTAGAGCCACACATGAGCCAAAAAAAGGAAATGCAGCTAAAAGCATGCAACACAAGGAACACAAACAAAATACATACTGAACCATTAACAAAACCGAAAAGAAAACCAAATCAGGTTTCAGTTACACCTTTAAGCATTATACCCAAACCTAGATGCACACTTAGAAGTATATATTTTCAATCAACAATTCTGATATTAAAATGACATTCATAACCACACCCCGTCACGGGAGGAAAAGAGTTGGGTGTTGGGGAAGTAAAAAACCAAAAGACTAGATAAAAACCTCCTGCATCCAGGTTCACCCCACAAGACTGAGTCTGCAGCACCTCACGCCTGTGTAACGAGAAAAATCATTTTTAAAAACATAATCAAATTATATGATGACAGAAGTAGTATTTGATCCATCCATTGAACACATTTTTCCTCTAACAATGAGTCTCTGAAGTGTCAAAATACTTGCCTTGTTAGCAATGTTGTTGGAGAGCCAATCCAAACCCTCATAAAGCCCCTCCCCAGAGGTTGCACAGGTGCTTTGGATGTACCTGGAACCAGCAAAGAACGAGCTTAGAAAGGAATTGACCAGAAACAAACACCACAAATTTATGGCAACAGTTTCAGAAAAATTACCAGTGACGCTGCCGGAGGGAGTGGAGACCAAGCTTATCAGTTATTTCAGCTGCATTCATTGCATTAGGAAGATCCTGTTTGTTAGCAAATACCAGTAGCACGGCATCTCGCAATTCATCCTGGAACAAGAAAGTCGTTAAAGGCCTCTCATAATCGTAAAAATGGTCCATCTCTTTCATGTAAAGGAATATAACTGCTCATGCATCTAATGGCAAATGATATAGCCAATAAAGAATCAACGGAGAGCAAAAATGTATCTTTTATAAACAATCATGTACCGAACCTCTTAAAAGAAGGAAGGGGAAAGGGGAAAGGGGAAACCCAAGCAACAAAAACATGGAACAAGAGCATGGTAAATCCATTGAGAAAACCTACCCAAGTTAAAGCACATTAAGAGCATTTCCAATCCTTACCTTTTTTTTAGACCCCAACTTAAATTGAGTAAAAAACTAAAAATAGTCCAAAAAGCTTCTCCAATCCTATTCCCAAACACATACCAAATCAAGGAAGACTCAAACCTTGACTCAAATCACCAATGGTTAGATTTCATTCTCTTTTAAAAAGATCCAATGATCATATTTCATCCTCCTTTAAATTTGAGTTTGTTCTCATTTAAATTCGAGTTTGTCTATCAAATCAAACTTTTTACTCAAATTTGAAGTAAAAATTTGAGTCAATGTTGGAAAAAGATCTTCGCTATACACCTGGTCACCCCCATTTAGGAAAAAGGATCGAAGGTTTTGGGCCTATAGCATTTCTTTTTTTTTTTTTGTGGGGGGGCGGGGAAGAATATAGAGTCAGCAGCTACTCTAGCCTGGTAAATGAAGAAAGTAGACTTTCAGATGTCTCCGTCCAATATCCCCCACCCCTTGAACAAGTGATTTTTTTATCTTTCCATTTTCTTTTTCCAAACAAAAGAAACAATCGTGTTGCTTCACAAGTAATGCTATGTGGTTCAACTAGGTAAAATGCAACACATTGTAACTCTGCCATTCAAACCTTCCTCATTGGAGGGTGTAGGATATAAACCGTACAATGTAAGAAGAGAAATGTGTGTGGCCTGAATTGAACATATCACCAAAAACCAGTTACAACGGTGGTACATGCTTATAGATAAGGAGGAGCAAAATTGGTCTCCCACACTTTGTGCTTTTCTTTTCTGGCAAAGAATCATAAATATAAATAAGCTTGATATACCGCATACCTCATTCAACATTCTATGCAACTCATCCCTTGCCTCGACAACACGGTCTCTGTCATTGCTATCAACAACAAATATAAGGCCCTGTGTGTTTTGAAAGTAGTGCCTCCACAATGGACGAATCTGTATAAGAAGGGATCTGCAATGCTTAGATATCCCAGGCATAAAAATCTAACGAATACTGGAAAAACAAGAGGACCCATTTCATAGAACTAAGATAAAAAATAGAAGATAATTTCACAGCACTTCATCATAGGATTACACTTTGTGCTACAGCTTGCCAAGACAGGTGGACAGATACACAAGTATGATTTACCCCTTAACACATGCTGAGGGAAAAAAAAAGGGGGGGGGGGTGAAGAGAGAGAGAGATTGGAATGGGATGTGATGCGATGCGATGAAGAGATGTGGGATCATACATTTTAGGCAAGTTGTCTTTTTTTAGTATCATCAATACAATAGGAAACGCCAATGATTTCTTGTGTGAATGATGACAATGTTACGACTTGTAATTGATAATAGCTTATGCTATAATGTGGACAATACATGTTCTCTCATTTACTAATAGTACCAGACTGAACATCTACAACCTAGATATGCAATTATTTTAATACGGACTGGAAAACACACAAATTTAATACCTTATCCTGACCACCAACATCCCACACGGTGAAGCTGATATTTTTGTATTCAACAGTTTCCACATTAAAGCCTGCAAGTTATCACAACCAATGTTTAATGCGAAGCTCATTTGTGGGCATGAAGGTGAACAACATCACACTGGACAAACTAGAAGGCACTCTATATAATTAGAATATAGATAGAGGATGATATTTTTGTATTCAACAGTTTCCACATTAAAGCCTGCAAGTTATCACAACCAATGTTTAATGCGAAGCTCATTTGTGGGCATGAAGGTTAACAACATCACACTGGACAAACTAGAAGGCACTCTATATAATTAGAATATAGATAGAGGATGCTGGTAAACAGCCTTAAATTCAAGGAATCAGGTCCATCGTGGAACCAAGGGCAAAAACCTCCAGACTGGAAGTACTTCACTTTGTGTGTATACTAATTTCTTTTAATGAAAATACCGTCTCAATCATATAGCCTCCTTTGGATATGCATACATTTTTGAAAATCCATCCAACTACCAGAAATTTCTGAGGCAGTCACATCTACTGCCACGCCTTCACGTTAAACCAGTTAATAATGCTTTCCTGTAAATAAAATGCTAGAATGGTACTTCGGTCTTAAATTTCTTATAATTATACAAATTACACTTGGAAAAATAAATCCTATGCATGTCTGCGGCAGCATGTTCTTAAGTTTCTTCACAACTGCTGTCCCACAACATAATCTTGTTTTTCCATTATTTTCAGGAGACAAACCCAAACACAAGCAAAATATCAAATGCATTCATGTGGTCATAATCTAATCACCAGATGATACAAGTAAATATATAAATCAGTAACCAATCGCACCCCAAAAAAAGCAAGTAAAAATAACCAATTTCATATTCAGCTCTGATTGATAGATACAACTAGCAATCTCAACTATCAAGAAGAAAAAATCCATATAGAAATGGCCAAGGTCCAACCCTCAACAGAGAGGAAAAATGGGAGAAGCTTCAATCTAGTACATCCAAGGGACCAGTCTAGTGACTCAAGCTTTGGAGACCATACTACTGCAAGATCTTGCTACATCATGCAAATATGTCATCATGCTGCTAGAGCATGTATTTGCATTTCTGTAGCTAAGGTAGTCATTCCACGCTTCTATGTTTTTTATCTACATCTGGCCTTGTTAGTTTGCACAAAAGGTGAAATTGCAGTAATAGAGATAAGATACTTATGAATCAGATTACAAGTATATTTATTATGATGCCATCCCGATAGTGGAAAATATGAAGAAATTCATCTTCCAAGGTAAGACAACAAAAATAAGAAATAAAATCCATGGAGATCTTCATCTAACTAGGTAATAATATCTTCCATGGCATCCTCAAAGAATCCACTAGTAACTTGCTGAAGCTTGCACAAACAGTTGTAAATCCAAATTACAAGCGAGACATGTGGACCCTCATAACAATCACAGACTACCATGAAACTCGATATTGAGAAGAGCAGTGTAGGTCTAAACTGCAGTAAGTTCATCAAAACACTAGCCGTATTATTTGAATACAAAATATGAATTTAAGAAAGATTCTAGGCTACTGATTTTGATAGGACATACCAATGGTGGGGATCGTTGTCACGATTTCTCCAAGTTTGAGCTTGTACAAGATGGTAGTCTTACCAGCAGCATCAAGACCAACCATCAGAATGCGCATCTCTTTCTTGGCAAAGAGCCTGCTGAAAAGCTTCGTAAATGTCAACCCCATTTCTCCTTCAGACAGTGGACCCTACATATGAATGCATTAGATCACATATATCAGCGGCCACATAAGATAGGTCAGAAATCAAACTCACAATTGTCTACTTTGAAGATTACGTACTGAACACAAGATTAACATTGATTCATCCAAAAAGTGTCACCAGATCGTATGGATTTGGAAGTTAATGCAACTTAGTCACACAAAATTAACATTGATTCTTCCAAAAAAAAATGTCACCAGAACATATGGATTTGGAAATGAAGGCAACTAAGTCACAAATTTAACAAGAAATCACACAAAATGATATTCTTGAGCTCCAGTTTGAATAAAGTTCATTTTAATTCGCTTAATTCGAATTATCAAGCAAAGAATAATTATATACGACAGATCCACAGGATCTAGACGTAGAATCTCCGGATCAGTAAATACCAAAACAGAAACAAAAAAACTAAACGCAGAGATAAAGCCTAATGCAACCGTAAATAATCACAAATCAAATAAAGAAGAACTCAAAGAACCAAGAATTTTTAAATAAGATATAAAAAAAATAAATAGTTTTACAACATGTCAGAATAATACGCACAAATTATTGCTCGATCGTCGGAAATCTCAAATCGGTAACAAATCGATGAGTACAAAATTGGTAATATAACAAGATAGAGCACAAAATTGAAGATATCATTTACCTGTGGAGAGGTTTCTGAGAAGGATCTAAGAGAGACAGGCAGAGGGGCCCGGGGGCGGAGAGAGAAAGTGAGAGAAATGGGAAGCTTGAGAACAACGCGTTTTATGATGTGAAGGGCGTTAATCAGAGGAGATAAATATAGGAGAGGCCAGCTCACTCAGGCAAAAAGCCCAAGGCTCAAAGGATGGCCCGTTAGTTTAGCATTGCCCATGTGCAAGGTCGCGTCACTAATGGTGGGGTGACTCGCGTCGCGGGCGACCCTAAAATCTGGTAGGACCGTGGTGGGTCATAATCTTTGGCCCGCTATGTCCATCTATTTGTCAAGATTAATACTCCTTGGTACGTTTGAAGTCTGGCCCATTTGCTTGATATTATTCAAAAAAATTCAAAATTTGCAAAATACCAACAAATGGGAACGTTAAGCCCATTAAGACCGACTTTATTGGTGGTCATTGAAAGCCCATTGGATCTTGCCCAATTATAATTTGTGAGCTTTGACTCTTGGAGACTAACCCAACCCATCATTGGCTTGAACCGTTGATTAACGAGCCCAATCTGTTGCTGGGAGGAGCATACACCGGATATTCTAAAACACCTTAATACCCACAAACTCAGTCAATGCTACTAATAAAAACCACTAGTTTTTTATTGTATTACTGCAATTTTAAAACTGCATTCCCCATATAATGTGGTTCCTATCTTATTTTTCAAACAAACAGTTTCCGTAAACTCTTGTGTTGAACCCACACTTTTCACTTTAAAACCTATTTGAAAAACATATTTCCCATCGTTTTTCTATTAACAAACACAAATCCATCACACAAATATTACTACTCACCCAACATCAATACAAAACGCTCAACATAATTTCCATCGTTGCATATATACTTTAAGGACCCAGCTTGCAATGATGTTTTGTGATTCTAAGATCTGCAACCCCTTTGTTACTTCAATTGTCTTTCACGCAACTCAACTTACAAACTCATGGAGGTGTCAGACGAACAAACAATCCTAGGTCTATCTAGCCTCCTCTTTGTCTCCTGCCCAAACCTAAGATATTATGTATTAGCGTTCTTAACTACACCGGGGCAGGGCGGGGCACAATGTATGGACTGCAACCCACCACAAGGTCAATGGAAGAACGATTGGGCAATAACAAAATGTGTTAAGGGTAAAAATATAAATAAAGAATATTCACATATTACAACTTGTTTAGAAGTTAAAACTATTTGCCACAAAAAGAAGATATGCTATAATTACAGGCCATTCTCTAATCTAAGATACAGTGTTAAAAGCCCAAAAAAAAAAAAATGAATTTATGTACAGTCAAACAACAGCTATGGTTCCTAGAGAGATGCCTTCCATCCCAATATGGCTTGCTGATCGATCAATCTGAATCACGAAAAAGGAGTAATGCTCAAGAACTTTAAATAGCAAAGAAATTAGAGCCAAAGTTTTAGAAGATTTTAACAATAGAATCGCTTTTAATAGTAATTAATACTAGCATGGGAAGGGATTAGAATCATGAGATTGCAAAGAGTGTCGCCAAAAAACTGGAAGAAAAACTCAAGAATTGAATACCTGTGACCTTTTTTCAATTAACATAACAAAAACGAGGAAAAACTTTCTGAGTTGGACACGGTCAACATGATGTTTGTCGAACTTGTATTCAAAGGAAAGAAGTGTGGCTTCACACTGTAGAACCATAAGCTACTTACCGAGGCAGAACTAGCCCTTGTTTTTGTTTCAGCGCCAGTACTGGGCCCAACGATGAATGGTCTCAACCATTTGAGGGAACAATGCACTGACACTTTCATTTATAAGATCCTGGAAGAAATGTATGGCCTCCTCATCATCCAAGTCCAACCGAAACTTTTCTTGAAGCTGTAAGAATCAATAGACACTTAATTATGACTAGAAACAAATAAAAAATATCATGTTTGTACAAAATATTCTAAAATGTTGCTAGAAAATGTAGAAAAACATGCTAGAAACGTTGGGTAAAAAAAAAAGGTAAAGGGATCACCTTCAGAATGCCTTTTTCAGGATCACAAGCTATGTCAGGGATGTTGGAACCCGCCATCAGATGGAAAAGATTTAATATTAGGTTACTAGATTTCCGGAGGATGTTGTATGCTTCACAACAATAAGATTTGAACCTGGTATAATATTGGCTACAGAAGAAAGATCAAGTCACCATATGCTTTTTGAGTTGCGTAAAACCACCCTTCCTAGCATCCCACTTCCTGGACTACCATTGGGTCGTGGGCTATTTGTTTTTTTTTTCTATCAGACACAAGAATGTCAAAAATTTGATGGAATCTAACACAGCTGTAAGACATCAACCTAAAGCATCAGGTATTATTAGTTACTCAAAATAAGCAAAAATACCTTTCTACTCCACCCATAGCCTCAACCATTTCTTTGCAAAGCTTCATCGGTGGTGGAAAGGGCTTCGGATCACGGCCCAGAATAAAACCAAAATCAACATGGAAAAGGCGGCCATCATCCCTTAGTAGAAGATTATCAAGGTGCCTACAGACCAAGTAAGATCAATGGATCAAGTATTGCACTTCCTTTTCCGGATATTTCTCAAGGAAACTGCACTTCCACATAACATATTAGCAATGGATGCACAATCCTCTATTAGCAGACAAGCAATAAACAAAGTATAACATATATCATCTTAAAGGTAGCTTCGGAAACATAAACATCACACTGCTCTCTTAGTGTATGCAACATAGACACCTGATTGGTTAAGCTATATAGATAGTGAGGACACTGAGAAGAATAACTGATCAAAAATCACAGCACAAAATCTAGGTTGAAGACATGGATAATGTATTCTTTTTATTTTTAGAGAAAAATAAAAGCAGTGTGAGGGTGGGTTGGGAGTTAAAGCAAAACTCTACTCAGCAAAGCCTTATCCCAGCCACAATGAACCATAAAAGTGTATTCAGTAACACATGTTGAAAACTATTAGATACCTCTACAAATCTGTAAAGATCAGACCCACGAAACACATACATGCCCAAGTAAGTCCACATAAAACATCTGAAAATGTACAGAACAGGATATTCTTTATACATGACATAGAGTACAGTTCTAATATTCCGGTCATTCGAGTAAACACCATATTTAGAATGCATGAAGATTCCTTTTTATATCTATAAATTAGAGCGGTAACACATATTTAGAAGGGAGAGACCCAATATGAGCTTATAACCAAATAAAATGGAAAAGGAGTAAGCATTGCCCTAGATGTCAAAGTACATGTCCATTAAGTTGTCTTAATCTTACTACAGCAATGGGATTTTAAAGATCGGACGAGACCCGTCTCATCAGCCACCTCTGCTCCCCCCCCCCCCTTCCCTCCAAAAAAAAAAAAAACCCACCTAAATCTGGAAAATTATAATATTCTGTAATAAAGAAAACAATAGAATTGGACAATAGCACATTGGAAAGCTAAAGGCATCATCACCTGTCTCCAATGCCCAGTATATATGTAATAACTGAGTAGCCAGCACAGCTTTTTATAAATGTTTCAAGACACATAGCTGTAATCCCAAATGGTCCATCCTCGTCAGGATGAAATTTCTGAAGGTAACTTACAATACTACGGTGCTCGGCGAGAATCTGGAAATCAGAAGGAATACTATTTTATTAACACATGACAGGATGTTCTGTGGAACCAATCACATAAAAAGAAAGTGGCGTAATAAACAACAGATGAAGATTGCCCAATCAGTACAGGAATATTATCAGAACCAATGTTACCTGGATCGGGGTAGCTTTGGTACGTAAGACGGGGTACGGGTACCCGGTACAACACTTTCTTATATACGCAGTACAATACGGTATTTTGAGTTACAATTTATTTTAAAACTCTTATCTAGATCGTTTTTACAACTATACAAAATTATATATCATAGACCATCCATAAACACTAAGTCAGTTACCATTTATCTTATATTTGTACTTTATATTATCTAAAATAATATATAATTATAAATTTATATACACGTAGTTAATTAATATGTATTTCATATTTGTGCTACGTGTACAATTCGAGATCGTACATTTTGGTGATTTGAATCACGAACCTACCCTATTTGGGATCATCACGGATTTAATGAATTTTGGTAACTTTGATCAGAACCCTAGGCTATGTACCATCTTGTTGCCTACACAGTCATGCAGGTGCCTAAGATATGGAGCCACTATTTCATCCTCCAACAAAATACACTAGAAAATTTTGTAGCTCATGTCACTTAAATCTTTCCTCAGTTTTTCACCTGAAGTACCATTAATCTTATTGATAAGCTAAACTATAACTATAAAATATAAATGAAAATACTATAAAAAAACTGTAGATATCCTATTGCAGCATATAACAACTGCAGAAACAAAAGGAGAAGTAGCTGAAATTGAAAGAAAAGGGAAAAGATAATTTTATTAATTTTTTAGACAGTTAAATTGTTTGTTTGTTTTGTAGTCTGTTGAGCAGTACTGCTGAGTTGGAGGTAAGCCATGTGAAGTCACGTGGACAGTTGGTGAAGAATTGTATATAAATACTGTCGTATGTAATGAGTTCAATAACAAGAATATACAAAACTTTTCTCCATGTCTTAGCTCTCTCTCTGTTTTCTCCTCTGCATTCTCTACTGCAACTATCTTTCTAACATGGTATCAGAGCAACAGTGAGAGTGAAAGTCATGGATTCTTCAATACTCGATGCAGAATCCTCAGCATTGACAACTATGCCACTTGGTCTAGAGCAATGCAAAGAGCTCTTCGAGCAAAGAACAAACTAGGCTTCATCGATGGAATAATTCCAAAGCCAAAGAATTCAGATGATCCTCTTCTAGAGACTTGGGAACGATGCAATGATATGGTAGTTTCATGGATTCAAAATTCAATTAGCCAAGCACTTAAGCCAAGTGTTGCTTTTGTTGATACAGCAAGTGAAGTTTGGAGTGAGCTCCAAGACAGATTTTCACAGCAAAATGGTCCTCGAATTTTCCAGCTGAAGAAGGCAATATCAGATCTGATGCAAAATCAGAACTCTATAAGTCTATACTATGGTAAACTCAAGACTTTGTGGGATGAACTTGCAGTTTATGATCCTATTCTCGATTGTAGTTGTGGTAAGATGAAAGTCTTGATAGATCGATATCAAAGGGATTGTGTGATACAGTTTCCCATGGGATTGAATGACTCTTATGCTAACATAAGGGATCAAATCACGTTGTTAGATCCTTTGCCTCCTGTTAATAAGGTTTTCTCCTTATTAGCTCAACAGCAAGAAAGGCAACATGAGATAGTTTCTCAAGAACCTACTCCTGATTCTATGGCATTAGTTGTCAGGAATTTTTCTGCAAATTCTAGATCTGGTTCTAGATCTACAGGAAATTCAAGAAGAGAGACTTTTTTGTACTCATGGTAGAATTCAAGGTCATCAATTACAGAATTGTTTGCTGGCAATGCAGAAGCTCTTGTCTGCACTCATTGTCACTTAACTGGACACCTAGCAGAAAAGTGCTACAAGCTTCATGGTTATCCTCCAGGCCATAAATTCTTTAACAAATCAAAAGGTATTGGACCATCTGCTAATCAATCCAGCATTTCCATAGCAACTGATCCAGAAGAAGAGATCAATGACAAGGTTGCATTGACCAAGGGTCAATATCAGCAACTTTTGAATATAATTCAACAGCATCAGACTAAGGATTCTGCAGCACTTCATTCTGCTAATCAGACTCAATCTATCTTCAATTCTGCCACCACAGCACCAACAACTTCAAGAATGTCTGGAATACCTACTAGCCTCTTCACATACACTCAGAAGTCCCCTAGTATAGACAATATCCCTTGGATTATTGACACAGGTGCCACAGATCATATGTTCAGCAGCCCTTCCTTCTTTACCACCATTAGCTCTGCAGTTTCTTATTGTGTAAAACTGCCCAATGGTACTGAAGTTCCAGTTACACATCCTGGTATAGTTAGGATCACGGAGCACATCATTCTGAAAAATGTGCTTTGTGTTCCATCCTTTTCTTTTAATCTGCTTGTGTTGTTTTCTTTTCTAATTCTTGATTCATTCAGGACTTTTTGTCCTAAACAACGATTGGGATGGGTGAAGTGAGGAATGGTTTATATCACCTGTTGGACATTGCGGTTTCTTCTTCAGCATTGGATAATCAACTTTCCCAGTCCTTGCATAAAGATTTTCTAGCTTCTGATCTTTGGCATTGTCGTCTTGGTCACATTTCTTCATCTAGATTACAATTGATTGATGATCCTATTGTGCACAGTAGTACTTCTTCCAATAACACAACTCCTTGTTATGTTTGCCCCTTAGCTAAGCAAAAGAGATTGCCCTTTCCCACTAGTTCTTCTCGTACTTCTACTATGTTTAAGTTAATACATTGTGATGATTGCCCAGTTTCTGCTTATGATGGTTCCAATTATTTTTTAATCATGGTGGATGATTTTTCCAGAGGCACTTGGCTGTATTTGCTTAAAGCCAAATTTGACAGTCGAAGTTGTTTGATATCCTTTTATCATCTAATTAAAACTCAGTTTGGAATTAAAATCAAAACTCTACGCAGTGACAATGGAGCTGAGTTTAACATGATTGATTTCTTTAATCTGAAAGGCATATTACATCAAAGAAGTACTGTGGTGTGGTTGAGAGGAAGCATCAGCATTTGTTGAACGTAGCTAGAGCTTTACGTTTTCAGGCCAACCTCCCCCTACATTATTGGAATGATTGCATTCTTACTGCAACATATCTTATCAACAGAACCTCAACTCCTTTGCTGGCAAACAAGACTCCTTATGAGTTTCTTTTCAATACCAAACCCACTTATTCTCATCTCAAAGTTTTAGACTGTCTTTGTTTTGCTTCTACTCTATCTCATGGTAGAACAAAGTTTGATCCTAGGGGCAAAACTTGTGTATTTCTTGGTTATCCTTTTGGCATCAAAGGATATAAGCTTTTAGATCTTAATAGTGGTCATGTTTTTTATTTCCTGAGATGTTATCTTTCATGAATCTGTTTTTCCCTTCCAAACAGCTTCATCTTCTTCTACTGGTTCCTCTATACCTGTTTCTCCACCAGTTTTTTCTTTGCTTTTACTTGATAATGTTGATTTTCCTTCTTTTTCTACCCTTCCCAAGGATTCTAAGGTCTCTCTTCCACCTACTGTTTCTTCCTCAAATGCTCCTTTACCTAATACTCCTTCTGAGTCTTCTACATCCTCTCCTACTCCTCCTCCTGCTTCCTCTCTCAGACGATCTGCTAGGCTTCGCATAGCACCTCAATACTTGCAGAAATTTCATTGTCAACAAGCCAACCTTTCTTCACCAGCTCCATCTTTGACCAAGACATCCCCTTCAGGTAAGTTTTTCTTTTGAGTAACTTTCTTTCATATCACAGATTTTCTCCTGTGTTTCAGATTTTTTCTTCTTCTCTTTCTTCTGCTTCTGAACCCCATACTTATCACCAAGCTGCTAAGGATCCTAACTGGTGTAAAGCTATGGAAGCTGAGTTATCTATTTTGGAACTAAATAACACTTGGATACTTACTGATTTACCTCCTGGCAAAGAAGCCATTGATTGCAAATTTGTTTACAATATCAAGTATCATTCAGATGGCACCATTGAAAGGTTTAAAGCCAGATTAGTAACTAAAGGCTACACTCAACAGTAGGGTATTGACTATCATGAGACTTTTTCTCTTGTTGCTAAGATGGTGACAGTCAGGTGTCTTCTTACTATTGTAGCAATTAAAGGGTGGCATTTACATCAATTTGATGTTAATAATGCCTTTCTTCATGGGGATTTACAGGAAGACATTTTTATGAAGAAGCCTCCAGGCTATACTAAGGGTAATCCACATCAAGTTTGTAAGCTCTTAAAGAGTCTTTATGGCCTTAAACAAGCTTCAAGGCAGTGGTATTCCAAATTCTCCACCTCTCTGCTTGAATATGGTTTTCAACAATCAAAGGCTGATTATAGTCTTTTCCTTAAAGTTACTGCTACCTCTTTTACTGCCCTTCTAGTCTATGTGGATGGTATCATTGTTGCTAGTGATTGTTTGGATTCTATTGATTCTCTCAAAAAGTTGATGGATCATCGTTTTAAAATCAAAGATCTTGGTGTTCTACACTATTTCCTTGGCATTGAGGTTGCCAGATCTGCTAAGGGAATTCACATCTGTCAAAGGAAATATACTATGGATATTTTAGCTGATTCTGGTACTTTGGGTTCTAAACCAGTCAAGATACCTTTAGACCAGAATCTTAAACTCAGCAAAACTACTGGCCCTTTATTGGATGATCCCACCATCTTTCGTCGGCTCATTGGTAGACTGTTGTACCTCACTATAACCAGACCAGACATCTGTTACACCATTCAGCTTTTAAGTCAGTTCATGGATAAGCCCACCACTGCTCATCTTGCAGCTGCACACACAGCTTTGAGGTATCTTAAGCAAGTCCCCGCTCGGGGTGTGTTTCTTTCTTCCTCATCTCAGCTTCACCTACAAGCTTATTGTGATTCAGATTAGGCATCTTGTCCTGATACTCGGAGGTCTGTTACTGGTTATTGTATCTTCTTGGGCACCTCTCTTCTTTCTTGAAAATCAAAGAAACAATCTGTTGTTTCTCGTTCTTCAGCAAAAGCTGAATATAAAGCTATGGCCGCTACATGTTCTGAGCTCACTTTGCTGCAATATCTTTGTACTGATCTTCAAGTACCTCATCCACAGGCTACTTTGCTTTATTGTGATAACCAGGCTGCTCTTCACATAGCTGCTAATCCTGTCTTTCATGAGTGTACTAAGCATATTGAGCTAGATTGTCATCTTATTCGAGACAAAATTCAAGAGGGCAGCATCCAGACATCTCATGTTTCCACACATTTTCAGTTAGCAGACATTTTCACTAAAGGCTTGCCTTCTCATATTCTTCATGCTCATTTGTCCAAGATGGGAATAGTTAATCTCCATTCTCCATCTTGGGGGGGGGGGGGGGGGTTATAGCAGCATATAACAGCTGCCGAAGCAAAAGGAGAAGTAGCTAAAATTGAAAGAAAAGGGAAAGGATAATTTTATTAATTTGTTAGACAGTTAGTTTGTTTGTTTTGTAGTCTGCTGAGCTGTACTGCTGAGTTGGAGGTAAGCCATGTGAAGTCACGTGGACAGTTGGCGAAGAATTGTATATAAATACTATTGTATGTAATGAGTTCAATAACGAGAATATACAAAACTTTTCTCCATGTCTTAGCTCTCTCTCTGTTTTCTCTTCTCCGCATTCTCTACTGCAACTATCTTTCTAACATATCCTAATAATAAGGGAGAAAAAAACAGGCACAATGCTGTTTAAACGGTTTGATTGCCAATAACCAATATGCAAAAGGACTACTTATGTATCACTTAGAGTTAGAGTTAATTATCTGGCAGTCGAATAAAGTCAGCACTAGTTTTTCCTGTGATATTTAAGTTGCAAAGCATCGTTTCTAGATGGATGTTGGCGAGGAAAGTACCTGTGCTAAAGGTTTAGATTGTATGAATTCAACCATGCCTTCATCATGTCCAGTTGCTAACACTCTATATGGAGTTAAAAGCAGATCAAGATTCTCCAATTTAAGCAACCGATCCATAAGAGATACCATTTGAATGACCTACAGGAGTAAACATAAAATTATCACAACAGTATGTACCACATATGCAAACTCTCTATAGATGTTTGAGTGAAGAGATATAAAATATAAATATGTGTATTTATTGTAAGGGGTAGAACCCTCTACTAAGGATTTCGGCTTGACCTGGGTTAACCCACGCGGGCGACCCCCCAGTAGCCTTTACCTCTTTTCGCCAATAGGACCCTTTCTTAAGGCAATCCCACATCGGAAGAGAGTCGTCTCCCCCCCTGCCATATAAGTGAACACTTCCTATGGAGGAGGTACCCACTAGCGACCTGATCAGGTGCCTAGTGGGTACCTCCTCCATAGGAAGTGTTCACTTATATGGCAAGGGGGGAGACGACTCTCTTCCGATGTGGGATTGTCTTAGGAAAGGGTCCTATTGGCGAAGAGAGATAAAGGCTACTGGGGGTCGCCCGCGTGGGTTAACCCAGGTCAAGCCGAAATCCTTAGTAGAGGGTTCTACCCCTTACATTTATATACATATATCTAGAGAGAGAGAGAGAGAGAGAGGAGAATTAATTTTGATTTACCAACTGGTCTTGGCGAAGATCATCTCCCTTCTTAAATATAATCTTGCAAGTTCCGCCACTAGCTGTTCGAAAAGCCAGGCGCAAAGGATGCAGTGCACTTTTAAATATTGATGACTCCGATGGAATGATCCCTGAGATGAGGACACCTGGCGCAAGAGGTGACCGTATTGGCTGAAAATGTAGAAGATAAATTAACATGGTTACAATGATCAATAATCCAAGAAAATAATCAGTATCCATAAGGAACAGTATACACATGCAAAATAAGCCATGGAAAATCAGGTACAAAAGTTAAAGCTAATGGCATGATCAACAGACCAGGAACTTGTCTAGTGGAAGTACCTCTTCAAAGTAGGTGAGCTCACTAAGAAGGCCAGAAAGAAGATGCCTAAGCTTTTCAATCTTCTTCTGAGTTCCACCCCGTACATTTCGTACATCTCTCATTATAGAACACAACTGAGCTGTCAGTTCTGTCTGACGCACCAAACTCTGCCACAGCTTAAATCCATCTTCATCTCCATTTGCACCAACTCCCAACTGTTAAAGGGTAGATGAAGTTATTGAGCCATAGAAAAAGGAACACCAAACATCTAACAGGTTTCTTCTTTTCTTTTGCTCAAGTTTGGAAACCTTATTATGCTAAAAAACTGGATGCTCCTGCACCTCCCTTTTATGTAAGTCAAGGAAACTCCACATGAAACTCACACTTTCGACAGCTTTCAAATCCAACAGTGAATACATCTGCCTTAGGATGTATAAAGGGTAAATACTAGATTGTTACGATGCTTGGAGCAGTTAAAATTCTGAATTTTATCTGACACTGGAAGATAGGAATGCATGTAAAAGTAGGGACACGTATAAAGCTAGACTGAATATAGGAGTGGTATCATAAAATAACCAACTAGATTATTCTAATGTTGTAATAAGAAAAAACCAAGATCCTTCACCTTCATCATATTTTCTTCCAGAATTTCGTAGGTACAGTAAAAACGCTTTGCGTATGCAGGATCATGAAGTTCCACAGCGACATACCACCGGAGAAAGCTAGCCAAATCGATGTTGTGCAATGCTGCAAGTATAAAAAAAAAAAAGATCCAGACATCACCAAATAGTGAGCTACAGAATATCATAAAAATTGGCCTTAAAAGATATCGATGTACAGTAAAGCAGGCATACAACGTTGCACAAGGAAATGAGAAAGGCGAGATTTATCAGAACGCTCAAACCGAAGAGCTTGAACGAGCTGGAGTAGGTAACATTGTAGCTCTTCATCATCAGCTCTATCAAGAACACTGACGGCATATGCACGTACCTGTTAATCAATGTTACAATTAGGAAATTATGGCTCAGATACACTGCAATACTGCATAATTTCTACCCATCATTGAAATGTAGACCAAGCCATACCAATAGCAAAAAAAAAAAAAAATTGCATAGGTTTCTTATCTGAGGTATTCTCTGATATCCATCTATATGTCACCAAGTTCTCACATTGGACTGCATAATATTACTCTTTTATAATCATTATAAAAAAAGTGCAGCCCAGTGCACAAAACTTCCGCCACTATGGGGTCTGGGGGAGAGTCAGATCAACTTGAATGACTAAGTGCATAAACAATGGAATTTTTTAGGAACTGCTAAACTACGTCAAGGCAGTCCCGCAGTGTTGGTCTCTTGGTTGAAGTATTCTATGAGGAGAAGAAAACTCCATTGATACAGGAAGTGCTAGCAATGATGCATATAAACACAATATGATGTTCACTGCCACAACTCTCTGAAACTAATATTGGGTATGTCTTGGCAAAAACAAAAGTAACTATGAAAAAAACAACAGCAGTCTTAGTATGAATGATTAACTTCTTAAACAAGATACCAGACCACCAAAGAAACAGGAGCTTCATCTATTTTGTAAAATGTGAAAAAAAAAATACATTCAGAAAGAAATAACAGTTCTTTCAATACCGTAGCATCTTAGCACTGTTGTCCCTGCTGTTTATATCAATTAGCACCATAGGAGCTCAAAGATTTAAACAATCAATTATAATCAACCTAATTTCCCTTAGCTACCCTTTGCTGCTCTCCAAGTGCAACCAATGCCTACCGTGTTCCTTATATGATATCACAAGCATTCAGATTTTTACAAAGTGTTTCTCATATACATCACCAGTACAATTCAGATTTCTACAATATTAGGTGTGCATACTACAATCCACACGATGCACACACCCACAGTAGAGTGCCTGAGCTCAGTGTTATCACTGACCTCTTCACTTTCAAAAACAGGAGATAGAAGCTCCAATGCATCAGACACATCAATCATTTCCCATCTACCCATTAGTTCTACTGCCTGCTTTGCTTCCTGCAAAAAAGAGAACAGTACCTCAGACTTTATTAATACCCTGCTCAATAGCTAAATCAAGAAATCAGAATTAGAGACACTGAACCAACTAAACGAGAAAACAGATAATTGCATTAAACACCACAAATATGCAAGTTGAACGAACATGCAGATCACAAATGCAAAGCAAACCCTATAAACAAATATGAAACTACCAAAAACAATTAGAAAGGCATGGTTACAACTTATCGTGGAATTTGGGAGAAAACACCAAAATGCTTCTAGAAGGACTTTGGTCAAATCCAGAAGGACATGATCTCCTTCTTTTTTTGACTCCAGAAGCCTCTCTTGTGATTCTATGGAATCTTTTAAATGACTGTATGGATCCTTACAACAGAAGTTGTTGGCTTCTCATGTCTATATTCCTTTTTCCTTGTGTTCAGAGTTCATAGACAAGGACGTGATAATGTGCCACATACATGAACAATGTGCCAAAACAGGACGTGATAATGTTTTCCAGACATTTTGTGTGGCTGTAACAATGTGCCACATACATGAACATGTGAACAAACTAGGCACCGAAGGACCATATGAAGAAGAAGTGGATAAAAGTAGGGACTCAATATAACATAAATTGAGGAATGCCAAAAATTCATACGAGATAGAGCTCCAGGTATGAGGGATTAAAGAAGAAAAAGGATAAGAAGCTGCAACTCTATGTTTGGCACCGGAAAAGGGGCACTAAAGACATGATTGAAAGAGAAAATTATTCTAACCTGAACATCACTCCATTCAACGCACCGTAGAAACTTTGTGAGAGCCCTCTTCTCGGACATTGATGAAAAACGAAATTTCCACAATAGTTGCCTCTCATCTCCACTCAAAGTCCTTGTTGGGGGATATTTTAAAATTCTTTGTATTGACCTGATAACCAAGAAAAAAGTATAGTGATTAGCATCCACTAAAATCTTGAATAAACTCGAGGATCAAAATTTTGTTTTGACAACATAATTTCAAACAGCTTGGAAACGGAAATATTTCAGAAGAATAATGTATACAGAAATTGGAATTTTGATTCCTAAACATTCCGAAACTTTCACCGTAACATTCTGAAACATAAATTTCGATATTCAATAATTGATTTGTGTAGATTTCTACTAAACCTAAAACGTTTCTACTGTTTTGGAGGAAAACGACAATTGTTTATCCATGTAAAAAAATAAACTAGCAGTAACGCTGTAAATTATGGCAATATTCTCAAATAGATAACACCAGGAATATCTAAAACACATAGGATTGCTAGATAGGGTACTGGAAAACATAATACTTCAACCACTATTAAAAGAGGAGGTAGGTGGAGTTTCATTTTTCGATAACTTGAGCACCTGAGCTAGATTTATGATGCGAAGAATCGGAAACCCATAGCTTCAAACCCTTAACAGTGAGCCATCGTAAGTGCATTTGCAACGCATATTTTGTTATCTCGCTCCCAAACAGTAAGCTTCTTCCAAGTATTCTTTTAATGATTTTATTACAAAGGCCTGTTCTCCATTTAAAAGCTATTGATTTCATCCTAGAATATTTGAAATCAAGCGATTTTACATTTTCGAATCCATACTTTCGAACAAATTCAAAAAGTCCCATGACTTCTCACAGTAGGACAGTAGGAAGACAGCCCTTGCACTTTTCGGCCTTTTCAGAAGGTCCATATAAAAGCTTCAAAACTAGACTTACAGTGAAATCCAAGTTTCCTTAAAGTCAGATAGACATTCGGATTCTACACTCACATAAGAAAAAATGAAACTATGCGGGAAAAACTTAAGATGACACTATTTGAGGGTTTTTTTTTTCCTGTTAAGTGATATTCTTTTTGTCTTTCAGGACTGGATTTCATGCTTACTTTCTTTCAGAAATGCTTGGTTTAAGGTCCTTGTCAATGATGCCACGAGTTAAACTCCTTGCAAGCTTTAGTTGTTTGTGCTCAGAGGGATTGACTTTTCCCACTTCTGGGTCCCACACAGTAACCAGTTCATTTGTTGAAGCTATAGGAGACGGAATTAAGAAATTTGCTCCAGACTCCTACATGTTAGACAAAGAGAAGTTACAATCACGTAGGACATTGGTCAGCATTACTAAATAATTCAATGGTAGCTACAGTGTACCATACAAAATTAACATTTCAATGTAGACAAATATTTTAACACAAACAGATCCAAGATTCTTACATAAAATAAACAACTGCTCCACAACTTATTTTTTAAAGCAGCACAATGCTGCTGCCATACCCCAAGATGCCATAACTTCATTGGCAATACACCTAATTTAGGAAGAGATGTCCACATATATCTACCACACCCTCCTTTGACTAACAGAATTTTTCACAATGTCAGCGACTACGATAATACAATCTCCATACTAGAAATAAATTCCTGCACTTTAACATATTTAACTATAGTATTCTTTCTAATTACTTGTGGTTTTGTTGTCATGTAACAATGTGGGAAAACAACCCTAGTAAAGGTATCATTGCCATGACACATACTACTTAAATGTGGAGCCACATTCTACATCAGCTCCAGCATTTTGGGAAAAAATCACTCTAAAAGAAAATAAAGGCAAATAAATTTGGACTAGAAATGGGCATCGGCTTTCATATATGAAAGCAAGCCATTGTCAAAAGCAGGGTATAGAATGAAGCCTTTCTTGTTATTTACCAGCAGCACAGACTACAGGCCAGCGCTAGCTGAAATTTGCAATCAGCACTGCACTTTTCTTAATTTATAAATATGAAGTAATGCCTTCCAGGCACTTATGTCAATATACACAAGAAACTTTAAGCAGCACGTGTGCTGCTGTCAGACAATACATCAACAACACAACTTGCCGCAAATCCATGCATGGATATTCACAAAAGAACTATGAGAAGGCAAGATTCGTAAAAAGGACAAGCAAAAGATTTAAAGAAACAAGAACAAATGGACTTCCCTTCATTTTCGGAAAGCCTAGAAGCCACCATCTGTCAAGTCATAATGGATGGGAAATTATAGTCTCTCCCTTACAATTTTTGTTTGCTTTGGAGTTGTGATCTGTTAAGTTCCCTATGTTTTGTTTCCTTTTTCTTTTCTTCTTTTTAGCTTGCCACTTTTTGTTTCTTTATTTTCTGTCCTGGGGTTCGGTACTCTCAAGTTGGTAGCTCAGCAGGAAAGAAACTTGTTAGATGAAACAAATCACAAAAATGAATTTCTTCTAAGAAGAAAAGGAAATGAAAAGGCAATGAAGCAACTTTTCTTATGAAATATGTAAGATTAAAAACATAGAAAGTGAACATAAATGATGCAGACTAATAAAATAGTACCTGAAAAACAACTCGATGTTCGAAACTGCTAAAATCAACAATAAGGCATAAATGAGAACTTGCATTTCTGTTGCTTTCACGTTCCTTAATTTTGTCCATGGCTTTAAATGCGAGGCGGTCCAGCCAATCAACTCGTTGAATCTGTCCCCTTTCATACTTGTTCACAAGCTTTTCCAAACGCTCCAACTCCCCCCGCTCCTCCTTGGGAACCTAGAGGAAGTTGAGCCACCATGAGCAGGAGGACAAAATCTAACCCTCACACCCTTGGATAACAATAAGCAGAAACCAGGAAAAGTCTGATTATTAATCTCAGAGAAACAGCCACAAACCTTTCCAGGAGTAGTTGTACAAATAGATCCATCTGCCTCTTTTCCTGGCCAAAGCCTGAGCTTATGCTTCCCTGTTTTAAGCTGTTTCTTCATGTTGAAGAGATGAATGGTGGCCCCACCAATCAAACCCTCATTTTTATCACAAGAAACATCCCAAACCTGCAGTCAGATGAACATCAGCAACAAATAAAAGCTCAGCTTGAAGTTAGACATAGAAGTATGACAATAACTTCTGTAGAAAAATCATGACTGATGATAATTTCAACTCTAATTAAAGGAAATGGCGAAATCTAGTCTACACACAACCTTATTCACGTAAGATATGTATGGATATATTGCTTCCAAAATGAAGTATGTGTATAGGTACAGATAACGAGCATGGAGTGGGATTGCAGCTAAATATTTACAAAACCTTCCCCCCTCGTCTCAGAAATTTGATGAATAGATAATTTATAAATAGAACACATAATAACTGAGATTGCTGACTTACTGTTAATGCAAGCTGTGAATTAGCAGTTAAATCTCTATACTTAGTACTCAACGTAATGAGTTCATTCCAGCAATATGACGGACCTGTGGATTCTAGCCTGGAAAGTTGGCATTGCCAATATGTATTAGACTCTGTGAATAAATTAAAAAAACAAGCATGAAGCAAAATTCATAAGCTTAAGGATAAGAATAAAACAAGCAATCCTTCAATTGAATCTATAGTGAGATAGTGTCATATCAACTTCAAATGGCCCTGAAAAAAGGTACATGAATTGTGCAGTTAAAAATGAGGAGCCATAGGGAGAAGGAGAAAGAGAAGAGGAAGCCAGAGGCGCAGATGCTTTTAAGCAATATCGTGTGTGTGTGTGTGTGTGTGTGTGTGTAGCAAAACCTTGTTCTCATGGGAAGCCCAAATGGAGCACCATCAATGTACAATGCACACTCAACATACAGCTCTGGTCTTCTCTCCTCTGCATTGGCATCAACTTCAGCTGGAGGATTGATGTAAATGCATTTGTAAGTTATTAAATGACTATAATTTAAATACACATAACTAAGGCATTAAATTGTCCCTTATAAGAGAGTATAAACCAAAACAAAAGATAACCAAAGAAACCAAAAATATTTAAAAAATTGAGTCAGCAACACTCTGACTCAGGGCTCAAAAACAAGTACAGAACTAAGCTAATTGACATATTTGGGCCCATTTGGTGTAATGAGATTTCTAACTTCTCTAACTGATGTTGCAGCAAAGAAAATGTCTGCTTTATCACGTTAATTATAAATTTTAACTAATTTGCTGAAAATACTTTTATTACAAGCTCCGGCATTAAATTTTCAGAACTTAACCATTGTTTCAAGTCCAACAAAATAAGAAGTACAGCTTATGCTCGATCAATTTAGCCAAATCCTCAGCAATTCATGAAAAAAAAAAAAGGTAATGTTTTCAACTAGTAAAACTTAAAAGAGTTCGATTCAAGAAATTCTAGGTCTCGAAACCCACTAGAGGTCGCTCCGAACTGAACTACAACAGCTTAAAAAGCACATGAAAATTGAAATTGCAATCCTAGATTGACTAATTATAAAACTAGTGAGTGATTGATAGAAAGTATATAACCAGAATTAGGGGGCTTAGCTGATGGCAAGTTTCCTTCCAACCTCTCGATACGGAAGGTGACTGGAAGATTGATGTCGCAGGAAAAGAAGAATCGGAATTCGTTCCCAGTCATTGCTTTGAGGGTTTATAACCGGTGATTCGCCAGATCGGGATTCTCAGGTAACTTGAAGTACGAGAGAGATTGTTGTGGAGACGAAGAAGAAGTAAGACAACTCGGAATTGAATTTCTGCCGTAAAGTTGGAAGTCCGCGACGCAGAAGAGGACTGTTTATCGGATGTCTCTCTAACAGGATGGCGTGCTATTTTTTCCTAACAGCAAAGAAGCCATACCCAGACGGATGTTTTACAGTAGGGTAAATTACATTCAGAGGTTTGTCACTTGAACAGACAGACCCCTTACGTTTGGAGAATTACAATGAGAACCCCTGTCAATAACAACCAGTTAACAACCCTAACCGAAGTTGCAAAAATATCTATTCTACCCTTTGATAAAAAATATAAAAAAACCAACCTAACCCAAATAGCAGACCACAAATCCAAACCAACCGACCCTTTTACCCAACCTACTTCATCACTACCACTGACTACCTACCAATCAGCCACCCAAAACCACCCTTGCAACCACCACTGTATCCCTTCGCCCCACCTCTGCAAACCTGCTACGCCAACCACGCCTTCCCACCGAAACCCATAGTCCATCCTTACCCACTTCCTGCAACCCCACAATCTTCCCCATACCCCTCCCTCCACCTCGTTACAACCATTGCTAATCGGTGTTGGGACGATGAAACGATCAACCACACCTGAAAATTGAAAGCGAAAAAATAGTAGCGATTTGATGGCGATTGGCACTACGGAGGTGGCGATGGATGTGTGACGCGTGCATCCGCCTCTGCGTGGTGAGTTAGATAGAGAGAGAGAGAGAGAGCCCAGATGTGATCGCTTGATTTTGGATTTGGGGTTTGTTGGGGGTTTTGTGGGTTTGTAGAGTCCGGTGTGTATTTTGGGGGCTTCGGTGGTGGAAGGTGGTCGATTTCCAGACTAAATTTGAGGTTTGGGGAGTTACGAGGTTAAATCTACAGTTTGTGTGTGCGCAGAGAGAGAAAGAGAGAGAGAGAAGTTGGTGGCGATGAGAAAGAGGAGGGGTGGTGACAGAGAGTTATAGGTTTGGTGGGTTTTTTTTTTTTTGGGAGAATTATATCAACGTGCATAAGACCGTTGTCTTCAATATCCATTACTTAATAAATTATATCCCCTTAATACGTGTAATACTTATTGTCGAATCTTAATAATTTTATAGGGTTAATCTCAAATTGTACCTTGAATTTTAATTTATATTTTCATATATTAAAATTTTTAATTTATACTCTCAAAAATATAAATTTGTATTAATACGCACCTTAAGTTAACCGCGGTCTATAACTTAAATAAATAAATTACACTTAAATTCTCTCATACTTGTCATCTAATTATCTACCCCTCATATTTAAAATATTACACTTATATCATTTGATAATCCAAATATGACTAAAAATATTATCCCAAATAAATATTTAAATAATTTTGTTTAAGTGATGTATTGCATTAAATATAAAAAATATTATATAAATACATATATTATATTGTATTGGGTATTCAAATGATAAATTTGATATTGAATTTTAGATTATAACAAACTTACAAAATAAATAGTAATATAAAATTATAATTTTTTATTTAAGATGAAATCATATTTTTTAATAGTTATACTAACAAATATTAACTATAAAGGATTACGTGTTATACGTGCACAAATATTAAAAGGTGTAGGAGTAATATTCTAAATATGAGGAAGTCAAAATTATTAAGTGACAAGCATGAGGAGATTCAGGTGTAATTTATTCATTTAATTTTAGACGACAAATTGACCAAGTTTCAGGTGTTTATTGATACAAATTGATATTTTTGATATTTGAAGGTACAAATTAAAATTCGAACTTTATTTCGAAGTACAATTTATAATTAACCCAATTTTATATTAAAAACATAATTTCATTCATATTTAATTTATTTATTTATTTGGGTCTAAAAATTGTGTAAACTCAAATTTTTATTATATATAAATTATGTATAACTAATGTATAAATAAGTTTTAATTTCACCATACTCGATGAATCGTGTATAACAAAGACATAAATATGTGTATTATTTTTAATTAATTTTACTCATACTTAATTTATTAATCGTATCATATTCGGTCTATTCATTTAAAAATTAAATAAGTGTCTAATTTCATATAACGACAATGTATCGCGTTCATATTTTGACACCTACTTTTGCTGTTTTTCACCCTGATCATCGGTTTTGGAAAACGGGTTGATATCGGCAACCGACTTGGCCCACCGGGGCTCGTTTTCACTAGTGAACCGGGTTTTTCAGTTAGTTTGACTTGATTGATTAGTGGGTTGTAGAAATTTTGGCCCATCGTATATCTATTGGGGTCAATCGTCAGATTAATGGGCCTTCAGTGCCTATATAAACTTATTTGTGCGTAAGTCAACCAACAAAACTTTTTTGTTTTGAAATTTATTTTTTGCCAATTATATTAGACTATTCCTTCTCTTTAGAAGGAAAGTAAAACTAAATTTTAACAAATATATTTAAAATTTTAACACCTAAATTTTAAGAATTTAATTAATATTAAAAAAATTTCTCTCTTACATCTATCTATATCCATATAGAGGTTAAGACTATATATAGATAGTAACATAAAATAAAAAATATTAACATTCAAATATAAAAAAAAAATTATCATTTAAATATAAAAAATAATACCATTTAAATATAAAAAAATAGTAACATTTAAAAATAAAAAAATAGTAACATTCAATATCAATATTTTTTAAAAATAACAATAGTAACATGTTCAACAAAAATAATAATATCTTAAACAAAAATAGTAATATGTTTAACAAAAATAGTAACATGCTCAAAAGAAAAAAAATAGCATGGAACATTGAACAAAATTAAAAATAAAATCGTAGCATTCAAATCCATAACTAGAGGAAGAAGCCTGCAATTATTCAGTATCCAAAAAAATAATATTGAAAAAGTAATAATATGTTCAATAAAAAATAGTACCATGATTGACAAAAAAAACGTAATAACATGAAACATTAAAAAAAGTTGGGGATTATTTATCAAAACAATTAAAAAATAATTTGAAAATTAAATTAATAACACATTGAATAAGTTTTTCAACCTTTTTTTTTTAAAACCAACAACATAAAAGTTCAGGATAACCAGAAGACGGAAGAAGATATGGTAGTTGTTGATGATGTTTTAAACCCTAATAATTTTGATGCTATAGAAGAAAAAATGATATCTAAGAAGAAAAATTTATTGTAACGAAGTGATAACCTTCTTCTAGAGAGAGAGAGAGAATATAAATTTAAATTTGAATTTTGAAGTGAATTAAGGGATAATAATTTATAATTTAAAAAACTAATTTATAGCTACTTTCAAAGTCTTTAAAGTTTCCATAATTAAACAGTATAACACTATTAAGGGTATTTTTGAAATTTAAAAAAAAATAGTGAACTTATGTACTTATTAATAACATAAAAAACAGACTTATTACCAAATAAATTTCCTTGACTCATTATAAGTTTATCAAGGAGAACTCAACCCAATTTTCACAACAACCTCAAATTTGGTTCCAAATCACAAGAGGTTAGGGACAATAGATTACAAACAGAACTGCAGTAAGGAATTATTGTTGCTCTAAATTTTGCTTGAAGGTTAATCTCACATGTCACATGAGCACCTAACCACCATGGCTACCAACATACAAAACTACAAAACTGAAGGACAAAATTCACACAAAATTAAGGTCGTCGGGGAAACTTTGAGAAATCAGGGCGCCTATGTTCCAGATATGCCGTCTTTCCCTCATTACCTTCCTCTGTTCCGTAAAATACGAGAGTCGCGTTTCCTCCAAGCTCCTACATCAAAATAAAAACACCAACTAATTTGAGAATTCGTGTGTATATGTGCACGCACACGAGCATGAGTTGTTATTGCATAATATTTGTGAAAAGAGAATAATCAATAGCAGTTCAGCATCTCATTACTCAACCACAGAAAACTGTTGCCTCTGCAGGATCAAAAAACTTGAACCCTTAGCCATATGTTGACTTGGTAATGATGGTAAGACTATGTGAAATGAAGATACCTGGAGCCCGGCATGCCCATCATCTACTGCATTGAGAGCTGATTTGAGCACTCGGATAGCTGTTGGGCTGTTTCTTAGGATTTCACGACACCATTTTATGGTTTCATGTTCTAACTTCTCTAGCTGAGGAAAAGATGAAGAATTTTTACTAGCTATCCTTGTTAACCAAACAATATTAGTGCTGGAGCAGAAGTTATGAGCGGAAATGATCATTTGAGATCTATAAACAAAAATCCATCTCCCAGATTGGTAATGACATACGTATTAGAGTACTGTCCAATATCCAGTCATAAAACTTTATAGGATAAGCTTCACATAAATGAAAAATTAACCAGATGGGCATGAGTTGGGAGTCTGGAAGAAGCAAATTGGCTATGCAACTTCAACAACTTTGGAAAATACCGTTTAGCAGTGGATGAACGCACCGGGACAACAGTGTTGACAAGTCCCATTTTCTCTGCTTCCGAAGCGGTATAGAACCTAGCCAGAAACCACATTTCACGTGCCTTTTTAGGCCCAACCTGTGTAATCACAAAAAAACTGCATAGTGAAAAATCAAATTAAAAAGCCAAGGATTACTCTTGATGGGAATTGAACTGCCCATTGGCGAAGCAACTTTCAGTGATATAGCAAAGGAAATAGTAGTAGTTTAAAAACCTGATGAAAATTATTGTTTTCAGCAATGAAAACAAAGAAAGGTTCCACTCAAAATAACAGGTCACTTATCACTGAAAACGTACCAAACGGGACATTATAGAGCATCCATAACCAGCATCAAAGCTTCCAACCTGCATGCAAATGCTAAAGTATTTACGAAGGCTTGTAGTGTGGACTATAGACCAAAGGGAAATAGTGATGAAAAGAAGTAGAGACAGCTATGTTTTAGCCATATTCATGTATACAGTATTGTTGAAGCCAATACACTAGTCGATGTGTGTGTGCAAGGATATAATGGTGAAGTATTGACAAAATTATCTGGAAAACAACAATACAAAGGCTAAACCTGAAACTAACTTATCACAAAAACAATGATCACACAAACAGGGCAAACACCATTAACGACATGGTTTGGCCTTGATAGACTTACACCCGAACAATATTTGAGTGTAGGAAGGCAAAACAAATTGCGGTCTTAATTAACCATATGGAGTAACTGGAATTAGATATCCCTCACGAATTATGCCAGGCATGATTAGTTAAAGCATGGTTGTTTGAACTACAGGTTTAAAATTTGCATGTATTAACCCAAAAATATAAATGTGTGTGTGTGTGTGAGAGAGAGAGAGAGGTAGGTATAAAAGCACCTTTGGACCTGTCTGACCAAAAATAGCATTGTCTGCGGCAATTGTTAAATCACAGACCATTTGCAATACATGTCCACCTCCAACAGCATAACCTGCAACCTTGGATTAGGAAAAGAGAATCCCATATTTCAAGCCACATGATCGCAATAACAAGGTAATAACGTCGTGTTGCAAAGAGGGAGTAGCACTGGTTACCATAGCAATAACCGGTTTTGGAAGACGTCGAATCTGCACCTGTATGAAGAAGAGAATGTAAGTCAGAATGAACCGTAAGTGGAGGAACTGGTAAATTTAACTAGCTGTCAAACTTTGACGAGTTCTATTGGTTACTTTGTGATAGAGTAGGTGAATTTCACTAATTTATTGGAATTTGTTTTTTCAAAAAAAAGACAAAAATCTCGAACAAGTATAAATTTAATTATATAGACCATCATAAATCTTTTACCTGTAAATCTAAAACATTAAGGCGCCCAAAATTTTCATAATCGGCATAACCATCTTTACTTCTCAAAGCCTGATCACCACCACTACAAAAAGCATTGGTTCCCTGCAGTGGCATATTGAAAGTAAACTGTTAGCAGGTGGACAGAACTTAAGTTTCTTGTAATCTAAGCACCACTTTGGATCTAGGTCCCAAATAGGAAAATTGAGGTCACTTCCCATTCAATTAGACTCAAATAATTGCGAGTATAGGTCCAGTTCTCTCCTACCTTCTATGTACTATGACTGTATGACATGTCAAATCCTTTAATACCAGTCACTATGAGAGGTTGGACCTAGGTCATGAAAGGCAATTCTAGAACACCAACTCTTAAGCATGGCCATGTACATGTTTTAGAGGGATGACCAACCCTAAAATACTACAAATTTGTCCCTGCAGAAACTTGCTCCCAGCACTGCTTATCCGGTGAGCATGTATGAGTTAAAAAGTATTTTAACCTTACTACTAATTAGTATAGACCTCAGCATGTCGCACATAGACTTGAATGTAGAAAGTTGTTAGAGTAGCTCTAATGCAGTTAAATTCAGATTTCGCTCAATCTGTGAAAGTGACAACCAAAACAAATTAAAGCAAATCCAAGAGAAGAGCGCAGACAGGACGGATGTATTGATGCAGAGAAAGGTACCTGTCCGGTAAGAATTATAACCCCTACGGAACTATCATCACGGGCATCGTTAAATGCACGAATCAGCTCCTTAATAGTACGAGGTCGGAAGGCATTTCTCCTCTCTGGCCTGTTAATCGTAACCTAAATGGGAAAGAATAAAGTAATAAGATAATTGGAGCTATGAAATATAGATATTAACTAATCTAGAGATAGATATCAACTTTTAGTATACTTAATAATTCATGTTCTAAGACCTTTTGGTCATCAACTTCTTTTCAAGAGGTCAATCAATTTAGTTTCTGTCTTTTAATGAGTTTTTCGCTTTTAAGTTGAGCATAAGCTGGATTGTCTTCTGTCCCATCATTTTTTTTTCACTTATTTCCATCTTTCTATCTCTTCATTTTTCTCTTAGATCATTCTATATATTCTCAGTCTTCTAACGTGTGTGAATATGTAAAATAGAAGATGATGCATTATGTATCCAAATGCTACCTCTACAAGCGGGCAGCTACATGAATCGAACCATGTACCTACACCGATGAAAAACTAGCACTAACTTCATTTTTACCCAAGCAATTCTATGAACACACAATTTCGGTAAAACAACATGCAAGATCACAGGAATCATTTCTGTTCTATCCATCAATGCATGCTTCAATTTCAAAACTGCCATCCTCTACTGTATTAGTCAAACATTTTCTTAACATTGGCTCCTGAATAAAGAAGAATCTCAGTTAATTCTACCCACAAATAAAAACAGCATTGAAAAGCACCATTGCACCAAACTGTATACAGTGATAATGAGCATTTTCATTGGATGCCTAGTGCAGTGCTAAAATATTGAGCTAATACTTGCAAGTCCAAATATAAGGACCAGGCAAATGCTAAGAGTTAGGTCTGTCCATGCCTACATGATTTTCCCATTCAATTCAGCACCCTCATGGCCATTTTTTGAAGAAAATAAACCACCACACTCCACACATAAACTGAAGTTCATAAATGGAATCCGAATACATAAGTATATATTAAATACTGACCTTCGCAATGGCTTCTCCGACAGCTTTCTCATAGACAATGTCCGTGTACTCCTTGCCGGACTCATCACACGCAATACTCCAAACAGGCTCATGACTCGGAACCTCACCATGAATCCGATGGTAACTATCATTCATCGGAGCACTGCACCGATTTGACCCAACCACACCACCGCGACTGGAAGCCGAATCAGCAGGAAGGAGATGGCTGGCCACAGAGCTTACTCTCCTTCTCACGGTCTCAAGCTCCTTCTCTGCAATTCGTGCCATTGATGAGTTTGAGAATTTCTGAAGCTCTTCGCTCCGCTCCTCTTGTAGTCGTTTGAATATACGGAGTTTGGATTTCGTTATCTTTGTCGTTGTGGGGACTTGTGGATTGGGTAAGATAAGGCGATTGGTGCTGGGTATCGGAGCCGAGTTCTTCGGGTTTGGAGGACTCGATTTGAGCAATAATTTTTTAATTTCATTTAAAAAATTGAGATTAAAGATTAAATTCAGATTCATAAAATTTAATATAAAATAACTGAGCGACCCAAAAAATGGGTTGAAGAATTGTTTACTCCTTTCAAAGGGCCTGCCCGGTGCCCAGTATGGCAGTATGCTTTTCTTCACTTCCATGGGCCATGTGTCCCATGAAGACCATTTCTTAAATCTGAATCCTGGGCTATATTTATGGCCCATGGACTGGATTTTTCCAAATTGGCGGGAAGAAATTTCAGAGGAAAACACAGCTGGGAGTGGAGTCGAAGAACACTCGCTCCCATGGAAAGAGACGTCCATAAAGTTCGTCGTCTACTTCTTTTCTAATCCCAATTGTTTCTAAGGTATTTCATGCTTAATTTTATTGCCAGTCTTCTTTCTTTTTTATCGTTAATTTGTCTGTGTGGCTTTGAATTGTGCCCACTTAATGTGTGTTTTTGGACTCCTCTGAAGTTTGATTGGAGCTTTGCTGTATATTGTGTGTGAAGTCTTATTTTGCTGTTTTGTTTCATCCTTCGTGCTCTGTTTTTGTAATTGAGTTCGGTTGATCCATGACCTCCATCAACAAGTATCGGAAGGATTAGCTGGAAATAATCTTGGATTTATTGAACCTTTTTTTCTCGTGTAACTGGAGTTGGTTTTTCATCAATCAAAGAGGGGCTGAGGTTGAAAGTCTTTTAGATTTTACGTTACTTATCTCAAATTAAGAGGAAATGCTCTGGAGTTGATGCGCTGAGATACCCTTTTTTCCCCACAGAAATTAGAATATTACTTGATTTTTGGTGCCATTTCTGCTATTGAATAGGTATATGGGTCATATGTTTCTCATAGAACTGGAGAACGGGTCTACATAATATTGAGATAATTTGATTATGTTTCTCAATTGAAAAAATCTAACTAACTTGCTCATAATCTATTGTTACATATATGGTATTTCGAAATGTGTACCATTTTATTAGTTTTTTTTATCTCTTATGTGATTATTGTTTCATACGAATGGTGTGAATAACCAGTATGCCAGAATAAGTTTTCTCATTTTTTGGTGTATCTTCGATTACTTTGCATTTACCTTTTTGTGGATAGGAAGTCTTAGGACAATGTTGCAAATAGAAGCTTATGCACAAATCAGTCGCTTGCCATGCGTCTAAAAGAATCTGCACCCACCATGTAGTGGCCCCAATTTCAGAGCATGTATAGACCATATTAGCATGATTGATCTATATAATACTTCAGCTGCCTTATGTTTGTTCAATCTGTTTAGATGATACAGAATCTTCCAAGGTTTTTTGGATAAGAAAAGTGTGGTCATGCTGATTTTTTGCAAAATGGATTCTCCCAATTGGAGTACTTCAATGATGGACCCAATTGCACGCAATAAGATGGACATAACTCTCGAAATATGAAGACTTAACCCTTTAGAGGCAGAGAAGTGGTTTGTAACAAACCTACTCAAATGATGCTTTGAAAGAGTAATGTCTGTCAATAACACTAGTCAACGGAGTTCATATTATGATGCCATATGTTAATAAATATGTGCAGAAGGTGCTGGCCAATTCGACGGGGTCACAAGCGTACCAACTAGTGGCAATGTCATAGTCATGAAAGCTCTTAAGGTTCCACATTTTCTCAAACCACTAGTGACTTTTTTGGGTGATTGATCATTGATGACAATTGCCAGATACCATCATGGAAGGGGTACTGATTGCAAAATAGTAGACGAAATTTAGTATTAAAAACTGTTTTGGCTATTTAAAACCAATTCATCTTTCCAAACTAAAGCGAAATCTTTTCCATGTGAAGTCTGTGTCATACGTGAAAAGTTGTAGGAGGTCTTTCAATAGGAAAGGAGCAATGGCCAGCTGTCACTTCTCCTTTTATCCAAGAAGGTGTTAATGTCGTGATGCAAGTCACTTCTTATTAAAGAATGCCATAAATGATCTGGGCTATAATTTACTGATGGAAGAAGATTATTGAGGCTGGGCAGAACCACATGTTTCTCTTTTGGAGATGGTCTAAGTGAAATTGCAATGGTGTTTTTCTTCAGGCAGAATGAACAGATAAGTTTATTCTGGTTCTTATGTAAGCTTGCCAGGTAAGAGATGAAGAATGGTCTTCAAGAGGCAGTTTCCATCTTTACATTATGCTGAAAGGCAAAGATATTCACCTTCCCCAAAAAAGAACGTTCAGGATATTCCAGGTGCTTCAAATTTAGGGTTACCTTTCTGATTGCTCTGATTTCTGAATGGCTGATCCCCACTTAGCAAACTTTTCACCTATGTAACTCTTTATTATGTGGTGAGTCTGTTTCTTATCTACCTTAATATAGGTCTAACATATATATCCATAAGTTGATTGTATCACAATGGAAAAACTGAGGTTTAATACCTTTTGTCACTTATATATTGGATGCCACTCTGAATGACCATACTATCAGTCATTTTTTTTAAGGTCTGAAATTAGGTTTTGATCTGCAAGTGCAACCACCTGATCGGCATGCAATTGAACTGACAGATACAGGAAGATCTTGGTATGACAATTTCAAATGGCTTGAGTGCTTTCTCAAATGCCTTGCCCCTGTAGAAATAGAGTTTTTAACATTTTTGTTTTTGGGTGGTAAAGATCCTTTTTGACTTGAAATTGAAGACCTGGAGTCCTAAACCTGATTACTTTAACAATTGAGATACCATTGCACCATAATTGACTATACTAAACAAGTGTTTGATGATTAGTAGGGATATTTTGTCACAAATAGTGTGTTCCCGTTTAAGAAAAAGACCATTATCGAGTTTGGTTTTCATTAGTCAAGCATTTTGGGAGGAGTGGACTGGGTATAAACTAATCTTTAGCATGATCTGCACAAAGTGGTTGCCTCATAATTGAATTGACTGCCTCACGATTGTCGACCAGATCATTTTAGCCTACACTCGGCTATAACCCATCATGTGTAGATGGCTAACTATTGATATTTGTGTAATAATGCACATCGTTATCTGAATTTTATTCTTGTTCCAATTAGGGCATTCTTGATTACTGTTAACATCTTAACTTGCCAGATTTTCTGTGTTAGATTTTAAACAGCTTGTTTGCCAAGCCTCTGGGATGGTTTTCCAATCCATTTGTTCTGTTAATGGTCATTCAAGGTGGTATTGAGCAATGCATACATAAGGGAACACAATGGAGGTTCTCATTTGCTCTGAACCACCAGGAGGACTGGAGGGGGACACAATAACCACGTAGAGCAGCAAGTTTTGAACTTTAAATTGAAGTGTCTATTATCATGATGAACACACTCACTCGTGTGTACTGTATCTTTCTAGTCATGCTTTATGTTATCTTGATTCTAGAATTCCTGATCTGCAGGTTGCCATTCATGGGAATTTCCAGTGGTGATTACTTGATCCTTGCCTGCACTAATTTGTCTATGTTGCATTCATTTTCTAGTGCACATGTTTTTTTTTTTGCCATAATTCATTTCTTTCTTGATAACCCATTTTTCCCATTATATACTGTAAATTATTCATTAGAAATATGTTATCCCCCCATAACATGAACCATTTTCGTTTATTATATGTGAAATGTATCTAGTATGTCCTTGTCCTTTTCCAGTGCTATAGAGGAAATGCGACACATGAAAATGTCATCACGCATATATATTTCCTTGCGATTTATAAACTTAAATGTGTTGAAACGTTGATTTATTTATCAGATGTGGTGCAATGAAGCTGTATATATATACTATTTTGTACATTACTTTCAAACCCTTAAATGCTAACAAAGTTTCTAGGCTCTCACGCTAGGGAATCTATTTAATCATAGTAAAGAAAAATCCCTATAAACTAAAATTAATAGGTACACACTCAATGAAATAATGATGTGAAAGGGGTCAGGAAACACACTGACCACACATCTGAAATACACCGGAATATGCCTAGGCTATGCTTAACATGAATCATGATCAGCCTGAATCCTGTTTCTTGATGGCTTTCCGAGCTGTATACAATCAATTTGAGGGACTGTAGGAGAGTACAACTCTCCAAAAGTCTGCCAACAGAATGAATCATACAGGTGGTACTGTTCTTGCAGCGGTTTTAGTTCTATGGCAGTTAGGGTTACCTCCATACATGGCAGGCTGTCACTGCAAGCAAAGTGCACAGGTTTCACCGTGTATGTTCCTCTTATCTTTTCATAGTGAATTCCTGATAGAGCTACAGCAGATGTTTGGTTCTTGCAGTTACTTTTATCACAGTAGAATTGATCAATTATGATGGGAATTTGGACTTCAGAAACTTGAATGTTAGAGAAGAGTACTCCATGCACAGATCCTGATCCACCCTGCACAAAGAATTTGAGACTAGGTGAGGATATTTTAAGTCATGCACCAGAAATAATTTGGTGGTTCTGAATTTTGTTTGTGACATGAAATTCGGTGTGGTTGAAAATGAAGTGAGTTCTTATATTCCTTCAGTTGAAGTTTTCATTATGTTCTGAAAACTGGGAAATCATGTATTAGGATTTTGAAATTGGTCAGATGTTTAAATTGCAAACAGTCTAATAGCTAGCAACTAGGAATTAATTGTTTAAAAAATATTTCTCGTTATAGAAGAAGACTATGCTAGATAAATTCTTCCTGTCTTTGAATGATTTGTTCAACACATGGAGATTCCAGTCAGGTTAATTGTAAATGGTGTTCATACCTGCCATGTTTTGATCCTGACTCCGTTCATTGTGTTATGCATATTGATGTCCCTAACAGTGATATTTGAGACACAAGCTTTGGTGTTATCTTTTCCAAGCCCTCCAATGCTGATTCCATGTCCTGGTCCACAATTCACATTGTGTATATATACGTTTGTGCATCCAGTTTGTATAGAAACACAGTCATCTCCTGCACAAGGCACGGACATTTGAAATTCGGCTTAGGATAAAGTATCTGCATGGATGGGTTTTATATTTATTGCCTATGCCATTATAAGTGGGATTTCAATATGCTTAGAGCTACCTTAGCCTCGTTACGAGTAAGCAGAAGAAATAGAGAGAAAGTGGAGGAAAAACAGTTTTTTTTTAAGACAATAAAGTAGATTCTGGAGGCATATGTACCAAAAACAAATTGTCTCCTTAATGTGGGGTTTGTGGAGATCAAAATCAAATCCTCTATTAGATTGCTTTCCAACCATACAAATCATTGCTAGTGTCTGTCGACTTGGGCCATGAATCTTATGGTGAACTAGGTTTGTATAAGAGATGGATTGTTGCCATGTGTCAAAATGTTGGTGGTTGGGTTAAAAGGATGTGATGAGTACAGGTTAACAAGCTGGGTAAGATTGTGGTTTATTCCTGGTGTCTGAGTGTCTCGATAATATGATTGTTACTCTCCATTAGTTCAGTGGTATCATCACACAAGGTATTGATAGCCTATAGCCTTAATTCTTGCCTTTGCAAGCCTTGATCACAAGAGGCACGACCTACATGATTTGACCGGTGGCCCAACATCGTTAATAAAATAAATCAACCGTCTAAAAAACTACTTACCGCAAGCAAGGTTGGTACTGTGGATTAGCACATCCTTGGAGTTCTGTAAGTGGATTCCATCTGTATTGGGGCTGTCGCCGGGAGATGAAATGCTCATATTGAAAACTAAAACTCCTATGCAATTATCAAACTTGAGGTGGCATTGTTGACTGTTTTGAATTGTTATGCCAGTGACAGTCACATTAAAACTCCCGTAAAACCTTAGTGCCTGTGTAGCAAAAGTACGGTTATCATGTTACAAAGCATTGAATGGTCAAGAAATGCATTTTGAAATTCTGGTGCTTGTCAAGTGGTCCTTACAGTTGGTTTGATGCTTGGCATTTTTCCACCCAGTGATGTTCGTATCTGCCACAATATTGTTGCGTAATTTACAAAACAAGTCTTAGGTAATGAAGAGACTAGCTTGATGCTCACAATATGAGATGAGGCAACAATAATTACCGGAACGGGTGCATTTTCTTCCATGTTGTTCAAGGGGACAACCAGTTTTGTTTCATCATCTATAGGATCATCGAGTGGGGAATCTTGCCACCAAACTGAGCCTCTTCCATCGATAATACCTTTTCCATGAATAGTAATTCCTACCAGTTTTGTAAATTGTAGCCATTGTAAGACGCCCGAACCCCACGCTTTGGAATTTGTTGGAGCAATTATTGTGCCATCAAGCTGCATAAGAGTCAAAGTGTAAGGCTCCAAAAATGTAGTAGTCATTAAGTTACATTTTTTTCCTAATTCATAATCAAATGTTGATTGAAGCTGTGATATAGCAAATAACGTCATCTGTGATAGCTATTATTCTGCTACTGGATGGTAATGGAGGATAGAATGCAAATTTATTGATGTTTAACTTTATAACTGGGTGTGTTCTACTCTCACCATTTCTAGAGATGATTTCATCTTCTAAATTGCATTTCATTTTACCTGGAAAACAATATTTCGTTGGCAGTAAGGACCAGAGAATGAAATGGGTCCCACAAGGAACTCGAACTCTGATGGAACGATGATCGTTGATGCCTCCACTTTACAAGCATCTACCCATGCAGCCTGGAATGCCTGTGTTGCACCATAAAATTACATTGTTTTTGGGTCAGTCATATTATTTATGTCAGTTATTCTTTCATGTCACAGACTCACAGCTGGGAACTCTGTAAGTTAAATATTTTACAGTTGCTAGTTTGTACAAAACTCTATACAGTTATTGTTGGAACCTGGACCCAACTGTCGTAACAGAATCATTCGAGTGGACCCAATTCTGATTTTGATGTCCTTTACTGTGGAAGTTCTGTTGGCTTTCTCTATGTATAGTTTCCTTTTGTGATACTTTATAGTTCTTACGTCTTAGATTTGTTGTGCAGTAATACATCAGGAATATGTGACAATTACTTGCATTTTTATTCTCAGGAAATTCATTTGGAGCAAATTTGACCACACTGCCCTTCAAACAATTACTATAATCACAGCCATATTGGCTCCTTCCACAGCTCCATGCGCGAGGCATCAGAGAAGCAACCATTTTGGAGTGAGAATGTGTCTGGCGAGTAAGGCCACCTATAATTCTATTGAGGTAAAAGTACAATGTTTGGCCTATTTTGCCTCCAAACTACTCTTAATTCCTCTACTTGTCAATTCTAGGTCATTTTTATACCATTAGAACTAAGTTGCTGACATAGTTGATAAGCTTATACCTGTGTCCATTGCCGCGAATGCTATATTTGGAATGCATGATTTTCTTAGAATAATGCTAGATTAACCAAAAATTTCACGAAAGATCAAGTGATGTGACGCTGATGTAGTTTTTGGTCCCATTTTTACTCATTTAAATTCAATTTTCTTACCATATCAACGGCAAATCATTTGGTCTATAGATTTGATCCCCGTTGTTTCAGTGTAGCATTATCCTTTTTTTATATCCTTTAACCTCTAACATAGTAACATTCATGGGTTGATTGCAAACATAAAAACTACAATGGGAAATAAAAACTTGGACAACAATATTTAATTCCTAAGACCGGCATTGTTGTTGTGATTGTATAAAACATCTGACTAATTTGTGAACATGAACCAGAATGGAATTTACCTTAGTATCATCAGTGATTCCATCTCCCTTAGCACCAAAGTCTAACACGTTGAAGGTAGTGGAAGGACCATAGTTGTAACCTTTGGTTGGCGGGGTTGACGGCATTCCTTCTTTCGGTTTAGGAGGTGGAGGAGATGATGGTTTTGGTGATGGAGCTTTTGGTTTTGATCTACTGCCATTGCTATGGTGCTGACTATTGCCATGGTGCTTTCCTTTCTTCTTGTACAGAGAAGTTGAGGCACTTCTGGTTCGCCTCCAATGTTTACCCCTTCTAGCATTGCAAGTATCAATGCTCCAGGACCAAACAAGGAAGGCAATAAAAACCATAAATGTAAATCTTTTGAAACTAAAACCACTCATGTTTAGGCAGGGGGAGAGAGAGAAATGGTGGTTGGAGGTTGACGGGAAGGGTGGAAGAGAGGTACTTTAGGTAGTTAACATATGAGCTTGCAGTGTGTTTATATAGGAAGAGCACAACAGAGCTCATGAAACTGTGCAGAGACTATTTAATAGTGCGACTAATTTGTGAAATTTGGAATGGACTTATTTAGCATACTTGGGCTAAATAAATCCAAACTTCCACCTATGGGCTACGTCGTGACTGAAATCTAGAAATCATTTTTTTCAAAAAGAGGAGAAGATTGTCTACCATTTACCTCTTAGAGACGGGAATTTCGAGCACTTGATACATACTTTTTTGTTTACTCAGCCCACCAAGGTCCCATTTCTTCCACAGGGCAATATATTGTTGCATGTGATGCAATTGTAGATGCAAATTTGTCCTCTTTCAGATGTCGATATGCAATGTGAGTAAACTTGGGAGCTGAATTTACTGAAAAGAAAAAAATTGGGAGCTCAAATGCACTAAAGCATAGAGTAAAATAGGACTTTTACTTCTTGCATAACCAATGGTAATATGTCGATAGAGGGAAAAAGCTAAAAATTAAAAAGAGTAGTGCGTTCCCTCTATCATTTGGTATAACATTTTAAAATGTGTTAATAATATGTTGCATGAGGATGAACTTGACTATCTTGAGTCCTGCACTTCTGCATAGGTAATAAGTTTTATAATACCTTTGTATTCGTATTAGTATTGGAAACTAGAAGAACTTTATTCAAATTACATACAATCCATTGGTGGCCAGGGAGAGATTATGTGGGGACCATTGGATTTTTTCAGTGGAGTTCTTCCACTGGGGCAGGTCTCAGGTTTTTCCTAATCAAACCCTTTTTTAGCACAGGAAAAATGAAAAAAAAAAGGGATGCATCAATTAGAGGTCGAAATCTGTATCAATAAAAAGTGCTCAGTCGCCAAGTGGTACATCGTTGGTTCGAGTATGGGAATCAATCTTTCTGAAATGAAGGTAATACTAGCTAGCATTTGTGTCTCTCTCATATCTCGTAGGCAAGAGTTTTGTGCATTGGTATGATATTTTTACTATTTCTTACTCTAGTATTGCATTCAAAATTCAATAATCTCTTAATTGTGGCGAAAAATTAATAAAATGTTTGTAGCTAGTTATGCTTCCATCTTATGCTACTATTTTCTGTGCCGTTCTCTTATGTTGTGCATACATGTGAAAACTCTTCATTCTTATCATTATTGGAAGAGTATTTTGTGTAAGAGCCAAAGAGAGACACGTGAGTGGGTCTATAAGTTGTCAAAGCTAGGCACTGATTATAACAGCTCTTTAAGATCACATGCAACGTTCACGGGCTAGAGTTTTGTAGTTTTGTCTTCTCAAGTACCAACAGTTGCTTCAGGCCTTAAGCTCCAAGTAGTTCAATGTCATTGCCTTCTTTAGAGAGAGAGAGAGAGAGAGCTTATATACCAAATCACAGGATGATTGTTTGCAGGGTTTGAAGATTGCTATAGTAAGCAAATAATCTGTCAAACAATCCAAACTGAATGAAGGGCCTGTAGACAATGATATGAAAAGACATTATCATGCCCACAGTTTTGCTCATAGTTTTAGAGATTGGACTAAAGCAACGATAAATGGTCATCCGTCCACTTGATAACTTACCAATTCGAGTTTAGAAGTCATCATCCCTCAAATATGGGTAAAAGTGTATACGATTTACCTCTTCTAAATCCAGTTATAGAGAGAAGTTTTTGGCACTATGTATGAACTTACATAGTTTTGTACTACTACGGTGTACCAATATGTTTTTGTTTCAATGGTTGGGGTGAAAAAAAACCGCAGAACTTTAGAAGCTGTCCAAACACCAATAATTTAGTTCACAAAAAAAAAAAAGCACTTTTTGTTCACCATGTGTAGGCCATCCCTTTAGAATGCTATTGTCATGTAGTGTGAAAAAAATTAGAGAGATTATGGTTATCAGAATAAAATGTAGCCATTTTTGCACTTTTTGTATTACTTTATATGAAGTTTGGCCAAAAGTAGATTTTTTTTCTTTTCAGTAAGTGAAAGAAAAAGTTTACCCAGAATCTGTGTTTCAAGAAGAGTGTTTGGAATTTTATCATTTCTTAAATAATTAGAACATTTTTCTCAGACATCTTTACATTGCAATTTATTATTTCCTTAAAGAAGAATTCGAAAATTACTTTAGAGACTAAAGTTGTACTTATTGCAAAAGGTTATCGCCTATAGCAAGGTGTGAAAAACCTATGTGTTAGACAACTTAATTTTTAGTATAGAGAGATTGATTTTTAAACTTGAACCCGAAAATATTTTCTTTGCAAAAGATATCCATGCCTAAAAAGGGAAAAACAACAAAAAGGAGTAATTAGGCATTAATACGCAAAGCATTACGTGAAAGTGAGGCAATTGTGATTGAAAATTTTCTAAGGAAGCATTTCTTTTGATTCCTGTGAAAATTTTCCTTCCTAAAGCTTCGGCCCCATCCATCGCCTATAAACCTTTGCCTATTGGCTATTGCGCCAATAATTCTATTGTTGCCTGTTGGGAATCTCAACCTCATTTTCCATCGCCCAAGATTATCTTTGGGGTTTTGACTTCTTTGATCAGGTCCTTCTCCACAAGAATACAATCTCTCTCTCTCTCTCGCGCGCACACACGAAATTGCCAATAGGCAATAGCCCAGGTTTAATATTTCCAATATGCATGCTTGGAGTTGTCTATTGTACCAAATAAAAAATTTCGGTACTTTATCAACATTTACTACTTTTGTTGAATTTTTTTTATTATTTTTGTGGTGTTGAAGAAAAGTGATAAAAATAATTTTTACAATAAGAATAAAAATACTCATAAAAATACCCATAAAAATAATAAATTACTCACAAAAGTAAGAAATTTTGGAGGTAAAATTTCTAGTCAAGTCTTACATACTTGATCATTAAAAATGATGAAGAATGTGGATTTGTGCAAGTACTAGTTGATTTGAAGTAATTTTTATATATGTTTTTTCTTTAGAAGTAGTTTTTGTAAATATTGTTTATTTTGTATTTTTGTTTTTTATTTATTAGGGTTTGCTCTTTGTTGGTTTTGCACAACGGATAATTAACACAAATAATATTTGTCGGAAGATAGGAATTCAAAGATAGAAAAATAATAAAAATATGACGCAAAAATATAACGTAATTCAATACAACACACCCACCTTGGTATATTGTATATACATCTATAGACTAAAAACCTATGTCTAATATATCTATTCATGGTATATTAAAATTCGTTCAATTGATTTCCTATTTAATTATGTCACTAATAAACCTATTTGTGATTTATTAGGACTTTTACATTAATTACTCAACAAACTCTCTTTCATAACAATTGGAGAGTTTAGATCAAATTTCAACACTCTCCAAGCTTAATTGTATACATTTACATAATTTTTTTAATTTCTCCCATCTTTTTACACCAATGTTTATGGGGAAAGAAAGAATTGAGTGATGACAGTAAGACCTAGGATTGAGTGATGAGATAGTAGGACCTTCTAAGCTGTCTTCTTGTGCAACCATGCTCGTGAACTTGGATTCCTCTCGTGAGCCCCATGCACATGGTGGTTAGGGTTTCCTTTTATTTCAATTTAAAAAAGAATAATGTTGCTTAAACTTAAAATATGAACACAATTTGTTGACTTAATTATTCATTATTATTGTTTTAATTGTGAATCTCAACATTGTTAGAACTCACTGTCAATTCAATGGTTGTGATTGATTAGGTTAACATTTTGAATTCAAATAGCATTTTCCTTTTAGAATTGACAGCATGCTATTACGACCAATCGTGGCTTCAAACTTTCATGCTGTGAGCCAATTGCCAAACGTAAATGTTATGTGCACCAAATGATTGTCAACTGTTAGATTAGTGGGGCTCTGTGTCATCAAAGGATTGACAATAATTTGGTGCACAATTTTGGTGCCCGTAGCATTACTTACTACCGGACCAAAACACCATTGTGGTACCATAGTGGAGACTTGCATGAGCCTAATTCTCTGATGATTCATGTTTCAATCTGAGATTGATGGGTCGCATGGATAATAAGTGCACTTACTGCTTGCTAATCCTATGGTTTTTCAAATAACCTATAAAAATTCTCCAGGTTAGTAGTTCTAGTTTTAGACCCTTTTTCTCTTTATTGCACTTTAATACTATGTTTTTGTTGTTTCATTATTTTACATATAGTTAACAGTAAATCGTGTCATATCGAATTTGTACGCCAAAATTTGTTAGACCCATACTTGACTTATTGGCAAATTCATGTTGCATTAGGCTCAAGTTGTATATAAATCTTATATAGTCGATTTCAAGTCCACCTATTTTACTAACTTTACTTCGTCAATCGGGTTGCGATCGGAACCTCTTAAGATTAAACCTTTTCTCAATAATTTTGTATTGAATTAACAGGCTGTGTTAAGAATTACGGGACACTTATTTCACATCTCTTCCGAAATAGTGGTGGTGGTGGTTGTGCATGTGAAACTGCAGTTGGGAGGACTTGTTTCTGCTTATGTGCATGTTTTCCACAGATATCAAAAGCCAACAAAGGGTTTTTGTCACCACCTGTTTATCTGCATTATAGAGATTCATAAATTCATGGCCAACAGAAGCCAATCCCATTCCCAAGCATTCACGGATCTCTTGAAGGACCTGGCTACAGTTTTTGACAATATCATTATTTTGAGAAGGACATGATCTTGGTCTCTCCTTCTGTTGCTTTTTGGCATGACTTATTGCCAATAATGCTAAGAATAATGCTATTTAGACTTAAAAATTTGATATAATTTGTTAATCTAATGATGTGATTTTATTGTAATTATTAGATTAATACTAAGTTATAATGTTTAATGGGGTCCATAATCTATCCAAGGACTATAATTAAATTAGATTGGCAAATTAAATCCAAATAACATTGCTCGTAATACCAACTATATAAAGTCCTTGACTTGCAGAGCATGCAGATGAAGATCAATCCATGGCTGGTACACTGTCATTGTCACACCTCATATGGTCTCTAGCCACAGATAAAGTAATATTTGTCTTGTATACTTGTCTTCTAGGGTGGAATGTTCATTGATCTGCAGTGGTCCTCAACATTTGCATTAGTAATAATGGAGGAGCCACAGAGCAAGGACGACTGGTTGATGCCCATTGCCCATTGGATCGGCTTTAAAAACTTGTATACTCTCCCATATACGATAAGGAGTCGGGTCTAAGCCTGCCAATTGTGTTGGGTGAGGCGGGTTCGTGTTGAGTTTTAATGGTTTGTGTCAAAAAATAGTTCACTTATACCCGATTCATTTATTAATTCGTGTCCAACGAATCGTGTTATACGGGTTCGTGTTGTACATAACCCGGTATAACTAATTTATAAATGAGTTGTGCCGAGTATTTTTTTTGATTGACTTCATTTATAACTGATTCGTTCATTAATTGTATCATGTCCTGTCCACTTGTTTTACTAAACAGGTGGTTTAATGAAAATTCAAACCCTCTAATTTCTTGTGTTATGTTAACGGATCATATTATATTTTGCACCTCTAATTGGGTCAATTGCCTCTTATGTAATTGAGGGAATAGAGGTATAGGGGTTCAAATTCTAGAGTTGCTATGTATTATTTACCATTGGTGAGGGACACCCATTGGTATTTTATATATTAGTGCTGAAGTCCATATTCTTTTGTTATTACCGAAGTTTCAATCGATGAGACACAACACAGACTAATTAGAATGTACCTTATTCAATAAGAAGATAGTAGATTTATGAGAGAACATTCTGTTTAGCTTCTTCGTGGCATCTACATTTGGATTTGTTCTTTGTTGTTTTGTCTAACCTTACATCTAAATCTATCGTAAGCAACACTGATACAGTCCCAGATTATTCACCAGCCCCACCGGCGCTGTCTGATCAAGATATGAAACTCTACTTGTGCAGATATATGATTGCAAGAGATTGCTTTGAAGCCCTCAATCTCCTTCAAATGAAACTTTAGGTGTATTACACATTGTTGTTACGCCCGAATTTGATCCAGTTCTCAAAACCAGTGGCAGAGGTGCATTAAGTCTCAGGTGTGCCATCCTTCTTCTCAAAGTCGTTGTTTTTGAGGAACTGCGTATGGAGTGAATTAGTTCATAATATTTTACATATTTACACTTGTATGATGTATACATGAATATGTCCTATGTTTAACTTGGTACTTACCATACTTGTGATTATATGACTATGATCTTCAAGCTACATCTAATGAAGTAGATCTTGTACATAGATATTTAGGACAAGTACATGAGTGTTGAGATTATATTTACAACCAGGTTCAGATTCTTGTAATGGTAGCATGACTAGGGTATTCCTGTTTTTGTAAAATGAAAAGGTAGATATATTAACAAGTTTGTTCAAGCAATCATTTACAGTCACAGGATTGAAGGGTATGAACATGGATATTTTACCTGGTTTTGATATGCTGGCTTTGAAACATCTTCATCTTTACATTTTGGTATCGCCATGCTGAACAGAGCCAGATCTTCCCTATACCAGAAAACCCGAAAGACAGACATTCCTGCCATTCTCACACAAAGGATATTAGGATGCATTGTATAGTTTATACATATGATCTTTAAAAACTGCATCACACCAAAAATAAAGAAAAGAAATAATAAAAATGAAAGAATTTGTTCATTATACATAATACCTGTTGGTTATTGCCCGTAGTAACAACACTGATTGTCCTGTTTCTGCGTCACGAAAGTCCTCTGGAAGAGGGCTCACATTCCAGTGATAGTGTAAATATTAAGGGAAACCATTCAACTCAATCAAACTACAACCAATCTCCCTTCTCAACTTTCTTGCCACCGCAACCTCTTTAATCTGAGAAGAGATTTCGAATTCTCCAATTTCTGAATAAAAGTTTGAAGCTTGCAACCAAGCAGCATGATGCTCTGGTTCAAGTATCATCAACATCTCTGCAGCTCTCTTTCCCACTCCTTCATTTTGATGAACCCTGCAACTGTGCAACAGAGAACTCCATGTCACAGAATCACCTTTTGATGGTGATTGCATTAGCAACTCTTCCGCTTCATCTAGTAATCCTGCACGGCCAAGAAGATCCACCATACATGAGTAGTGTCGCCTGTCTGGGTCAATTCCATGACAACTTTTCATGGAGTCGAACAACAGTCTTCCTTCCTTGACCATGCCTGAATGGTTACACCCCATTAACACACACAATAATGTCACTTCATCAGGTTTCAGACCCTTTTGGATCATTAATTCAAACATTTCAATGCTTTCCATTCCCATTCCATTTCGAGCATATGCGTTCATGATTGATGTGAAACAGATGACATTAAGAGAAGGAAGATTTTCAAAAACCTGGAGAGAAAGATCAACATGTCCAGACCTTGAATATGCATCGATCAAAGAACATGAAACCGCGAAATCAGATTCAAAACCAGATTTTATTGAGCAACAGTGCAGCAATGTGCAGCTAGCCAAGCTTGTGGAAGCTGATATCGATAATGCTTTGAGTGTCGAGGACAGACTGACTTCATCAAATCCAATGGCTTCATCTACCATCAATCCAAACATCTCAACCACATCCTCAATTACACCGCAATGCAAAAAAGATGTCATTAGTGAGTTACAACATTCAAGAGTTCTCTCGGGAACACTTTCAAATGTAGACACTGAACTCTCAATGTCACCGCATTTCCCATACATGTCAATGAGAGCAGACTGAACATGGATGCTTTGATGATCAAAACCCAATTTCAAAACACAATCATGAATTTGTTTCCCAAGCAGTAGATTCTTCCTCTCACTTGATAAACTCAAAAATCCCAAAAATGATCGAGCTGAAGGTTTCTTGTTCCAAATATGCATCTTTCGGAAGACTTCAAGAGCATCAAGCCAAAACCCATTAGCAGCATAAAGAGAGATAATTGAGTTCCATGATATAACATCCTCTGGTGGAATCACTTCAAATGATTTCATAGCATAAACGGCACTCCCACAAGCTGAGTAAAAGTCAACCAAGGCATTGGCTACGAACAAATTTGATGCTAACCATCCACTCTTAATCACATAACAATGCAGCTGCTTTCCTTCATCAAGAAACTTCTTACCGCCACACCCACGAATCAAATAGCAAAATGTCAGCCCATTGGGTTCAACAGCCTCCAATTTCAAATTAACGTACAACCTTAACAACTCATGTGGTTGACCCAGTTCACAGAATCCACGTAAAATCAAATTCCATATAGCTAAATTTCTCTCTGGCAAGTCATAAAACAATTTTAGAGCAGTATCACTATCACCCATTTGCATATAAAGATCAACAAGTGCACTCCCAACGTAAATGTTCATATTGAACCCAAGAATAACGATTCTACAGTGGACTTGAAGCCCTTCTCTATAAAACCCTGCATCGCTACATAGACTCAACAAAGATGAAAAAGTCGACGAACTTTCCCTGATTCCTTGAGAAACCATCCCAAAATAAGCATTTAAAGCTTGTCTTGGAAACCCATTATTACCATACCCAGAGATTAGTATATTCCACGTGATAACATCTCGTACAGGCATTTCTTCGAACAGTTTGAGAGCATTGTCCAGAGACCCAGATTTGAGTAGATTATCAATGGTTCTGTTATAGGAGTAAACACTTGCATTACCGTTGGTTTGGTAATATGAGTCCAATTGAAGAATAGGAAATGGTTTAGTTATGGGTTTGATCTTGGGCGTAAAGGCTGTTGTTATTGTTCGGGCAAATGATAGGCATTGTTTGCATTGCATTGCTCGTGAGCTCAAGGTAAAGTTGACATTAAACACCTTAAAGAAATAAAGTAAGGCTAATCTCACTTTGCACCCCCAAAAGATACTTCAATTTTCAATTTATATTCTCAAACGTTAAAAATTTAATTTATACCTTTAATGTTTTGAATTGATAGCAATATAGACTTAACTTAGACTACCCTTCAATTTTCTATCATAAATTGAAGTATGTGAGTTGCAATTGCTTCAAATATTGGCTTGTGTGTAAATTCATTGACCATTGGTGAATCATGTGAGCTACATATGATATGGTTAGCTTCTATTTGATTAATGAAACTTTATTTTTTATACATAAAACAGTACTAAATTAATCACAGACGAAGATCTACAGTGGTGGACATACTTCATCTTCATGTTTTAGGCACTTGCACGGTTGCACCTCACGTGCCTCAATTTAAGACAAAAAATTGAACAGCAGTCAGGATTAAATCTACATTGTTACCAATTCTTAATATTGAGGGTATAAATTAAAATTTTTAATGTTTAAGGGTACAAATTAAAAATTAAAATATCTTTTGAGGCACAAAGTGAAATTAACCCTATAAAGTATGATTCTGCAGGGCTTAAATAACTCAGGTTCGAATTTCCCCCTCCATAAAAACAACAAATTTTATCAAGCTCCTAATATGTGATTAAATTTGAAGAGCTAAACCTTGTCTCAGTAATTTGATATTTTTTTTTGTTAATAAGTCGCTTAGTGCGTTAAGAGTAATATTACACTGACTTAAAAAATTAATTTAAAAATTTAATTTTATGATGTGATTGTTATATTTGTCATCGAACAGGTAGTGAATCCTAGTATTTATTAGGACGCATTACCTATTCAATAATAAGAATTCATCAAGTCAATTTTTTAAATTAATTTTTTAAGTCTTTAATATTTTGGAATCCATTATTTATTCGATGGTAGCGATTCATTAAGTCAAAATTTTTAAGTCTATATAACATTTTCCGTGCATTAAATATGGGTGATTATATACACATAGTATGATTTGATTTTTTTTTAAATCAATGAATTTGAACAAAGATAGATATTACATTGAATGGTATTGGTGGAGCCAAATGTAAGATCACAGCAAAAGGGTAGGTGATGTCATGATGTGTATCATTCTTCCATAATACATTATGCTATCTTAGCAACATTATCATTTAAGATCAAAGCCGGGCATGACCAGAATCCTGCTCGTTTCAACAGTTTCACTTGCTCTTTTTTAGTTTAAAAGTCGGGAGTGTTTAAACTAACTTACGTGTACTTTAACTAATTTCTTATTTGATTTAGACCTCGACTAATTCACGTCGAAAATAAAATATTCATGAAAAATAAATCTTTTATAATTTAACTACAAAAAGTAGTCAAGTTTTAAAGTAAATATGTCTAAGTTTACGCAACTCATCTCTGTTATCACTTGCACTAACTTGGGATTACAGCTTCACTTGCTTCAACCATATAGCATAAAACACATTTCCTAATGTAAGCACAAAAGGGTAAGGGAGAGAGAGAGGGGTCCCCAAAAACAAGCACAAAAGATCAGATGCTACTGAAAAACCCAGTGCAGCATATATATTAAGACACAATCAAAGGATACATTGTGGAATCTCCATAAGCAGGATTAGAAGGAACAACTATTCTACTTACAAACAACAAACAGAAATCTACATACTCACAATGTTATTATCTTATTTTTGTAGAAACATGGGAGATTTACAGTTCAAATTAAGACAAACAAAAAACATTTAAAATTTTATTTCGTAGGCAATTGAGTGATGTTAACATGTGGATGAAATAGCCTCCAAAAGTGCCACCACAAACTGCATTTGCATTTCTTCATTAATTCTTGAAAAAAGAGGAACATGGAGAAAGAGAGATTTGTGGCCTTTCTGCTCTGCAAAACGTAAGGAGTGATAGTACACATAATTGCACACAAAACGGCCTGCATCATCAGATATCAGCACATCGTAGCCTTTCTTCTTCAAAAACTGTATGATTGCCTCAACAGAGCAAGAAGTCTTCAACAACCAAAAAATGAGAAGGAAGAGTTAGAAAAAGGGGCATAGTGAATAGCCAATGCATCATATAAGAATGTTTACTTTCGATTATTTTTAGGAATATCACGTCTCATTTGATCGGGAATGGTGGAATTTCCCGTCTTTTTTTCTCTGCTTGACTGAATAGGGAGGAAAAAGGGGGAGTGGGGGGGGGAGGTTCAAAAACCCAACCTCATGGTTGTACAGAGTTCTCCCCTCCCAGGGTATACCGCAAAAAAAAAAAAAAAAGAATAAAAAAATGTATCTCATGAATCCTAGTGGCAGTTTAATGTTTTGTTGGATTAATGATAAGTGCCTAGTTCCCAAACCAGGGAACCACCTATTATCCCTGCCAGATTCCATTCAACTGAACATATGATCCTAATTATCACACGATCAGTTTAAGAGGTGAAACAAAAAGGCACAAAGAGTTGGATGGCAGCTCTAGCTACGACCACTCAAAGTTGATCAATCTTGTTGTTTCAGCTTGGGAATAACAACACCCCCCCCCCCCCCTCCCCCAAAAAAAAAAAAACCCACCAATGAAAACCCCATAAAAAACAAAAATAAAATAAAATTTCTCCAAGTTTTTAAGTGAATTGATGGGAACTAAACGTGAAGGTTTGGCTGATGTCGAGCTTGTTTCATTATCCTCGATTTACTATAGTGAATATCACAGCAAGCTTTTCACGATGAAATCCATATCATCCTACAGGTTCTTGACCTCTTCCAGATGTGAAGCAATATCTAAGTCATCTACATTAAGCCAGCAGACTTTACCATCTTGGCTAGCTGGTATCTTGATTCACCATTCTTTTACAAAAGACCACATTATCTCCTTTGCAATCCAACATAGGCTCACTTTTTCAGGAAAGTAGCACACACTCATAATAGGTCAAAAAATACAGCGGAAAGATATATCTTCATCCTCTCATGGTTGATTGCTTCTCCAAAACCAACGGATTGTCTAATACCCTCCACTAGTATGGCCAATACTATTACAGAAGTTAAGTCTCCAAGTATTCACTTAGTTCTTATTACCCACATTCATTCTCCATTATCTAAGCAGGGCTTATTTACTTCTACAGTTCTTTAACATAAACACCACAAAAACATTAAGTTTTTTGCTAGCTATCGTCAAAGCAATTGGCAGCCCAGGGTTCAAAAAACAAATCCAGGGCGACACGTTAAAAGGTAATAATGACATTAAAAACCAACTCATATTTTTCCAAAATAAATATGGGCAGCGGTGATGCAGAGAGAATTCAATCAGTTATAATCACATTTCGGCAATCTCATTACACATGTACAAATATTCATGCCAATAGCTTTACATTGCTCACTTTTCATGCATTCCGAAATATAAGCTCACTTGTTCAGATTGGAACATTAGTTCCTTTCAGTGACGACGTGGTCGACTTATGAAGGTTTGCTTCCCAAGTCTTAATAGTTTCATACTGTCCCCTGATGTTTCAACGTAAAGTGCAATAAAACATAAATATTCCTCTGCTACATATGGTTATTTTTACACGTTTTACAAGCATATGGATGGATATTGTCCAACATATGAACCCATCTAGAACCTAATGTGTTTGTCCACTGAATTGCAAATCATGTTAAGGGACATAATGATAACACAAAAACAAAATTGAGTTACCTCTCTTGTAAGTGTTGTTCCTCCATCCTCAAGTACAATTGGCACTCGCTGGAAAACAAAAATAAAGTTTAACATCAAGTATGAAGATAAACGCAAAACATGAAATAGAAGTGTATCTACCTTAGGTTGCCAACTGAGCTCATCTGGACAACAGAAAGTGGCTTCATTCACAGCCTGCCGCTCAACAGCAAATTTCATTGCCCCACTGTTGACCCCCAAGTGAAGCTGAAAGCCAGAAGATAATCGCCTTTCAGTTACCAAGTCTCAATCACCCAACTCTCTTTTTTCCTCTTCTCTCCCCCCCCTTCCCCCCAAAACACACACACACACACACACACACAAAGAGAGAGAAAAAAAGAAAATGAAGAAATTAATTTCCATACTAAAGCCATTAAACACCAAGTCATTCACATAGGGTCAGACATAATCCATATCCTGCAAACTCCAATTTGCAAACCTTTTGCACAATGTTACAGATATAAGTACATACATTATGACTGGTTTGCATCTTTGATTATAAGGTTTGCCCTGGTACTTTTTATTGCTAGATCATTTAAGAAATTGATTGTTGTAGGCAGAAATCAATTTCAATGCCCCATAAAATTAGTTTTCTTTGGGCTTCCAGATTATGGCAATTGATCTAAGAAAATCAGCTGACAATAGATGAGTTAATCAGTTTGAACAGTTTCCATTTCTACAGTATATGCTTCCAGAATAGAAAAATGATAAGGAGTGGTTTACTGAAGCTGACCCATACGACTTGTTCATTGCTCGAACTATTGGAGATACCAGACTCCATGACATTGTAAAGTATGGGAAGTGCACCATCTCCGGCAGTCTCAAGAACCGTGCAGCTCCCTAAAGTAACGCCAGTGGGCAATCCTCTCTTTTCAACATAACTTTTCAAATTAGTAACAATAGTTTCAGTAGGATTTTCAGTAACCCCTTTGAATTTTTTGAATCCAGTCACATGAATTGTCACATTCTTTGGCCCTTCTGATCCCATCTCTTCCTAGCAACCACAAATAGGATTTCCAATTCTTGATCAACACTTCCACAAAACCTGCTCACAAACCAACCATCTCATACAAATAGCAATCAGTTTCATCAGCCACCATGAATAAGTTCAACTTGCCAATGAAAAGAAAGAAAAAAAAAATGGGGGTGATGGTGTCACCTCAATAACCATAGTGCTGAAGATGTAAACTCAACCATTAAAACGCAACATATGATTTTCAACACAAGTATGAGATATGACCAAATGATCGTTAATTCAATATGATCAATCCAATTAATAGCCATTTAAGCACAAATGCATTCCTAGATCAATGCAGAAACCAAAAATAAATCAAATCTTCCACATATAACTATGTCTAGTCTGGTTTTTAAGCATATGATTTTTAAAGTTTAAGTGGGGTTTATAACTTGATAAGGGCCGTAAGGCCAAATATGCAAGCTACGCAATAGCAGGAATAAATAAATAAAAATCCAATTACCAAAAAGAATCCAAAAATCTTTCCTTTCCGAAAGAACTTATTCATGATATACAATTACTCAATTTTGTGGGTGTCAGGTGCGAGCCTGTGTGATAATCTAAAGGCAGTGCTACGTGCAAAAGCTATAAGAAATTAAACTAAACAAGAAACTACCAAATGAGAAAATATAAATCAAAACTAAGACGAAAGATGAAATGAAATACTTACTACAAGTCCCAATCAACAAAGAATATATGCAAGAAAACCCTTTATCAATACACACACACCCGCAAAAAACAGCTACCTAGATTGTAGTTTGGAGAGACTGGCACACAGAGAGTAATCAACACAGAGAATTACCTCAGACCCTCTCTCTCTCTCTCTGGATTGCCGTCTTCTTACAGTGTATGGAGAGCCTGTTGGACTTTATTGGCAGCCGAAAGGCTTAAGTGTTTAAATGCCCTCGGACGGTTAATATATTACGAATTTGCCAGCATTTTTGCCTGATACTTTCGGATACGGATTACAATAAAGAGATAATTCAACGGTAATAGCGCACGAAAAGAAAAATTGATGATTTGAGTATGAATTTTAATAAATTTTTGTGATTAAATTATGAAGAATTTAATATTTTAATTTTGGTATAAATAATATATTTTGATTGAAAAAATTAATTGAATTGTACGCAAACTCTCACCCATTAAATTAAAAAAAAAATAGAAAAAGATTGGTCCAATGATTAATCTCACGAATAAAAAAAAACACAAAAATTAGAATAAGAAACTGCCAGCATGGCAAACACTGGTACTACGTCATTGAACAATATAAAAAAGGTAGGAGGTGACATGTGTGAATGGTGACACTAGAGTTTGTTTGTTTTCTCTGTTTTTTTGAAGTAATCATCACATGTGCGTTGCATTTTTGTTTTCTATTATTACAAAATAACATGATTAATGAAACATCTTTTACGGTAAAAGAGTAAAATATATTTTTAGTCTTTAAAGTTTAAAATATATATTTAATCTGTAATTTTTTAATTTTGTCTATTTTTATCCTTTAAATTTTTAATTCATATTTATGTAATTCAATTCCAAACGTTTGTAAAAAAATTATTAATGTCATTAGTAACGCGTCAATCACATGGGACAAAATAGACACAAATTATGAATTTTAGGGACCAAATAAACATAAAATAAAGAATTATATAATTGATACGTGACTAGAAATTGCAATAATTTTTTACGAATGTTTGAAATTGAATTACGTAAATACAAATTATGAATTTTAACGACAAAATAAGTACAATTAAAAGATTAAAAATCAAGCAGACACTAAACATATATTATGGAAATTAAAAATATATTTCACCCTTTTATGGCATTATCTATGAGAAATAATTTAATTTATTTCAAATTATATAGTAACGAGTCTATGGAAATCCAAGAAAAACAAAATAAAAAAAGTTCAAGAAACAATGGTAGGGATAAGATTCATAATTATACCAAACACATGGGGTCAAATGATTGAATATTGACATGGTAGTACCTTTTGGTTTCATTTTTATTCATTTAAAATTATAATTTTCTCATTATTTTAGCAATTCATTTTCCTCTTAAAAGCAAATTTATAATTTGAGTTATGAGCAATATTCTTCAAATATAATTTATCAATATTTTTTATTGACTTAAATACTCCCTACTATTGAATTGACAGAATATACCTCATTGTTAATTGAGATTTACGATTAATTTAATAGTTGTGATACAATAAATTAATAATAAAACAAACAAATTAAATTTAAATAATATATTCTTTTGTTACACCTCAGATTTCATTGTTTAGTTGGGGCGCAATTCGGACGGGTTGGACAGTCAACCTTAGGTATATAATCTTCAACTCTAACCCTAATTCGGGTGGAGGAACTCAATCCGAGCACTGCCCGAGTTTAATTTGGGCGAGCTCGTGTTGAATTCGGGTTAATAATTTTGAGTTGATTTTGGTTTACTATACAGGGTCAATTCAATTTGAGTTCGGATAGAACCTAAAATAGACTTATTGTTCTAAACCTAATACATATATTACATAATATTCACCCAAATTAACAACTAATAACTTCAATCATGAGAACGAGAGAGGCAGAGAGAACTAGATAGACAGAAAACGATAGAATAAAAATGAAAAATCAGTGTTAATGCTCTTTATATATATATATATATATATATATATATATATATATATATATATATATATATATATATATATAATTTTTTTTTAAAATTTATCGGGTTCGGGTTAAACCCGTGAACCTAAGCCCAATCCAAATTGTATTCGGATTGAATTTTTTAACCCAAGTATTAAAAATTTTTACCCAAACCTTAATTTTTTCGGATTAAAATCGAGTTGTTAAACCCACGTTGTACCCTATTGTTTTGTGCTACCCTAGGAAGTTTGTCCATCTCCATCGATGAAACAGGTTCCAAATCCCAAGGCAATACATAAATGAAAAGGACAACTCATACAAACAAACCTAAAGTGGGTAGCCAAACGAAACAACACAAGTTCCCTAATATAATAGCAATCAATGCTTCAACCCACCGTGATTCGTTGTTGAGTTTAAAAAAATAATTGATATAAATTTAAATATTTTATAATTAAAAAAAAATGATTCCGTTAAATCAATTCTAAGGAGCCCATTTCATAATTAAATTTCAATTCTAAGGACCGGATTTCCCTTGCAAAACTAGTTTTAGTAAAATCCAACATTTTATAGGTAATCATGCATTTTCATTAGGGGATACAGCATTTTGAGATGATTGGGATTTTTTTTAAGCCTACATTGTCACACACAGTTCAGTTGGCTGATGGAAATTTCCCTCTTGAACCCAAAGGTGTGGATATATCATTGGTACATAGGCATCAAAGATAGGAGGGAAATTCTATGATACCCCCAAAAAAAAATTTGGTATCTGCACTGTCGGTAATTATTTTATATAGTAAAATTATAATTTTAAAAGAAAAAATTACAACCGTACAAAAAAAGTCATGAGCGATCGCAGACACCTATGATCGATCATAAAAAACGCAATATCGATCTCAATATTTTATAATTGATCATGCACTTTAAAATTATAATGTACATCTCAAAAAAATTATAACTTAACCTAAAAAATTTGTATCTTTTGATACTGGTACCGCCTTACCTAGAAACTTAAAGATACAAGAACAGTTATCACAGCCTAGAAACATCCATTTGAGGGGGGATGAAGGCTGTTGGTCGGAGAACAGACAGAATAACTCATAATGTTTAGATTCAGTTTTTTCACCACAAGGGCCTTCGTTAATATGAGACCTTGGCTTGGCTGGCATATAACAATAGTGATACTAATTACTTGCCATAAACTAACCGTTCTTAGAACCGATTTCAGAGCAATATGGTGAATTTGATTCCCTGATATGTCCAAATAACCAATGAATTAAAAAGAATCACACAAGGGACTTAGAGAAATAAACCAAGCTACCTGATTACTACACTTTTTCAAAGTTCAATGAAAGATGGCAAAAAAAAAAAAAAAAAAAGCTCCACCGAAATGTACACCTAGACGAAAAACTATCCAAACACCATTTTCCAAATTGAGGAAGTAATCCACATACATTGCATAATAATAAGGAAAGAAATGCCAATGTAAATAAGAGATCTGAAAAGTGTGCAATTTTTTTTTCAACTTTACGGTATGATATTTTAAGACAAGTACACCTGGACACTGGCCGTTTTCATCAACTGGCATACAGGGCAAACACTGACTAACCCTTCACAATCTGTACACAAACACAAGTGTCTACAAGGCATCAACAAGATGGACACCTCCTTACCCTTGCATGCTCTGCAAATCATATTACCATTCAAAGAAATCAACTTCCCAGCTCCACTGGCAGCGTTGAGGTAGTTGTTTGGGTCTATGCAGGAGGCAGCATCATCTATGTCAGAGTCTCCAAATCCTTCTTTCCCTTTGTCAGCACCATTTAGCGCTTGCTGGAGGTTTGTTTTCAAGATGTTAACAACTGACTCATTGTACTTAGCCTTGTAGCACCAATTTTTGGCTTCCATTGCCACCTGCTTCATTTTCTCAACTAGCTCCCTGTTCTTGTGATTTATGTTCTCTAGCTCAAGATCTTTCTCACGCAACTTCTCACCAACACCTTTCTCTAGAGCGGTCAGAAAAGTAGCCACGTGTCTCTGCTTAATGTCCTTTACTCCATTCATTAAATTTATTTCCTGTTTAATAAGCAATATAAGTGAACCAGGAGAAATTACCCACAGCTATGTACAAAATGCCAATCATTGTGTGCAAGTATGCTGTGAAATATATTTTATAGTTTTTTGTGATTATAAGAAGTGCAAATCAATATATAAGGAGATCAATCAAAAATCATCTTTGCATTGATGAGGTACAACTACCAACACCATAAACCTGAAGTGTTGATCAATTAATGACCAACTATTTCAGAAGTTCAAATATAGACTACCAAACTAGAAAAGGTCTAATATGGATGCCATACGATGCAGGTCAAATCTATCTAATAGTTTAACTTGGAGAGCGTAGTCGATACCTGAGTCTTAATATACTGAACAAATTCTTCTTTCTGACGGTCAAGTTCAGTCCTAATGTTGTCACTTAAAGACAAGATAACTGATGACCGTGCCATCATACTTCCACTTGCCGAAGTAACAGAGGAATTGTGTTCATCATCGTCGTATGACAGCCTTAAACCGGTTGACACAGGATTCTGATTTGGAATGTTTGCTGATGGATCAGCTTCATCATGATAGACATTGTGATTCAAGGAAATCTGTAGCTTCCGCTGTCTTGAAATGTCTTCTTCTCCCCGGCCTCGTTTATTAGGCCGAAACACGGGGATAGTATGCTCACTTCCAAAATAATTTATTTGATCAACATTACATCCAACTGGTACTGCAGCACACATTGCATATTATCAGGCAATACCCTAAAGCTATACTAACTGTTGAGTTATAAGGATTACTATATTTCTATTAAGCAACCAAATTTTGTTTATTTATATAGTTGTAGCAATAAGGTGTTGAAAAACCGAAATACAAGCATATTATTGGAAATACAAACTTACGATTTTCAAATAACTGAAGCTGATTTGATGCATTGGCAGGATACTGGAAATGACTTTGATTAAGAAAAACAGGGTCTGCTGCATTTCCATTGTTGGCTCCCAACATTTTCCAGTAAAATAGATCTTATACCCAGGGCTTGCGTTTGAAGAATTCCAATAAAATGACCAGCAAGAATTGGCCTACAAAAGAAGAAGGCAAAAGATTGAATTCAACAGGACACAAAGCTGGCAATGCCTTAAATCAATGCCATACCAAAGCCATGCAAAATAATCAACCAAACTGCCAACTGCCAGAGTTTCAAAACAACTGTGTTTCGATGGCATAGAGGGGCCACCATGGTGTCTCCCTTTGAGACGAATTAAAATGCCTTGAGGTTCAACTTGAGAAAAATTCTTTAAGGGTTCATGTCTCAAAGATGAGAATAAGACAGAACAGGCTAATGCATCATCAGATGGGGTTTGAACTTTCAAAACATATCTATTTCATTATGCAGATATGGATCCTTGAAACCATTTGATTCTCTATCCCACATAAAAGGAATTCCCACATCCAACATTACGAGATTTAATATGATGAGAGTTAGCCTCCATTGCCACATTTATTACAAGATAAAGAGAGAAGGTCTCCAAAAGATCCATTCGTACAATGTTCCTTAATAACTCTTTGGTAGTATATGTTCCAACCATCAGCTAGTTTTTGTGCAAATATGAGGTAAACCATAAGCGATAACTGCCAAATACGGTCTCTAATAAGTTAATTTTTACACAACGTACATTATCCATTGCTTTTCATATCAACATGCATGCAAGTGCTTTAAGGGTCTTAAATTCATAACTAACACGTTGTGCATACTAAAATTGTAGATCTCATGCAAATGCATACATATATATAATTGAGTTCAAAATCTAAAATTCCCAAATCAAACATAGGCATTGGGCACGAGCTTGAGTATTTATAAGTTTGTTGAAGTCTGATTTGCGATTTCTAAACATTTCCTAGAAATAGCTATGAAAGTGAAATTGAGAGCATATACATTACCATCATGGTGAAGAAAAGAAGAAAGACTAGTCATATTTTCTTTAAAAAAATCAAAACAGATAGGTAAAAAAAACCCAAATACAAATATATTAATGGGTATCTGTGCGTGTAGTGAAGATAGAGAATGAAGAACACAGAAATAACATGAAAACAAAAATATAAAAATTGATTAGATACACGGAGAGAAAACTGCATCAGATTGAAACCATACAGAGAGATCTTTCAACTAAGACTGTAATCTCATATAAAAAATCCGAACTTGTTTCACAATTTCTACAACACAAGACAATCAACCTTCTTCCGATGAAACCCAAAAGAATTCACATACAAACAGACTAACATAGATAGACAGACAAAGATACATATATATGCATCATCGACGAATCTCTAAGAAAAATGCAAAAGATCTAAATTTTCTTCACTATGCAAAACATATTCCTCAGACTCTTATCAACATACGGAATATCTATCAATAACATAAGCAAAAGAAACACATAAAAATTACCTCGAAACGCGCAACTTTGATTTAGGTTCGAGGCGAACTACTTCGCCAAGGCCCTACACATCCGACGCCAAGTCTCATAAGTCAAACGATACAGAGCAAGATGGCAACTTTTATATCGGATATATATATATATGCCCATTTGTAGATACAAGAAAGACCATACCTCAAATGGATCATCTGGACAAGGTCGATCAGGCGATCTCAGAGAGACTGAGGACTCGTGAGAGAGAGATCTGAGGCAAAGGAGAAAATGTGGAGAGAGAATATATTAGAAAAGACAGAGTAACTGATGCTTTTAGGGAGAAGATAGAGCGGGGTGGTGGTTACGGACACAGAGAGGTAGAGGTGGAGGTAGAGGTGGGACTTACGAAGTGAATGTGAAAAAGAAAACGTCCGAATTAAGGGACCCACTTCCACACCATACCCTTTCCCTCCTTACAGCAAATTTCTGGAATCACGCTCCTCCTCGATTCATCGCCTACTCTACTCATCTCTCTTTTTCACACCAACAATTTCCAAGTTTCGGGTTCGATTTGACTTCAGTGCCCTTGTCTCCATTGTTTGGCCATTCAAATTCCTTTATGTTTTTTCATCATGATATTCGGATCAGTTAATACGAAGTTTGAATAAATTTTTTTTTTGTAAATTATTCACGTTGGAATTCCTGTAATAATTTAAGACAGTGATCTCTAAGTTGACAAACCTGAAAAAATAGGGTCAGAAAAAAGGGGGTCAAGCGAGCGTCCGACTTATCCCTCTGAAGCTTAAGTCAGTATAAGGTCGAAGAGTTTTCGTTCAATAGACTATTTTTCTGATTCAAGTTTGCGTATCTTTGTCCATTTTTCTGACGAGTATTTATACCTGAATTAAAAATGATTGTCAAAGATCTATTGTCCTATTTGGACATCTTACATCTGACACACCATTCTTCGTGTAATGAGTGTTTTTTACTCACGTCTCCTCCTATTCAATGCTAGGATCATGGGGTAAATGTTCGGCCCAATACCGAGCATTTATGCCATTCTCCTGAATATCCAAATCCCCCAGATCGACATCCGACATCAATTGAATATTGAATACTCAGGGAAAATAGTTTCTCGGGAGAGCCGATTTGGTCATCTCGACGCATCAGTCATTAATGTTTAGTCATCATGACAGTAGACTTAGACTCCCAGAAGGCAGGTGCTAGCAGACTCACATTTATTTGTCTTATCACTATCATTCATTCTGTCATAAATAAGAAATCACATCGCATTAAATACGATGTCAGATGTCGTATTCGACTGCATCGTGTCACCATACTTCGACTTACCTCCTCGACGCCCTTTGAACATCTCAATAATTTCATTATTCCACGTGTCAACCTGGGGGTTGTAGAGTCACCTAGAATCTTGTCAATATTCATGAAGAATAAATTTTTATGGCTTGATCCAAAAATTATCAAGATTTATATTAAAGACGTCTACACTTGCTTCTTCATTCAACCATATAAAACAAACTCAATGGTTTTGGTTTGAGGCCGACTGTTTCCTCTAATTTGGTCGGTAGAATTTAATTCTGTGTTGTCCCTTTCATTCATAGTGGCTATAAATATTTACTCCTAATCCACCTTTACTTTTGAAAAAATTACATTTCTATTTTTAATGGTCTTTTTGTCTTCTTGTTCAAAAAACAAAAAAAACTTTTTACTTTTTTGTTTTTTTTTTTGAAAAGAAACGGTAGAAAAAAAAAACTTACTTATCTATTACTATTTCTTAAATTTGTGGTAATACTCAAAAAGGTAAACTATTTGTTAAAAATGTATTAATGCCTAAATTACTGCAAATTCCTATGTGTTTTTAAAACTTGTATAATCTGTACTATCATTCTTTGTGTACATGCCTAAGTCCCTTTTTTTAAAAGTTTTTTTTTTTGAACTATCATTTCCTAAGTTACAATTGCATTTTTTTTTTCTTCACATTCATTAGGATTGTTTTTTTTTTTAGTTTAATAGTTAGGGGTGTTCGAACTAACTTATACATATTTGAATTAATTCTCTTTCGAATCAATCAAAAGCAGGACATCAACGTTAGGACTAAAATATTCATAAAGAATAAATCTTTCATGGTCTTCATGCACCGTCATTCAATGCACTTTGTCTTCTGAATTTTGTTTTTTTGATAGGTGACTTGTATGATTAATATCCACAGTTACATACATAAATTATCTTTCTCTTTGAAAAACAAATTGCATAAATTATAAAATCATGACAAGTGAGTAGATGCATTGGTTAGTGTTAACCTTAATAATTCCTAGGTTTTTTTTTTTAAGGTTTAATGATTATTGGTGTTTGAGTTAATTTATGTGCACATCGACTAATCCCCTCTTCGATCCAGTCAAAAACAAGTTATCTACATCGAGACTAGAGTATTTATGAGAGATAAATTTCTCATAACCTGATCTCAAGTAATTAGTAAAATTCAAATTTAAAACGTCTACATTTATAACTCGTTTTGTTACCACTTCATCTAGTCCTTGATTATCCCTGGACATTTTATCATTAAGCATTTAAACTAAAAAAATTTTGATTATTCTTATATTTTGCATAAATGTTGTAAATTATTTTCTTACTTGAGGGTATTTTCGTCTTACCGTGAGTACATATACATACAAACAAGGGTGGGCGGGTCGAGGCTCGTGGACAAGAATTAAATACAAGAGAGAAAAACATTGCGAGTTGGGCAGGCTGACTACTAAATGCGCGGGGCCCACCCGCCTTGTAGTTGACGGGTAAAATTGGCGGGTGAGCAAACGACGAACGGTGTTGAATCCGAAATTCAGGAAAGTAGATAGAGAAATGGGCCACCATTGGATTTAAAAAAAAAAAAGAATAAATTATATATATATCCTTCAAATTATAATTTTTATGTCAATTAAGTTCTTGAACTTTTTTTATATCAATTGAATCCTTAAACTCGCTAATTGTAACAATTAAACATTTATGTTAGCATCTTTTAAATTTTTTAATAGAAAGTTATAGAGTGTGTCATTCAAAGTTATTTATCTTTACTTAATCGTCGAATCCTAAATCTTTACTCCAAATATATGAATAAAGCAAACTTTTAAATAGTATTGGGCCAAAAATTTTGAACCAAGCCCAAAAAGAGTGTTGGACCAATTTCTTGGTCCAAAGTCTTGCCAAATGGGATGGGCCAAAAATTGGTCCAGCTCCTAAATTGTATGGTAGATTATGCTGTGGTAGACCTTGTATGCACCTACATAGGATTTGGTTGGCCATACAGACACTGATGGGTGAAGGAGAATCAGTGTTTCCATACACAGGGTTGACAAATAGGTTTTGTCTTATTAAGTTATTAGTTAATGCCCATGTTTAAAGGCACTATGTTACTCAAAAAAAATTGTAAATCAAAAAAATATGATCTCTCTTTGATTTATGATAAGTAATATTCTATCAATTACCAGGTAAAGGACAAAATAGAAACCATAAGATACAAAAAAAATTTCATAAACTCAAATTTTTTACTTAATGAAAGAATAAAACAAATTTACTCAAACAATCCAATGTTGTAAAAGAGCTTGAAAAGCAAACTCATAGAGCACATCAATGGCAAAACCAAAAACTATATATTCAACATATCTAAATAATCAAGTTTAGAACAAAAAATATATGAAATCCTACCTCTAAATATGGGAATTACTACACCTCAGTAACATCCCACGTTCACCAAACCAAGAAATCATAAACATATATCTACTAAAAGAAAGTTCCTTCAATAATATAAAGCAATTGCCTATACAACCAACAATAAAGAAGGAAGACTGACTTCATTAGTCTTCAAAAAACTTGTACCTAATATTTGAACACAAAAAAACAACAAAGTGAAAGAAAAAAATACTACAGAACTTGACAAAAATTCAAATTTGTTAAATAGAAACCATTGGAAAATATCCACTAAGAAGCTAATGAAAAGACTAAGAGTGGAAAATGTCTTAAGACAGTAGTAACGATCCTCTATTGCCCCGTACATCTCAAAGCAACAACAAAGTTGCCAATCACCCTCTGTCCAGATTCAATGTGTTGGGAATTGTATACATAGTGCGGAAGCGTCCACGACCCAACCCAATATCTAACACAATGTGATTGTGAATGTTTTAGTGCTAAACTCCCAACTTGTTTAACATATATGCCTGATACGATCAAGTGCTTTAATGTCCTCCACATGAAACATCACTGGAAAACACCATTATATATATACTTGGAAATAATATGAGGAATAGAAATCAATTTTGAATTTATCAAAAAAAAATTAAATGAGGCAAAACCAAACAACTAAAAATATGGAAGAGTTGTTTGGGATCAAAGGCTCAAGTTCTACTTAGCAATAGAGAAAATCAAAAATACAAAAATTGATCTGAAAATCGATGGTGCAGTAAACCTTTAATGCCAATGAAAGTTGTTATACTCACTCTAATAGATATCATAAACTTATTTCCTAAACCTAAATACAAAACCAAATAAAAACTTGATCAATAAACCTTACCTAGTTACCTCCACCATTGCCACCGTCAACTTTATTACTCTGTTTAGCATCCATTGATATCATTGAAGAGCCTAAATGCATGTGAAAAATATTCAATCAAACAAAAGAATAGAGAGAGAATTTGAACAAAATTAATTCAAAAACTAATTTTATAATAATGAAATGATATCAAATCAAGGAGAACAAAAAAAGCCTTATAGAGAGAAAGAGAGAGAGAGAGAGAGAGAGTGCTAAGGTCTGTGTTTACTATTGGCAGAAAAATGTCACTGCTTTAAAAAAAAAAAAAATAGAGCAATGAAACTCGACGGACCTTCACCATAGCATGACATGAAAAGCTACTCAATCACAAATGTGGATAATTGAATGATCTAATCAAATTTGAAGACACTCATGGAGACATTTCATCAAACACATGTTTTGCTATAAATTATATCAAACTAAAACAAATCCAACCTTTCACTTGGTTGCTCTTTTATCAAAATCCAACTATGAAAAAAATAAATAAAAACCAAACAGAATTGAAAAGCCACAATTGCAAATAAATAGGTTGGAAATTCAAAATTTGAAGCACTCACATAGCCACTGTTCCTATACGTCTCATACTCTTTAATGGAATCTGTGAAAAGTTTGTGTTGTGTGTTGCCCCAATATCCAATTGTTTGCGTGTGTGAATCTGTATGTGTGCATTGTGTGTATTGTGTGGTCTCTATGTGCTGCGAGCGAGGTGTCTATGTGCTGTGTGAGTATGTGCTTGTTTATTGTGTGCATGTGTGCTATTTGTGTATGTTATAAAGAAGAGAAAGAGAAGAAAAAAGATGGGAGACAGACCTATCTTAAAAGGTTTTGCCAAAGTTGTTGATCGTCGGATTATGTGGGTCGCCAGAGTTGGACACTAGAGAGAGAGCAAGATTGGGGAGGAGAACACAAAGAGAATACAAAAATCAACATTACAAATATCATATCATTCACAGTTCAAGCATATATGAAAAAACCCTTTCTTTGTTGGAGAAGGGCAATAGAAGAATTTCTCACCAAAAAGCAGCCATATCGCTATAAGGAACTTGTTCATACAAAGTTTCATAGAAAATCCTCAATGGGTCCATTTGAAAAATCAGAATTGTTACAAACTCATTACTCAAATAATCCCCAAAAAGACACCTTACAACAATTCAATATGTTCAAAAAATCCAAGAAAGACATTTCAAGAATGAAGTTGACATACTTCCTCAAGAGGGTCTCGCGTCTGACCAGGAAAATCATATTCTTTCATTTCACAAAACCAAAGACAATTGAAAGAATAGAGAGAGCAAAGAGAACTTGAACACAAAGTTTGATTACATGTATTGTAGCTTAAACTTCCCTATTATTTATAGCTAGTCAAGATTAAGTAGAAAAGAAAGCAATTACACACACAGAAATTACGATCTCACAAAACCACAGTTCATAGGAGACAGAAAATGAACACAAAGGCACACACACACACATGAACACAGGTGCGCAGACACACAAAAAATCCAGAAAACAGAGAAAGAGAGAGGGGGAGAGAATTGAAGAAAAAACCCAGAATACCTGGACTCATGGCGTTGTGTTGCAGTAGGTGTTACTTCGGTCTGGTATGTGTTGCAGTGGGTGTTACTCTGGTGTGGTATGTGTTGTAGGGGCAAGGGCAAGGTAAAAAAAGAGAGGAATGGGGGAGAGGGAAGGGTGTCGTGAGATAGCAATTGAGATATGGGATAGGTAGGTTATTTGTTTTTAAAAATGAGAGAGAGTTAGATGAGGAGTCTCAATAGAGACAGATAGAATATTTTTAAAAATGGATGAGGCAGGGAGTAACGGAGACAATTATTGGATGTGATAGGGAGATAGAATTAGATGAGATATATGAGTCTTTTGTATTAGTTAGTATGAGATAAGGGGAGAGAGTTAAATGAGAGATAGGAGTGTTAGAAAAATCTATGATGAGGACCATCGGATCAAGAATCGTCAAGTAATCTGAGCAGCAAAAAGCTCAAGATAAACATTTCTAGCTACTTTATTAAATAGACTTTGTGCTGTAGATAGATTGCGTTTAACTGTACGCAACACAATCTATGTAATCAACTCTAATGAATCCCTCACGTGAATGTACACGAGTCCCCTAATGCATGCATCACTCAAATCTAGTAAGACTAAATTTAAATGTGCATATCGATGGTGTCAACTTCCACTGCCAAGAGGGGGACCATTTATTTTTCACATATTCATTGCACCTGAAGAATGAGGGACCCAAAATAGGTAGCAAAATGTAGGCATTGATCATGCATGGTTCAAGTGGCTATAGTTTTGGCCACGAATATGCAGTCATCATCAAAACTCATCATCATCAATACATATGAACACTCAAATGAATTCTCTTATCTCTTTAGAAGATGTGGTGAATCTCTTGTTTGGATTTCTTGTGCTTTTTTGGCCCTTCACTTAGATATCTGTGGATAACAAAGCATTCTCCTACTCTCTTCTATTTGTCATTGTTATGTTATATAATCCTCCAAATATCTCTCTACCCATCGCCTTGCACGTTTTCTCATTTGTTTGCTCTCTCTCTTTCTCTTCTTTTTTAAGAATCTTTCATATATACTCTTTGTTTTTTCCATTTTTGCCTGCAAGAGAAAATGGCTTATGGATTTCCTTGTTTGCATTGCCACCCACATAGTTACATTAGAATGGTAACTAGTTCTCTCTCTCTCCCCCCCACACACACACTTAGAGAGGGGAAATGGAAAGGAATCAATATATTAAGTCCTTTGGGAAACCTTTTTTCTTGTTTGGACTTGGACATAAATATATTTTAATCCTTTTGGAGTTGCTTTTAGAATGGATTTTTATAGATGAAACGTCTTGGGCATGTGAAATGCAGGTTCAACATCTTATTGAGAGGTGCTTACTTCTTCACATGGACCGAGACCAATGCATAAAGGCCATAGCAGAGCAAGCCGGAATTCGGCCCCTTGTAACTCTTACAGGTTCTCTCTCTCTCTCTCTCTCTCTCTCTCTCTCTCACACACACACACACAGATACACCAATTTCTCTATTATTCAATGCGTAAGGAAGCATCTACGTAGATGGTTCTTTTAGAGAGAGAGAGAGATGTAAATGGTGATTCATTTAAAAGAGTTGGTGCTTTGCAGTGTGGAGAGAACTATTAAAGGAGAACGGGGAATTCTTTCAAGAATATTTCCATGCTATTTCTCAGTGAGAACCTCCATAAGTACGTACGTTCATAAACTTCCATACTACCACGCTGCTTGTTTTAATTACATTTATCCTTACCCTCACAAATTGCTCTTCGTCAACGTGCAACAATTATTTTTATTTTATTTTGACCTTTTTTGTTTTCGCTTGGAATCTGCATGTAAATTTGTACTTTTCTGTGTTAGATTGCTCATTAGCATCTTGGGTTTTGAAAGTTGTTTTGTACTGTTCCACTATGTATGTAAATTGTAAAGTGATTTTATTTGGACCCTAAAATGTTAACCTAATTATTGTTTTTCATTGGATATTGATAGTTGACTTTTCTCTCAATTGAGACCCGTTATCGATTCAATGATTAGTTAGTATGTTTTAAGTCAACAAATTAAATACAAATAATGTTTTTTTTATATGTTTTACTTCTCAATAATAGCTTAATTATATAGATGATTTTGATACTTCTTTTCAGGTAGGGTTATTCAAAGGCACCAAGGTTTGGAAGAGGGAAACAGTGGAAGTAGACGGGAAGAGCTGCAAATCCCATTTGAGAAAAAGGAACAAACTTGATGCTAGTAATATTTTAGGGTTTTTTAGATAATATCCCTAATTAATTAATAGAAAAGGGATGGGTAATGTTTATATCCAGAAGCCTATGTATATATAATATATGAGTAATATTATAGGAACTTATTCAATGCAGCTCGGATTAGTTGTGAACCCGAACTTACTATTAATTCAACACATTAACGAATTAACTCAATAAATAAGGTCTAAAAATTATTAATCAAGAAGAAATAACATGTTTTAGGGTTTATTCACTCTCCTGATTTCTAATAGAGCTGAATTGCAAGGGTTAATGGACAAAATACATCAAGCATTGTGTACCTTTTGAGAACTAATGTTGAAAATCATAAACAATAATTCTACACTGACTAAATTTTGAGATCAAATTAAGAGTTTAAATGACATAACAACATATTATTTGGAGTCTTTATTGAGACTCAAATGACATGACATCAAATAAAGAAACCCAAATCAGTTGTCATGTCATTTGGGCGCTTAATTTAGTCCTAAAATTTGGTTAGTGTAGCATTATTGAATCCCAAATAACTCAAGTGGTAATAAGGACAAGTTGTAAATTCAGATTTTGTGAGTTCGAATCTTAACAACCCCTTTGATAATTCCTTGGAGTCAAATTATAAGAGATTTATCCTTCATTAATATTCTAATCTTGACGTGACTGATATGTTTTTGATCGGAATAAGAAAGAAATTAATGGAGATGTACGTAAATTAGTCCGAACATCCTTCACCATTGAATCAAAAGAAGTGATGTTGCTTTACTCTGTGATTTTTCTTACTACAACTTGCAATGAGAACCTCATTCCAAAGAGCATCCGCTAATTACAATGCCTAAGAAAAGAAATACCTCTCTCTCCCCTTTTTTGTACTGCATGGAGTCATTTCCCAAACATAAATGCCTTTGAACCATTCGTGGGATGTGGTAAACTTATTTACTTGTAAGTATAAACTAAATGAAATTATCAAATGATTTGTAAGCATTTAATAATATACCACTTTGAACCAATTACCATAACTTTAATTAATACCACTTTGAGCATCAGAATTTCAGGGACCTTTATACGTACCTTGAACCAATTACCATAGATGATAAGTCTAAAAACTGAATCATGCATTAACTTGTTAGGAAATTTTTCACGAAATTTTCAAATCTGTGAGAAACAAAAATAGAAAAAACACACGCCAAAGAAAAAAACAATCACACACAAAAGACAGTATTTACGTGGTTCGACAATTTGTCTACGCCCACGAAGCTGCAGGAATTTTATTATTATTAAGAAGGAATACATAGTGGCTGTACATAGTCAATCAACCCTAATCACCCAAAAGTAACAAGTTTTATATGTCTTGCATTGGGCTACAAAATAAATTTTCCTCTATAGACTAAACCTCAAAAAATTTTCCATTAAAAACTATACAACATTATTTCGGGACGGGTCATCATTTGGATCAAACGCAAACTAGACTCCACAAAAAAAATCCAACAAATCTCCCACTTGGAGACTAGTTCAATCACTAACATCAATTGCAATCCTCCAAAAAAAAAATCCCTTATCCCTGCAACTCATCCTCATGTCCTCAAGTTAGAAGGCCAATTGAAGTTGCGCACAGCTTCAGCTTCTCAATAGTGACTCTCTTAGTTTACATGTCTGCTGGTTTTTAGTTCCACAGATTTTCTCAAGTATTAACTAACCATCATCAAGCAAGGACCGTATGAAATGATACCTGATCTGAATGTGCTTCGTCCTGGAATGAAATGTTGGATTTTTGGCGAGGAATATGACACTTTGACTATCACTGTAAAGAGTACCCTTCTGTTTCTTTTTACCTAGTTCATCAAAGAAACTCTGTAACCAAATCATCTCATTTGAAGCCTCTGACACTACAACATACTCGACCTCTGTAGTAGAAAGGGATACCGTCTTCTACAAGTTAGAATCCTAAGACACGACAATACCACCAAAGGTGTAAACAAAATCGGTGGAACTCTTCTTACTATTAGTGTTTCTGGCCAAGTCGGCATCAATAAAATCTTGTAACTCCAAACTATCTCTGATGAAACATAAACATGCTTTTGAAGAACCTTTCCGGTACCCCATAATCCACTTCACAACCTCCCAATATTGTCTTCCTGGGTTGCTCGTGTATCTACTCACAACTTCCACTGCATGGGTTATATCCGGTCTTGTGCAGATCATAGCATACACAAGTGAACCAATAGCTGAAATGTAAGGAACCTCACTCATGTAGTCATGTTCCTCCTCTATCTTAGGTGACTGATCTTTGCTGAGTCTGAAGTGACTACCCAAGGGTGTACTCATTGATTTTGCTTCATTCATGTTGAACCTGCTGAGAGACTGTGAAAGTTTCAATGTACCACTAGCTTGGTCTCTAATGATTCTCATACCAAGAATTTGCTTTGTAGCTCCCAAATCCTTCATGGAAAACTGTTTTGACAATTCATTTTTTAGATTATTAATCTCCTCAATGCTAGACCCTGCAATAAGCATATCATCCACATATAATAATAAAATTATGAAAGAATTGCTAAAGAACTTAACATAACAACAATGATTAGCTTTACATCTCTTAAACTCAGTTCTATGCATAAAACTGTCAAATTTTTTGTACCACTGTCTTAGAGCTTGTTTTAGGCCAGACAAATTCTTTCTCAATTTGCAAACTAGATTCTCTTGTCTCTGAACTGTGAACCCTTCTAGTTGAATCATGTAAATGTCTTCCTCCAAGTCACCGTGAAAGAATGTCGTCTTCACAACTAACTGTTCAAGATATAGGTTTTCTGTAGTCACCATTCCTAATACTAGTCTAATTATTGATATCTTCACAACCGGAGAAAAATTTATGAGAAGTTAATGCCCTTTTTCTGCTAGAACCCTTTGACAACTAATCTGGCTTTATATCTCTTGCTACCATCATGCTCATTCTTAATTCTGTATACCCACTTGTTGTGCAAATTTCTCATCACCATAACCAATGAAAAAATATATTTTAGACTTTGCATCAAGTTTAGTACGAGCATCAGAATCAATATGAACATATGAAATACAACCAAAAATTTTAAATAGGAAAACTTTACTTCTTTACCACTCCAAACCTCTTTAGGAAATCTGAACTTCATGAGAACTGAAGGTTCTTGGTTTATCAGGTACGCTGCAGTACTAACAGCATTAACCCAGAAAGTCTTTGGAAGTCCAGCATGTAACCTCATACTTCTAGCACGCTCATTGAGAGTTCTATTCATGCGCTCAGCCACACCATTTTGTTGTGGTATCCCAAAAATAGTTTTTTCCATTATGATTTTATGTGCAACACAATACTCACTGAACCCTCCATCTATGTACTATCCTCTATTGTCTGACCTTAAACATTTTATTTTAAAACCTGTTTCTGTCTCAACCACAGCCTTCCAGTTCTTAAAAGTATCAAACATATCAGATTTATTTTTCAAAAAATAAACCTATTGTCTGATCTAGATTTACTTTTGTTCTGATTAGAATTTCTGGATTTTGATATGCCCTGATTTGACTTTCTATCATTACCTCTGCCTCTTGTCTCAAGTTTTAGGGCAAAATCAGATCTTGAGATTTCACTTGCATCTTTTCTACGAATCTCCTCAGCTAGAATTAAATCTCATATGTCATTGTACTTCAATTTTTCTTTTCCTATATAATTGCTTACTGTCATCCTCATTGCCTCTCAACTGTTTGGCAAGGAAGCTAAAAAGATTAGTGTACAAATCTCTTCATCAAAATCAATTTCTACAGACGACAATTGATTTGTGATATTGTTAAACTCGTTTAGATGTTGTGTTACTGATGCATTCTCTGCCATCTTCAAATTGAACAATTTTTTCATCAGATGCATCTTGTTGTTTGCTGACGACTTTTCACACGTACTAGACAAAACCTTCATCAGATCTGTTGTAGTCTTCTCATTTATAACATTGTGTGCAACAGACCTAGACAGAGTTAACTTGATAACTCCTAGTACGTGTCTGTCAAGAAGAGTCCAATCGTCATCCTTCATAGTCGCAAGTTTTTCCCCTAGAAGGGACAGATGCACCTTCTTTCTATAAAGATAATCCTTAATTTGCATCCTCCAGAATCCAAAGTTTGTGCCATCAAAATTTTTTATTCCAAATGCCTTTCCTACTTCCTCTGCTATTGCTCCCACTCAAACCCTAAACCAGACTCTGATACCAGTTGTTAGGAATTTTTTCACAAAATTCCCAAACATGTGAGGAACAAAAATAGAGAAAACACATGTCAAAAAAAAAAACAATCACCCATAAAAGACAGTATTTATGTGGTTTGATAATTTGTCTACGTCTACGAAATTGTAGGAATTTCACTATTATCAAGATGAAATACAAAGCGGCCGTACAGAGTCAATCAACCTAATCACCCAAAAGTAACAGGTTTTATATGTCTTGCACTGGGCTACAAAACAAACAGACCCAAATTTTTTTTTTCTCGGGAGCGTTGCTTCAAACTCCCACAAGGTTTATCCATGAGTACTATGACTTGGGCTGATAACGCTTATGGACTAAGTCTCAAAATTTTTTTTATTAAAAATCACACAACATTATTTCTGGTCGAATCATTATCTGGATCAAATGCAAACTAGACTCCACAAAAAAACCCGACATAACTATGACTAGTGGTATTAGAATTAATTTGATTAGCATAACTTTAATACCATTTGTCAAGAGAGATGCGAATTTAACATTAAAAAAAAATGAATTGAGCACAAACTATTATTAACGTGCTTACTTGTGGATTTAAGAAAAGCAGATTGATATAACATGGGTTGGAAGGGAGAGGGAAAATAGAAATCATCAATACGCTTTTTCAAACAATTTAAAATTGTTTTAATGATATTTTCTTATTCATAATTACAATGCTCGGTTTAAAGTTGACTAAAATATGGTGATTTTATAGGTTTGAGATTAAAATAAATTAATCTATTTGGACTTGGCCTTCTTGACCACTTTATACAGCAGCTTTTTGAACCTAAAAAATTTATTTAAGTTAATTCAAGAAATTAATTTTATAAATTTTTTTTTTTTTTTGGAGTTTTATTGGGAATTTCACATAATTTTTTAGTTTTATATATTCATAAAAATAATATTAGTGAACTATTATATATAATTTATACATATATGTAATTATGTTTTTTATTTTGACACAAAAAAAAAAAAAAAAAACTAGTAAGTCACTAAAAACGAATTTTTTTAACTTTTTTAATTTTCTTAAAGAACACTTCCAAACGATTTCAGAGAATATTTTAACTTTAATTTTTTTACAAAACTTTTTAAACTGCACTTTTCACCTAAAAAAAACCAAGTCCAAACATAAATCAAACTTAAATTGTAAAATATTAATCACTACAACTACCTGAACTCCTTTAGTCCATCAAAACTTGGAAGGATAGAAGACGAGGTTGGCAAAAAACACTAGGGTGTAACTTGGGTTGGGTAACCCGATTTTAATCCGAAAAAATTAGAGTTTAGAAAAGAATTTTTAATACTTAAGTTGAGCTTAGGTTAAAAAATCGCAACCCGAATTTAATTTGGGTTGGGCTCAGGTTAAGGTCTTAGATTCATGGGTTCAACCTGAACCCGAGAAATTAAAATATATATAAAGTATTAACACTATTTTTTCATTTTTGTTCTATTATTTTCTTTCTCTCTCGTTCATTTTCATTTTTATTTTAGCATTAGCATTGTTAAAAATTTGGTTAAAGTTATTGGTTATTAATTTATGTAAATATTATATAATATATATATTAAGTTTAGAACAACAACCCTATTTTGGGTTCTACCAAAACTCAACTCGAATTGAACTCGTAAAGTAACCTGAAATCAGTTCGAAATCTTTAATCTGAATTCAACTCGAACCCGCCCGAGTTAAACTCGGGCGGATTAGACGGGTTGAGTTCCTCAACCCGAGATAGGGTTAGGGTTAAAAATTATATACCTAGAATTGAGGTAGAGTTGACTCTCTAACCCGTCTAATCCGCCCGAGATGCACCTCTAAAAAACACTGTTGCTAGCATCTCTGAAAACGACGTCGTATTTTCGTTTGGCCTCTCAAAGCCAAAAAAATCTGCAAAAATTATCTTCCTCGTCACCCTCCACCCTGTAACCGAAAAACCTGAAATCTCTCTCTCTCCCCATCTATATACGCAGATATGAGTCATATGACCTGAGCATAGGAGCTTTTCAATGGCTATTCTAGCCTCATTACCAGGTCTCAACCTCTTCTCAAACCTCCCATCAACCTCACCTCCAAACGACCCCTCCACCACTTCAATCCTCCCCAAGCCACCCATCCCCATCCCTAAATACCCACCTCCCCTCAAATCCCAGAAATCCCCAAAACACTCTCAAGACCCCCCAAAAAATCCCGCCTTCAAAACCCACCACCACAATTCCAAATACTATAAGCCCATTAAAACCGGCCAAGTCATCTCACCCAACGGTGACGACGACCGCTCCGTCGTCGTCGGCGAGTCTGGTGTATCCTATCGCCTCGCCGGAGCCCCATTCGACTTTCAATTCAGTTACTCTGAAACTCCAAAAGTGAAACCTTTAGCTATTCGAGAGCCAGCTTTTTTACCCTTTGCTCCACCCACAATGCCGAGGCCGTGGACTGGAAAAGCCCCAATGAAAAAGTCCAAGAAAAAAATTCCGCTGTTCGGATCTTTAAATCAACCAGAGACTAATGGGGTTAAGCATTTGGAAATGCTAAGGCCATACCATCTTGGAAAATATTCAACTGAGGTTCAAAACAGAGGGAAAGTGTTAGGAAAGCCGTTAACAAAGGCGGAGATTATAGAGCTTGTAAAGCCTTGCGTGTCTTGTAATAGACAGGTTAATCTTGGTGAGGATTTTTCATGTGTTGTTGAATTTGAATTTTGGGTAATCTCTGTTTGTTTTGTGTGGTTGTGGCAGTGAAGCTATTTCTTGGTTGAATCTGTGTAGGTAGGGATGGGTTGACACACAATATGTTGGGCTTGATACATACACATTGGAGGCGGCAGCCCGTTTGTAAAGTTCGATGTTTAGGTGTTCCAACAGTTGATATGGACAACGTATGCCGGTGTCTTGAGGTTATCACTTCCACATTATCTTAAGTTCTTTGCATAGTTTGGGGACGATCTATATTGCGTGACTTACATATGTGCTAAACTATGAAAATTATGTTTTAGACTTGTTTCTTACAACTAACAATCAGCATTATTAATCCTCTTCTGGCTATCATGCTGACCTTAATGGAATTGCTACTCTTTTTTGTCTCTATATTTTTGGCTTGATTTGCTCTTGCTATTATCAGTCTTATCTTCGTGGGACACTCTCACGAGGAAGTTAAACTGCCATAAGAAATTGAGTTTTTTGAACTGACCCAGATATTTTTTTCTGAAGACTTTAAGCCGTGCTGGTTATGTCAATTAGGATTTTCTGTTTTCAATCTATCTTCATGGCAGGTCAAGCAGTAAATGGTTTCTCATGCTATGATTAGGAATGTCTACTAGAGATTATGGCAAGTGCATTGCTTATGTACTGCAGCCAATAGTTTCTTCGAGTTTGCATATACTTCTGTTTCAGAAAGCATATCCAAGTTAATTCCAGGCATCACTTGTTTGACTTATATAGTGAGTCACACATGTATATGCATGCGTACAACCTTACTGGATGAGTATTGAGTAAAAGCAGAAAATATTCTTCATTTGGTATTCACATTCCCACTTGACCATCAGTATTTATCTATATTTTGCAATTGATGACATTCTTTTGGTAATTTTTTGCAGTCTACCCTGATATCTTCGTTCCTTTTTCTAACTCTGTTGCTATAGTCATCAGGCTGAAATTTACAGACTGCTCATCATTAAGTGACATTTTACAAGTGTTCTTTCCTGTTTATATATTTTCTATGTCCAACTTCCATGGAAGTAATTTTTTGAACCTTGTTGACCAAGCTTAATCTAAATCTGCCGGATGGGAGCTAAACCTATCAAAGAACATTTTTTGGTCTTTGTTATTACAAAGGATTCTTATGGTTGAGATTGAGGTGTTTCCACCACCATATATAGTGTGAAGCGATGAAAAGAAGCATTCGTATTATTGTAGTGACTGTTTGAAGGCATTACTGCTTGTCTTTTTATCTTTTGTTGCATGAAATGACTTCCTTTACCCTCTTCATGGAAGTTTTCAATATAAATCCAGATTTTCTCTTCAGACTTACATTCCAGTGTGAATACATGCCAATCACTGTAGTTTTTGTTTTGTTTTTAGCTTAAGTTCACTTCTTTGGTTTTTCCATAGGGATTATTCTAGAAATGGCATATTGCTTTGATGAGACTTTTTTTAACATATATGTGTAATCAGTAAACACACTGGCACATATGTATGTACATAAACACAGAAAAGTGTGAATCTTATGTACATGCAATGCATATAAGGCGTTCACTTTTTGACTCCTTTATGAAATATTGGATGCATTTTATGATGCTCTATTTTTGTTGATTCAAACTGGAACCTTACATTCTATCTCCTCTTTTAGCTATGTACTCAAATCTTACTAAAAATACTAGGACAAGACTGGTGGAAAGATTATTCGTCGAGTTGGTGGTGTGCTTTATCTTTTCCGTGGCAGAAACTACGATCATCATACTCGTCCACAGTATCCTATGATGCTCTGGAAACCAGCTGCTCCTGTTTACCCGAAACTTATACAAGAAGCTCCAGAAGGGTTAACAAAAGCTGAAGCTTCTGAGCTACGAATAAAAGGGAAAAAACTCCCCCCAATTTGTAAACTACGTAAGCACCAATCATTTCATTCTTGTTATTAGTCTACTACTTATAGAGGTTATTTAGTTTCTGATTTCTTGTTAGTTTTATCTTTGTCCTTTCATTTATGAAGTCAAGATCTAAGTGTGAAACTAACTATCAGATTGGTACTTCATTGTAAACCATATGAACCTGAGCATTACCAGATGTTCAGGTACTGAGCATTACCAAATGTTAGTGGATTAATGTGCTTATGCATGCATATGTTGAAAATGCCTCAAAACAATGTAAAGTTGCCAGTAGATGTTGATACTAATACATGTTCACCTTTCTGCAGATATGTATGCATCAGTATAACTCAATATTTTTGTCACTTCTTGTCCTTTTTTCACTCTGCTTATGCCTATTGTTATCCATCCTGCCCATCACAGCAAAAAATGGAGTGTATATTTCCCTTGTGAGGGATGTGAGGATTGCTTTTGAAGGATATCATTTGGTGAAGATTGACTGCAAGGGGATGCATGCAAGTGATTACAAAAAGATAGGAGCTAAGCTGAAGGTTCGTATGTTATTATTTCTAGTCTTCATGAGGTGTTATTGTTGCCTGAAATATATACAATCTTTTTGAAATATGACATAATTGTGCTCAACAGGTGAGAAGTAGAAAATATTATGAAATGAATTGAACAAGGAACAACATAAGACGAAGATAACTTGATGCTATAGAAATTTATGTAGTTCTTCAATGTATGGAAGGCTAGATGCTTATAGAACCTACCCAAGCTTCAAATTGAAAAAGATAATCCAGTAACCATTCCACCATGTTCTGGATGAGTTTAGCTCAATAAAATATGCTCCCAATGGCTCAATGAGAAAGTTTGTCTCCCCTTCTTAAGTGTATTCATATATCTGAACGGGCGATCTTTTCATTTTCTATTTCCTCTGTACCTCAGCTGCTGAGGACATTGCCTTTTTTTTTTCCCGAACTACACTACTAGGGGAGGGGGAGGGTATCAAACCAAGGACCTGCCTGCTCAACTGCAAGGCTTTTACTTCCAGGATAGACCTGCATACTCTTCTTTTTCTTTGCCTGACAGGATTGTCTCTGGTACCAGATGTGATATTTGATTTTTCTGTTGTTCTATCATCTCCACTCACTTCCTCTTCCTCCCTTGACAGGAATTGGTTCCTTGTGTGCTATTATCTTTTGATGATGAACAGATATTGATGTGGAGAGGAAAAGATTGGAAATCCCTATACCAAGATGCTCCTCCAACTTCAAGCCGTACTAGTAGTGACTTTGCAAATGGTCCCAATTATACAGGTAAGTATAAAACAATGAGCACCTGCCAGAGGAATGGATTGGGCACGCTGTTTTTGCATCATGTTTTTCTGTTTTCTGTCTTCCTTTCCTTGTTCTTAATAAACAAGCACCCTTGTCCCAACTGGGACTTGAAAACTAGAACTCTCCCTCGGGGGATGGCAGGTGATGCCAGTCAAGCCAACAGCTAGTGATATCCACGTTATTTTTCATTCTAATTGGTGTATTTGGAGGACAAAATATTCTGAGAAATTAGTTTAGACAATGGTAAGGTAGGGTATATTCACACATATTGTTTGCAGGGCCCACCATTAGTGGTGGTTTGGATAATCCCTTATCAAGATTTTGCTTAAGGCATGACCCAAAGGTGTGCCTTTGGAACCACATTTCAAGAAAAATTGCTTCAGCTGGCTACTCTGTGTCAACTTAGTTGAGGCATAGCTTCTAACGCTCATTTAATTCACTGCACAATTTGCATGAACAACACCTGCTTTCTGTACAGTTTGTATAGACGAGACTATCATAGTGATTCCTAATCCAGGTACCACCTGATGTGTTGCGAGTTCAAGTCTTTAGAATCATCGTCTCCCAAACATGGGTACAATTGTGTACTTATCTGTCCTAGATCCCACTATGGATGGGAGACTAATGTGCCCGGTACGACCTCTATTGCTTTTTGGGGTAATAAGAAACAAAAGTCCAAGCAGACGTGGAAACAAGAGTTATCTAGGAACTGCATACCTAGGAATTGCGATTTCACTTCCACAAATTTTCTTCTTTATTCGATCCTGGAAGTAGAGCATATCTCTTTGCAAACCATCTCTTTTTAACCCTTTTAGTTTTAGACTTGCATTACTTATCTTTTGAAATAGGCAAAACTACTCTTTGTTTTTGCAAAGGGTCAAACAAACAAAATTTAACCGAGTGTAATTATCTGTGACTGAGACTTGCATTAGTTATCTGAAGAAATGTGGCAAAAAGTGTCCCTTAAAATTATTATAGCTGTCAGTTGCAGTTAATTTTCTTCAATGTTGTGCACCTTGTATGATGACTAGATGGTCTCATTTTTCTAATTCACGATAAGCAATTATGAATAACTTCTTACAATGGTGTGACCTGATATGTCATTACTCACACTATAATACGGTAACTTTGTAATCCAGGAAATAGCGGTGTTGACTCTGAAAAATCAGACACTAGAATGGTGAGCTCAAGTCCTAAAATGATGTCCCTGTGGAATCGTGCCATCGAGTCAAGCAAGGCATTGTTACTGGATGAAATTTGTCTTAATCCTGATGATCTGTTGAAGAAGGTGGAAGAATTTCAAAGCACATCACAGGCCTCAGAGCACTCCTATCCTGCATTAGTCTTGTCAAGTGAAGATAGGTCTGGTTTTTCAAGGACAGAGTATGAAGATAATTCTCAGGATGAGGACTGTGAGATCTATGGTCATGATTATGATGATAAATATTACATCAACGAATCATTTGGAGAGGTGGACTCATCAGCTCCTTTAGGATCTTTGCCTGTGGATTGGATAGCAAAGCAGCTAAATGACAGTAAGGAATAAAAATTTAGCTAAAGATCTGTTCAAGGTGTTCCAAATGAGTTGCAATGTCTTGTTTCATATTTTTTCCACTAGTGTATTTAAGAGGCCATTAATCTGAAGGTTGGTAGAATTTTTTTCTTTTTTTTTTTTGGGGGGGGGGGGGGGGGGTTGGAAAATTAGTTGAGATGTTTGTTTCCATTTTGACTTCTTCTAGATAGCTTATAATAGGATTGTTCCAATCACTTTAAGAGAATGGAATTGTCTCACTCATCACTGAGTAGTGAGTATGAAGCTTGTTTACATTTGTATAGTTGTACTTAAAATGTGTTCAGCAGGAGCTATGGAAATTGTTGGTGAAAACAAAATCTCTCTTGCTTGTTTTCCTTTGTCTTTTGAATTAAGTACCCCCCCCCCCCCCCCTTTCTTTTATTTTCTTGCTTATACCTTAAGTCGGCAATATACCATATTGGGAATCCAATAACTTCCTTTTATCATTATTGACACGTGGCGTTGCCTCAATTAACATGCATCACCACCGCCGTCACCTTCCTGGCTGCCACGGCCAATTCTTGTTAATCTACCTTCAAATTCTGCACAATGCAGCGCACCAACCCACATCGCTCTATAGTGTCGGTCCTGTGTTTACAACATTCTTTTTCATCTTTCCAAAAACAAAATTCATGCATTGTAGGAGCTATGACGTGGGTATTTAACATATTTCACTATAACATGTGAGATTTTTACACTCTTTTTTTTTACCTCAACACACGCATGCCCATATACACAAACCGATACATGTGTACTTACATGCATGTTTTTTTACTCCTGGTATTTATTAAAAAAAAAAAAATGAATGTGTGTAAAAAGTATTACTCTTTTCAATGAGGTGTATATTAAACAAATTATTTTGCGGATTTATTAAACAATTTTTGTATGTGTGAGATATTAATTTGTTTACTCTCTACTTGGCCTTTACTCTGTTAGAGTAAGTGGTTAAGTGCGAATTAAAAAAAACCGCTTTTTTGTCTATACGGGGCACTCGGTGAGGGGCTGAAAATTTCTCTTTTGGGCTGTTAGGCACTACGGTCATGATAATTACATCGGGAAGGTGGGAGATTGGGTTATCCCATATCGAATAATTTTGGGTGTGTAAGTGTGTCTATAAATCTCCAGTTAACCTTTATTAGAGTAAATGGTCTGGGGTAAATAAAAAAAAAATTAATAATTCCTGCGGCAAAGCTGCTGAAATGGAAAATTCTTTTTATTTATTTATTGTTTTGGTCGCGGAAGAAAGTTGTCACATTCAATTGGTAGAGCTGCTGATCCTTTCATGTTGCCGTAAACGATTTTATGTGGTTCACTGTATCCTTTCTCTCTCTCCCTCTCTATCTCTTGGAAATATGTGGACTGGTCCAACTACTCCAAGCTGTAAATTCCCAGATCGATACAGGCTATATTTTTCTCTTGCTTAACTTATCAAGTGTCTTTTTCTGATCGCCAAACAACAAAGCCTTGGAATTACAACAAACATGGGAGGTTGATCCCCCGAAATCAGCTTAGGTGACCCACAATTTTGTTTCTCTTACTTTGTCCTTATTCCATAATTTCCATTGAACGAAGAAAAAATAATACTGAGAGAGAGAGAGAGAGAGTTCCCTAGAAGCATGAGTCCTGTCTGTTTCTCCCTTGATAGACATAAAGAGTTAGACGTTGTAAGGAGTTAGACATAAAGAGGCAAAGCATCTACTTTTCATACTGGGGTTTCTTTTCTGCATTTCTTTTGTGAGACTAAAAACTCTGAGTATTCTCACGTTTACATTGCTTAGAATCTGGAATATTCTTCAGGTTGTTTTGATATTGGTAATCACTTTTTGTGCAATACCCATTTGCAGTAAGGAGCTTTCGTGATTGATTTCATTGATTGGTGTGGCCTAAATAGTAGTAGGTTCCATAATTTATTGCTTATATTTCGTCCATATACATATCAAAAGCAAGATTAGGGCTTATGGGATTCTATTTTCATTTCTTCTTACTGATACGTTTTTATCCTATTTAGGACTTTTGTTTGTGTGTATCAAACTTTCTCGTTTTATAGATTTCTGTACTTGATTTGTGTGGTTTCTTAGGTCAGTTTTGTATCTGCACGTTACAGCTTTGGTTTTTCGAACTGTACTCTTGTTTTTTAATTTCAGCAGATAATTTGTTTAGGGGTATCAGTTTTGATAATCCATTTTGGCACAAAGATTTGTAGATTTCAATTTTCTGTTCATTTTATCTGTCTAAGGTTTTGGAGATTGTACAATTTACTATTATCACCAGTTCTCTGAGTAAATTACCAATTTACGTATATACCAATCTACCCTTGTTTTGAACTTTTACAATTTACTCTTATCACTAGGTCTCTGAGTTATAAACATGCTTTCAAAAGAAAATGTGAGTGTCAAACACCATTTCATTCAGGAAGTGTTGGTGTGAAACATGTTTTCTATGACAATACATAAGCCAGACTTGAATAAAAGGGTGTTTGTTGATCACGCTTTCACAGATAAATACACGCTTTCACATAAAAACGTGTTTAACAAATAGGCTTTCACTTTAAAAGCGTGTTTGACAAACACACTTTCAAGAACTACCATATTTTGGTAAATAAGGTCAAAACAGTGGTAGACAGGTATATATGTTTTCTAAAGGCGGTAGACCCGTAATTAACTCCTAGTTCTCTTTATTCACTTTTCGTGTCTGTTGGACTCCAGACATTTATTGGAACCCTTCTATCTAAAGAAGCTTGTTGTGGTATATTGAACCTGTTCATGTTAATGATCTTTTAATAGTTTTTTTCCCCTTAACTGTACCCCCATTCCTTTTTGATTAACTAAATTTTGTCATGGTTTAATTCGTCGTGGCACAGAATTGGGAAATAAATCATCCATTTTTCAGAAAATAGAAGTAATGTTTAAGCTGTGGACAGTTAACACGATTCTCTAATCAAACTTGGCTGCCCTTCATGGCTGCGGATACAACCAACCCAAGCTATTGGTTAAACTGGAGGTTTTTGCTATGTGCAATATGGATCTTAACATCTATGATAGTAGCAGCACTTGTAATATGGAAGTATGAAGGGTTCAACAAACTGAAATCCAGGAGAAGAGATGTTCATCAGGAAACAGTAGGATCTTTGTACAGGGATGAGGCTTGGAGGGCATGCTTGAAAGCAATTCATCCTGCTTGGTTGCTTGCTTACAGAGTAATTGCATTCAGCGTGCTTTTGGCAATGCTTGTTGCCAATGTTGTCATTGATGGAGGCGACATATTTTATTTTTATACTCAGTGAGTGCATTGACCCTATTATGTTCATCTTTCTAGTTGTTCGCACGTGGATATATAGTGGCCGGTGGGTTTAGTGACATTAAATTTCTTGTTGCAGAAATGCTAATATAAAATTTTCTGGTGTTGGTGCTTGAGTTCACCAATAATTTTTTAACATGGCATTGGCATATTACGATTGTTTTTCAACCATAGTAATTATTGGCTTGAACTGTTTCTGATTCTTGCTTCAAGAGGTTTTCCCTACATGCCAACTATCTTGAGCATCCTAGAAAGAGCAACTAATAGAGCAAAGTTTTTTTCCTTTTTTTTGGGTAATTGTTTGGATCTCATAAATGGAGCTTCATTTCTTTTACTGAGTTACCAAAATATCCCTGGAACATTAAATTAATAGCGTTTGTCAATACTTAATAAACCTTATTAGCTTTTGTATACATTTATACTTTTTTTTTTGTGAAATTTTTTGGCCTCCATGAACAAAGAAAGATGATTTGGAAAACTTCAGATGGTTAGTCATCACTGCTGAACACAATACGAGACCTTTCCTATGTACGATTGGTTTTGAAGTCAATTATGAGGAACAATTTTGTCAACTTTACTAATTCATTCCCCCCCCCCCCCCCTTTTATGTTTTGTGGTGTTGAACAGGTGGACATTTGCTTTGGTCACTTTTTATTTTGGGGTATGTTAATTTGTTAATCATCTTTATGATTATCCTTTTAGCTTCTTGACATCCTTATGTTAGATTTGATTAGAGTAGGGACTAGGATTTTCTACACACATTTATTTGTACACTCATACTCAAAAGTTGAACCTCATATTTTTTATTTCTTTGAACTACTTGAAAGACTTCCTATTTAACATATCTACCTATACTCACATACATATAGACATATTCATATGATTATAAATTACATTATCCATATGTATGATAAGAACCAATTTTACCCAGTCCTACAAGATATAGTAATTTCCAAAATAGAAGGTTATCAATAAATCAGTTATTTTTCTATTCTATAACTCTATTTGATCTTTGTTAATTTGTTGGATTGTGAAGCTTGTTTGATTCTCATTTAATTTTTTGTGGGTTTGTAATGGAACTTGTAGCTTGGATTGTTGCTCTCCATTTATGGATGTAGCACCTCTTGCAAAGAGGTTGGTAGCGATAGGGTTGATCTTGTGAGTTCAGATGCAGAGCAAGGAACATATATGGCTCCCGCACTTGGGGGATATGAAAATCAACATGATATTCCTGTAAGCTTAAATAGCCATAGTGAACCTCATGTTCGCAAAGCTGCAGATCCATGGGGCTATGCATTTCAAATAATTTTCCAGGCAAGTTTTTTCCCATAAATTTTTTCTTTGAATTGTTGCACTGGAAGTTTTTTTAAGTACATTTTATGAAGTATATCTCTATTTATAGACACCGTGGATTATGTTTGGAATGGGAGGTAAAATGCAACAGTATCATCTCCTGATGGTATTTCGTTTATTTAGCATAAATTTTATTTTCTACATATGCTTCCTGGTTCTCACTTATTTGTTAATTATGTTTATCCTGTTAGCATGGCATTGCAGTACCACCCTGAACATTGCTTTGGATTTGAAAGCAGGTTAGGAATTTGGATGATTTGTAACCAATTATAGGGATAATAGATAGTAATGTAGAAAGTTTGAGTTCGACTCCAACTGTTTATACATACTTGTAGCACCAAATAAATTGAATGCTGAGGTCATTATTTGGATGTAACTTTGATAAAGACAAGACAAATCTAGCTTTCTACACCAAATGGAGAAAGAAAACCATTCAAGGTCTTGTTCTTTCTGAGATCAATCCAGGGTAAATTGTGGTTTGGTAGATGAGCCAAAAGATGTTCTTTCAAACAACTAACATGTTGGCCAAACCATAGTGGCTGCAATATGTGAGTAGTAAGCTCGACATTGCACATGGTGAAGTTAACCATCTAGTTGCCTCCACCTGTTATGCTTATGCTTGTGGTTTTTTCATCTGGTAACTTGGAGATTATTATTACAGTGGGCTAAATTTTGCTAATGTTCTTGATTAGATACGCCAACAACAGCATCTTAAACTTTTATTTTACTATTATGTTAAGATAGTTATTTTACTGGTGCAACCTTAATGTTTCCAATATTATCCATGAAATCAGAAATAAATGCAAACTTTTTAGTAGCATAGTTTTGATATATAATGGTTACATGTTTCCACTGCTCGCTTTGGAAGTCGGAAGGGAGAGAGCATGCATTCTAGAGATCATGCTTTACAAAATCTCTAGTTAGATTTGCTGCAAGGGATATAATGGACTTCTATGTTCTTTAATCTCATGGTTCAGATCATATAGTTGAAACTCTTTATGCTTTAATATCATGTTTCACAGTAGGTAGTAAGTTGTTGTTTTTTCCTTATTTCCATCACTTTCTTCCTATGAATAGATGTGTGCAGGTGCTGTGATTCTAACCGATTGTGTCTTTTGGTTCGTAATCTATCCATTTCTGACTGACGACGATTACAAATTAGATTTTGTAAGTTCTACCTTTTTAGTTCTGTTGACTTATTTGCCGTATTTTTCAATTAAAGCGTTGGGTAACCTGTTTACAAGCATTTTTTGTTAACTTCAGTGCTGCATTTTAGTGCTGTGTCTATGTGGAGTATCTGTCATTTTATTTTAAGTATATATATATTCTCATCACTTTAAATGGCTTCTATCCATAGGATCTGTTTTGACTTGAAATCAAAATGGAAATAATTGATGAGTAAGCAGAATCAATTCAATTATTATATGTGATGACGCACTGAACAACACATCCCCGCCCCCAATCAAAATAAAACTCCAAATAGACCACCACCTTAAAAATGGAATGATGAAAACCATTTAGCTTCAAAAATGAAGATTCTTGACTGACGATGGTGACAAGGCTCGTTTTGTTGGGCTGAAGGCAAAACCATTCTTGTATATCGATTATGATCGGTTTCTGCAATTAATGAGAATAATCCTCCAGTGATTTAAATCACCTTGGATTACGAACTGGGTATTCTTGTCAAAATTCAAAACATATGTGAAGTTATTTCTTCAGTTCCCTTTGACTTATAATTGCAATGTCATGAGCTTTGTCTTAATTTCTTGACCGCCCCTTGGGTTTCAATATCCATTTTGTTTAATTATGGCAGAATGTGGACATGGTTGATGATATACTCATGCATGCATGCAATTATAATCAGAAAACATGCAAATAACAAAATAGTTGCCATATGCATCTGCTATATTGTCCTTCCTCTTCATTTCTAAATTGAGACGAGTAACTTTCTTTTTCTTCCAAACTGCAGCTGATTGTTGGCATGCATTCTATGAATGCTGTTTTCCTCTTTGGTGATGTGATTTTGAATTGTCTGGTAAGTGTCCCTTACTGGTGCAGATGCTATCTAGTTTTACATCTCATTGATGACCAACTGGAATTATTATCTTCTTCCAGCGATTTCCTTTCTTTCGAATTGCGTATTTTGTTTTGTGGACGTGTACCTTTGTCATTTTCCAGTGGATCATCCATGCTTGTGTTTCAATGTGGTAGGTTGGGTACTTCTTTAATTCTTGTAATCGTCATTTTCTTCTGAACATTGACACTGTCTGTCTAGTTCTGCTTACGTACAATGTTCAAATGCTTTTGTTACAGGTGGCCATATTCATTTCTTGACTTGTCATCTCCGTATGCTCCCTTATGGTATGTATGCAATTATACAATATGTTTTTCTTTTTATATTTTGAGTATCCAATGATAATGATCACTTCTGATTTCTCAACACACTTAGACGTATTAATTATAGCCTCTGATGTAGTCGTGCAAGAACTTGTTAGCAGACCATGGGAACCAGTAAGTAAAACTTAGAATTTGAGAAAATTTGCCCAACAATATGATCTTTGAATTTTGTTTGTTCTACTCAGTATCAATAAGAGGTCTAACTGTCCTTTGGAGTTTAAGATACTACTAAGGACCGGTAAAGATCATTTGTCTTTTTACGCCATTGCCCGTTTGTCTCCAATCACATGATTCCCCACCATGAAAGTAGTAAATTTAAATTAGGAGGTCATGTGGCCATCCATATTTTATGGTTAGCCATGGTCTGGCTGACCACAATTTGTATGAAGAGATGATCCACAGTAACTGTTGTGCTGCCATTTTTAACTTTACAGGTACTTGGCCGTTGGGTTGCTTCATCTTCCGTGCTATTGCATCTTCACTCTGATAATCAGGATTAAGAACCTTTGTTTGTCAAGATCATTCCCAGAGTCGCACTGAAGTTACAAGGTCCACTGAAGCATTGAAGTATGAGGTCAGAGTTGTGGTTTAGCACCATCGACCAGTGGGTTAAGCATTAAACAAGACCACCTTCAGCGTACCAGAAACTGTAATCCCTCTTGGATTTGATCTTTTCTCTCTCAAAAGAATCCTAAACACGGTCCATAGTTGTAAAAAAACAGAGCAGGTGCAGTACAGGAATTTTTCCCTGTAAATTTTTTTTCCCTGGGGTTGATGAATCTATGGAGAGAATTGTTGATGACACAGGAAATGCATGGTTAAGGAGACATGCAGTATGCAAATTGTTTGTGTATGATCTCTTAAATAGAAATGGTAGCAACATTGCTTACTCTTTTGGAATATGAAATGACCCTATTAGATATTGGGATTGATTTTCTACTGTAGGACAGTAAACTCTAATGCTACAACTATTCCCCTCTCTCATTTGTCACCAACTCCCCATGGCTTCTTAATAACCAGATGAAGAAGGGGTTATGGCCTAGGTGTACAAAACTCATGGAGCATAAAATCCCACATGAAAAGCGTATGTCTCCCTACGTGTACAAAACTCACAACCCTATTTACATTTATCTTTCACGCACCTCTCTATTAATCATTTATTGCTTATTCATCATGCATACTGCGTAAGTTAATTTAAGAAGCTCAATATCAGATGAAGTTTACCACTACCAAACCGCAATAAATAATATCATTGATTTGGACAGGGGATCATATGGTTGAATTAAAAATCTGATGCAACTACCTACCCACCACAACTAGCAGCCCTAAATACTAATCATGATTCCCAAGATCATGGACTGGTAGATGGTGTGTAGTTATTTCAATTTTCAAAGGTGCAAACAAGAGATAAAACAATGCCATTGTTGTGAATGATTCACATGCTATGTCTGACCAATGGCCTACCAAACCTTACTCTTTCTTTGTACACATTATGTGGAAAATATATCCTTATATAAAAATATATATATTTATAAATATAATTTGAGAAGTTTGCACTCACCAAAAATAAAAAATTGAGCAATTTTCAAAACAAAGTCAATAAGAGGAAGAGAGTGGTGGTGGCAGTACAGGATTGACCAAAGAGAAAGGTAGGGCCAGTCAACCATTTTACTTTTGACTTGGTATTTATAAGGATAAAGCCAGTCTTTTGAAATCAGCAGCTCATAATTTTAATTAAAAAACAAAGAAGTGGACATCTTTGAGGCAATGCAAGAGAGTCCAAGAGACATTTTCAATGTGAAGAAAGTCAGTTAAGTGAGAAAAAAACACTACATTTGAAAGCATCACAAAGACACACCCTTCAATTACCAACTAACTAGCTACTTTTTTCAAATTTATTTAAATATAATTATTTTTACCATTAAATAATTTATATAACTATTCATTTATTTAACTTCTTAAGTGATAAATTTAAAACAATAAGTAAAACAAGTTAAAAAAATAACAAAATATATGCCCTGTGCAACATAGGGGACCAAAATATTAATATTATCTGAATTCAAATTAATACATCAAAATCTATTACCATATATCTAAAAAGAAGAGTTACACTTAAACCTCTAAAGTTTATTATTTAATCACTAAGGTCCCTGATATTTGAAATATTATACAAATTCTATAAGGTTTTTAAGTGCGTAACACTTAAACCATTATCGTTAAAGTTCGTTAGTATATCCGTTATTAAATTATATCTAGACTTACTTGAAGTTTGTAAGTATATAATATTTAGATTTCTCAAGTTAAAAATATTACATTTAGACCAAAAATACTTCAATTAAAGATAAAATATCAAATGCTAGTTATTGTTTGTGCCTGAAGGTACAGAATAATAAAAAATAAAAAATAAAAAATATATTTGTATTCATATCCAAAATTAAATTATAAACATAGAGAAGAAATAAAAGAATTTAAATATCGATTTTGTAGTGGGGGTGAGAGGTGGTAGACGACAGGGGTGGTGATAGGAGACGGTGATGATTGTGGTGGGTGACAATAACAGTGGTGGTGGCAGCGACAATGGTGGTAGTGGTGGTGGTGGGGATAGAGGTAGTGGTGAGACAATTTTAAACACTATTTTTTTTAAAAGTATTTATGATAAATAATTTCTAAAAATATTTTTTAAAAAGTCACTCCAAACACACTCTTATAAATTTATTTTTTCTATTAAATTTAAGGTATTAATATTAGCTGTTAGATTAATTTTAAAATAAAATTTAAAGCAATTTCAACAGCGAATAGTAAAAGTCATTTTGTTTATCTTTTGAAATTTGAATTGTAAATTATATAAATTTTAAATTTTATAATAAAATTTTATGTTTTATTATGTCATTTATTGAAAGAACATCAAAAATAAAAATATATTTTTAAAAAAAATCATAATTAATATATAATTATATTATTTATCGAAATAAAACTAAAAAACTAAACAAGAAGTCAAACTATAATAGATACAATAAATTATATTTTTAATTAAAATAATTTAACCTTTTAATAAATTTTATTAATTCAGTAACTAATCATGATTAAGAAGAGTGGGCTGGATAATTTTCCACAAGGGCATCGGCTAGATGCCGCCTTTTTGACTCTTTCTGCAAACTTCCAAAAATGAAAAAAAATTAATTGAAAAAAAAAAAACATCAAACATGGTGTGCTAAAACTTCAGGTTCCAATTTTGGAGCGTGGCAAATAATATAATTGGAAAGTAGGAGGGTAAGCAAAAAGGGCGTAATTAACTATAACTAATTTTACAGCCAGCCGGTGCTCCTTGGGCTAGCTGGGTAGGTGGGCGCGCGTGTCAATATATACACATCCTCCCAGAACCAACCAACCAACCTCCCAACCTCAAGCTTAGTTTTCTTGTGGCTTCTTCTGGGTCTCTTTCATCGGTAAGTTTCACTTCCTCTACATTTTCCTATTCAAGGTTTTCAAATCTGTGTGTATACAACATTGATGTGTGATTGATCTGTATCAAAAGATTGAAACTTTGGTAGATCTAAATTGGTTTTGATTTGGAAAATTTTCTTTGGGATCTGGGAATGTAGATCTGGGTTCAGTCTACTGTTGTTAATGATTGTGTTTAGGTGAAAAAAGGTGAAAGGAAATGGCACGCAAGAAGATCAGAGAGTATGATTCCAAGAGATTGTTGAAGGAGCACTTCAAGAGGCTCTCTGGAACCGAATTGGCCATTAAATCTGCTCAAGTAAGTCCCAAAAATTTGAAATCTGAGTATATATTTTTCTGGGTGTCTTAAGTTCATTACGGATTTTCAATGGGAAGCCTTCTTGAATGAGTCTTTGTCTTCATTCTTATATGTAATTGTTGAAGTTCTTGGTGTATCATTGGCCATAATTTTAAAAGCAGTGCCTATAAACAACTACAGTTTTGACTACTTGGGGTCTGCTATATGATTCCCATTTTGTCATTTACCTTATTGTTGGCTATATCAGTGGCAGCTAGGGCTGATAATTGAGCCCACCTACTCGGATAGGACTCGATTCGGGCTCAGTTCGTGTTCTAAACAAGTTGAGTAGAACAATTTTTTAAGGACCCTAAAAAAACTCGCTTGAGCTCGCAAAGCTTGGTTTGTTTATATGGAAAATAATCGAGCTAGGATTCGAGTCTTGGCTTCACTAAACGGGCCGAACTAGAATAATTTTTTTGACTTTTTAAAAAAAATGAGCACGACCGAGTTGATTCGAACTTGCAAAACTCGGTTCATTATCATGCCTACGTATTAGATCTGACTATGGAATTTGTGACATCTGCTACCTAACACACATGAATGTTTTAGGACCAGTATTTGTCATCCGTGCCTGGTGATATAAAATCGGGTATTTGATAGTTTGGAATAATTGGGCGTGGCTACGTGTAGAAACTGTAAAACGTGGTCTGAAAATCAAGAAAGCCATATGCTTGATCAGTATCTTCATTGATAGAAACTGTAAAACGTGGTCTGAAAATCAAGAAAGCCATATGCTTGATCAGTATCTTCATTGACAATAACAGCCGAGGCTGAAATTGGAGAACTTATTTCATCATTTGAAGTCAGGGAATTTTAGTGATGATATTATTTAAATATCCAAAAATGGACTTTTAATTTGCATGAGAAAGTCTCAGTTTTCTTTTCAAAGGAAGATTCTCTGAATGAACAAAGTATATAGCTACGAACCCGATGAAGCTACTATATCTTCGCAAAAGAATATGTGATGTGGATGGCTGCCAGTTTGTGAACCAAACTTTTGAACTGATCAAACCTGCAGAGTAGCCTGTCTAGAATGAGAAATGAATAGGATATTTATTGTTAGAGATAAATTGAAATTTATCTACCAAATCCTAATGAAAGAAATCTGTCATACTCCTTGTTTCCAATCATCAAATCTGTCTGTAATGCTCAATTGTGCAGTGGGCTGCCCTCAAAAACATTGAACAACAGTACGTGATATTTGTAAAAAGGGGTTTGATTGCTCGTCTATTCTGGAGTTGTTAATATTGATTCGAACTTGATTTTTTTTCCCTCAGAATATTGGTCTTCTATGGATTGTATTGAAGTTATAAAAAATCAGTTGCACGAGTTCACTTTTCATATGTAAACAGAGCCATGAGACCTAGATATGCATTTCACTTCAATGATGTAAATCTTATCGTAGTTATAATTCGTTGTGGACTAGGTAACTGAATCAACAGATTTCAATGAGCTAGTTGAAAAGGAACCTTGGCTCTCCTCTTCGAAACTTGTTGTGAAACCTGATATGCTATTTGGGAAGAGAGGAAAAAGTGGACTTGTTGCCTTAAATCTAGATTTGGCTCAAGTTGCCGGCTTTGTGAAAGAACGACTCGGCAAAGAGGTAATTTCAGATATTCTTCAATATCATGCATTTCAAGATTCGACAAATATACTCTGATCATAAATTGACATATGTTTAATTTATATTTTTATTGTTTTAAAAAAAGTTATTGTTTTGCTCACATATGTAAATCGTTCACTCTACAGGTTGAGATGGGGGGATGCAAAGGACCCATTACAACTTTCATTGTTGAACCATTTATACCACACAATGAAGAGTTTTACCTCAATATTGTTTCTGAGCGGCTTGGGTGTAGCATAAGCTTTTCAGAATGTGGAGGAATTGAAATTGAAGAAAATTGGGACAAGGTTAAGACTATATATGTCCCAACAGGAGTGTCTTTCACATCAGAGACATGTGCTCCTCTTGTCGCAACCCTTCCCTTGGAGGTAATATTTTTGCAAGTAATTTTAGGGTGGCTGATTATCTTTCTACGTGGTTTTCTCCAATGCTTATTGCTGGAAATTGCTTGGTCAAAAACTCTTTCAGGATTGGACTTTTACCAAATTTGAACTACTCACATGCAGTGTGACCCTATTACATGTTTCTGTGAAATGTTGTTGTCATTGTTAGAGACACCATTTGCCCCTTTTAAGATTTTATTTTTCTCTCGGTTTAGGGGAAAGTTCAACATATAAGAGACTTTAACTTTGCTCAGCTGAATGTAGCTACCTCTTCACCTGTGGTCATGTAGAAAACCGATGCCCATTGGTGCATAAATGTGTTCTGATGCAGAATTGAAATTGCTAACTGAAAGATTTTTGGTGATGCAGATCAAAGGTGTAATTGAGGAGTTTATCAAAGTGATCTATGCTCTATTTATAGGTACTATTAAGATCTTGAACACTCCTTGATTTTTGAGAATTTGAAAACAAGTTACTGTTGTTCACAATTTATATCAATTTGCAAAAAAAAATTTGTTAGATCTGGACTTCTCAAGGAATCTTGAACACTCCTTTATTTTTGAGAATTTGAATACAAGTTAATGTTGCTTACAATTTATGTCAATTTGCAAAAAAAAAATTTTAGATCTGGACTTCACATTCCTTGAGATGAATCCTTTCACATTGGTCGATGGGAAGCCTTATCCTTTGGATATGAGGGGAGAGCTTGATGACACTGCTGCTTTCAAGAACTTCAAAAAGTACAGTATTTTTTCTTTCCTCTTCCCCTCTTTCATCTGTAATTTTATTTTCCTCGCTTCCTTTTGGTATGGAATTAACGGATTCAAAATAATCAGTAGATCCAGTGGAAACACAATTATTGTGAAGCCCTCTAACATGCTTCATTTAGCAGGTGGGGAAATGTTGAATTTCCGCTGCCTTTTGGAAGAGTTATGAGTTCTACAGAAAGCTTTATTCATGGGCTAGATGAAAAGGTACAAATACATCTTGCCTTTGGAGAAAACATCAGCTACTAAAATTGGAAGTCATGTTTTCTTAACACATCTTAAACACACACACAGACACAGACACAGAGACAGAGGGAGGTACACACTGTTCTTGTTCCAGTTCAATCAATCTTCAGATCTTTAGTGCTAATTCATAATATGTGAGTTGCTACATTGGTTCAAGATTATGTCATTGGAAGTTATTTCACTCTTTTACGTTGATTCACTGGAACTTGAGGAACTATGGGTTTTCCTTTGTCTGTATTCATGTGGAACTTTGCTACACAGATTTTGATAGTTAGCCATAGGTTTGATACTCTATAAGACTTTGTCAAGTTCACTTGTCGGTTGTGGCAGCTTGTAAGAGGTGGTTACTTGCCGTCCAGAATACCTCCAGCCATGTGGATCTTATGAAGCTTATAATTTCTTCTCTTTTTCGCTGGTTTTTAATTTCTTATTTGTTTGCAGACAAGTGCATCTTTGAAGTTCACAGTTCTGAACCCAAAGGGAAGAATTTGGACTATGGTGGCTGGAGGAGGAGCCAGTGTTATTTATGCAGATACAGTGAGTTTCTCATCCTAGGTGTTTTTATGCACCCTGCCTTGCCATATTTTTCTTTTATCTTCCCATTTCCAGCATTAGCTTCATAGATACTATTATTTTGTTTGAACAGGTTGGTGATCTTGGCTATGCTTCTGAGCTCGGGAACTACGCAGAATACAGTGGAGCTCCGAATGAAGAGGAGGTCTTGCAGTATGCTAGAGTTGTAATTGATGTAAGGAGTCTTCCTCGCTTCGCTTGGAATCTTGTTACTGCATAAGATTATTGATCTACATTTCATTGAACCAGCTGATTTTGGTAGCTGATTTTGTAGTTGCTATATCATATTATGTTCTAAAGACACTAAAATAGACTGCAAAATGCTTCAAATTTGAAATAAGTGTTGAATTTCCCTGATATTTGACAAAGCCTCATGAATCCTGTACAGTGTGCAACTTCAGATCCTGATGGTCGTAAGAGAGCCCTTGTCATAGGAGGTGGGATAGCTAACTTCACCGATGTTGCTGCTACATTCAATGGCATTATTCGTGCTCTGAAGGAGAAAGTGAGTGTACAACTATATGGCCTACCGTTGTTTCCACATCATTTCACTGTAAACAATATCCTTAATTATCGTGTATTGGGGACAGGAGTCGAAGCTTAAAGCCGCAAGAATGCACTTGTATGTTAGGAGAGGTGGTCCAAATTACCAAAGGGGTCTTGCAAAAATGCGGACACTTGGAGAGGAAATTGGCATTCCTATTGAGGTACGAACAAAAACCTTTCCCCTGGAAAACATTCCTCTACTTGTTTCAACAACTCTTTAAAGAACGAAGCAATCAATGTAGCTCTGAAAATCGCTGAAAATTGGTCCTGTTTTTATGTTCTCTTTGTAGGTCTATGGACCTGAGGAGACTATGACTGGCATATGCAAAGAGGCAATTGAATGCATCACTGCAGCTGCTTAAACCTAGCATATCTGCTTATCTATCCCGTCGTCTTCTTTCTGTTTTAGTATGGTGATTCACCCAAAATGTTGGGAATTCTAGTTGTAAACTTTTACTTTCATATGAGTGAACCAGTGATAATTGTTCCTACAAATCAAGCTGTAACTGTACTTGTCTCATGGACCCATAATAAAGAGCTCAAGTTTTTGTTATCAATATCTATCTTCTACCATGGGCCACAACTGTACCCAAAGTAATCAACTAATCAAGTTACCTATGATACAATTCTTGTCCTTCCTCTGTAGTAATCTTTACAGTGACAAATCTTCTATATATACTAAACTGGGAAGAGACTGTAGGATGATGCAACAGGCTGCAGCGCATGCACTCAAAAGTGTTAACTTTGATCAATCATAAGTAAGAGAAATAAGAACATAATATTATTAAGACACAATAAGCCAAAACAACTTTAAAAGAAAACTACTATATAAGAGGTCTATATATAGTAGGGCAAAAAAAAAACAATCAGACTAAGTTAGGGCAACATAAAAATAAACAAAATGACTAAACTATCCCTAAGTCTAAATAACTTAACTACTCTAACATCCTCCCTTAAACTCGTGATGTGGTGGCAGAAAACATTAAGAGTTTGTCAAGAAAAAAACGAAAACAAGTGACAGGATGTGATTTTGTGAAAAAATCTGTTAGTTGCATATAGTCCTCCTATTCTACGGTGTGTCCCAATCAGTTTGTTGGACTGTGAATTCTGAAGGACTTGAGGTAAATAAACCTACTGAAGGAAATATTGTAAGTGCGACAGGCTGATGGAGAGAGATTAACTTTTGCAACTGATCAGAAAGCATAGTTAGGCTGGGTGCCTGTGAGGAGGACTCTTCCACTGCTGGTGTTGCAATTGCTGACTGATTTGTTGTCCCCTTTACAATTTTGTTCATTAGTTTAGGGCATTGAGTCTTCCAGTGACTTTTCTCATGACAGAAGTTACACTCATCTAAAGCTACACGGCCTCGATATTTAGAAATCACCGTGGGAGGCACAGTCAATACAGTCTGAGTAGGTAATGGAATAAGACTTTTCCCAGAAAGAGTCTTAAGACGAACTTCTTCAACCAGAAGCTCATTCACTACTGTATCCACTGAGGGAAGTGGATTATGATGAAGAATAGAACCATGAAATCCCTCAAAGTCATCCCTGAGAGCCATCAAAAATTGCACCGACTTCTGCTCCTCTCTAAAAGTGCGATATATCATATGAGTACTCAATTCAGTAGGTTCAATAAGAGCTAACTGATCCCAATATCCAGTCATAACTGAGTAGAACTCCTGAATGTTTTTATTACCCTGACATGCAGTTCGAATTTCATGCTCTAACTGATACCTCTTTGCAAAATTAGACTGAACAAATAAGGTAGCTAAATAATCCCAAATTTCTTTGGTTGTATTAAACTTAGTCAAATGAACACCAATGATCTGATCAACTGAATTGTTAATCTAAGTGATGATTTTAGCGTTGTTGATTTTTCAAGTATTCTTTAAGTCAATATATTTCTCGATCTTAGGATCAGTTGGAGCTGACGAATCACCACTAACATATCTCCACATTTTCTTATCCAACAAGAATTTTTTTATAACATAAGCTCAATATACATAGTTTTCACCTTTTAATTTGACAGTGATAGCCTGAAGAGAATCATAATTTTTATTGGCCATAATATCCCAATCAAGCAATCCAAAGCTAATATTAAAGTCAACAAACAAAATTTAGCTACCCAATAACCTAGCAAGATCCAGCAACCTAACAACCCAACACCCAAATAGCAAATAAGGGCCCAACAGAAAATCAAAACTCAACAATTTTGCAAATCAAATACTCACCCAGCCGTTCGTTCACAAAATCAGCCCCAAAGGCTCAAATCCACCAATCAGTAAGAAAGAGAACACATGTTTTCTGCTTATTCAATGCGAAACAATGTAAACAAACCCAAACAATGCAAAACTATGTCAAATAGCAAGCCTTAGTTAACATAAGAATAGCCAAACCATAACTAGCCCCAAACCAGCAGTAGCCAAAATTAACAAACCCTAGTAGTTAGGATTTCTTACATTGCAAAGACTAGTTCAGCGAGAAAGACCCAACAACGAGAAACACCAACATAAGAGAAGAGATAGCCAACGTCAAACAATGCAAAGTTCGTCACAAATCAACTCAACAATTTTACAAATCAAATACCCATAACAGTCGAATTCAGCACTGTTCACAGCTCGTGAACAGTAATTTCAGTACTGTTCATAGCGCGTGAACAGTAACTTCAGCACTGTTCACAGCCCTTAGAACCACAAAAAAAAAAGTCAGCAACCCTAATCCAAGAATAAATTGTCATAGATGATGTCAGTCCTAATTCAAGAATATATTCTTTATCCAACTAAAGTACTATGGTGCTACAATATATTTTGGATCGAAACCATACTCTGATACCATGTTAACTTTGATCAATTATAAAAAAATAAGAAAAAGAAGAACAAAATATTATTAAGGCACAATAAAGCAAAATAACCTTAAAAGAAAACTACTATATAAGAAGTCTTTATATAGTATGGTAAAAGGAAAACAATCAGACTAAGTTAGAGCAACATAAAAGTAAACAACATAACTAAATTACCCCAAAGTTTAAATAACCTAACTACTCTAACAACAAAAAGGACTTGAACCTGAGCTTAATTGCTTAGGTTGGGTTTTGAGACCAACAGTAAGGAGGGGATCATATTTCTACGAAAGGTACCAGAGCCCAAAAATGATCTGAGGGCATATCTCTAGGAAAAATAAAGTAGCTAAAGTGAAAAAAGAAGTGAAAAAGTAGAAAAGAAATGAATAAAATAGGGTAGCTAACGAGTGCTACACCAACAAATATCTGCAAAGCGGAGTGGGCAAGCACTCCACCCATTAGAAGAAACAAACCCACATTTGGGAGGGAGTGTGAATTCACACTTAAGGGTGCAAAAAGATCCCACATCAAATGGGGAGAGGGAAAAAATATAGGTTCTACCAGACTACTGATTCTCTGTTTGCCAAGAGAATGGACCTTAGCCGCTCCAATTCAAATTGCTTGAAAAGCTGGCATTGAGACAATCACCATAGGTCCATAGCCATCATCAACACAGCCTACCATTGTTGAACCCTCTGCTGGCCTGTCATTGCCTTTCCTCATCTCTTGCCTCGTCCCATCTGGCACCTATGCGGAATGAATTTCATCAATCGCTCCGATTATTAAATTAGTTTTGGGTCCTAATATTAATAAAATTTATTATCAGTCTAATGAATATAATATATTAAATCTCTAAATTAAATACAAATATTCTGGATACCAACTAAAAACATATTTAAAAATTCATAGTATAAATATATATACATACATAAAAGCTGGCACACCATTAAGGCTATTATCATATTTGTTGTGACTCATTACCAAACTTATTTCTATTGCCAGTCAGAATAAGCAGTCTGCACTCCTAAGCTCAGGTAGCCTACCTAATATCAGTGTTCAACTGCATGACTAGACCACTACTTCTTTATCAGCATTTTTCTAAATAGATTACTGGCTGAAAGACTTTTAAACCCAAAACATGATCTTCAATTTGAAACTTATTACTAGTTTAGTATGCATTTTCTATATTTAGTGGAATATTGGGTTGTTGAGGGTTGCTAAGCACACTTTAAAACTGCTTATGGATTGATGCCTAAGTTTTTCTAAATGCAGGCCAAGATGGTTCAGCCTAACTTTGAGTAGACTATCTAGCTTTTTTTTTTTCTTTTGGGTTCAACAGTAAAAGGTGTCCGAACCAGTTTACGCGTATCTCAATTAATTTTCTCCTCAGTCCGATCAAACACAGACTATTTATGTCGGGACATGATATTCATAAAAGATAAATCCCTTATGACCTAACTTCAACAGATTGACAAGATTCGAACTAAAAGTATATGACTTTACAATTCGTTTCTACTACTACTTGAATTACTTTAATAGATAGTCTATCTACCTCTAGAAATGGAAATAATATAGAAAACCCAAAAGTAGGTTGTTAGTTGATAAACCCATAATACCAACTTTAAAATAAAAATATTTCAACAGTAAATGCGATCCATATCTATTGCATTCTACTTTTTTTCGATAATAGATCAACCTCGGTAAATTCAAGTATGGACCTTTCTTTCACAAAGTATTATAGAGACAACCTTGCCAGTGCACTGTTGTATAATTATCCAAAAGCAGTGAATGATGCCTTTCGTACACATACACATGGTATGTATGTGTGCATACGGTAGTGCATGAGAAAGGCTTGATGTACCATCAAGGTTATTGTGTGAAAGTTAAGCTTGCCTGGTGTGGTCCTGTTTTGCCCTATTTCTATCAATATTTCGGCGGTGTAAATTTTGCTTATCCAAGTGCCAGCTACATACAAGGACCAATTGCAGTACTGTCCTCTAGTTCAGAAAAAATATTAAATGTAATGGTGATAGTATTTCAACATTGATATATAATACCACCAACAAATTATAAGATAACATCTGAACTTAGTTTGCTCCACAATTATTATAGTTATATGTAATTATCACATAATATTTCATTATTAATCGATAATACTATGTGTTAATAATGAGATGAGATTCGTGTTACATTCAATATTTACTTAGGTTGTATTTGGTAATTGTTGTTTATTTATTTATTTTTTTTGCCAAAATGTAAAAATAAAAATATTTTTGTGATCTATTTTTGTTGTTCTTTTAGCAACTCTGTTTTACAAATAAGGCTAAAAAATGAACACACAAAAAAGACAGTTTTCATAAACACCTAAAAACAAAAGAAAAGAAGGTAAAACATTTAAGACAACGAAATACACACCAAGAACTAGCGAGTTGCCCATTATATCCAACTCAAGTCACCCTGGTTAACTCAATCTCTCTTCCCCTTTACAACAAACCTCCGATTCTCTGACCTCATCGCCCTCTGCAAATCGTCGATCCCAACCTCCGAACACGTAAACACCATCCTCTCCATACAATTCCTCTCATTCCCCACCACATTCCCTACACATCCCCACCTACACCCGCTCTCTCTCTCCTCAAATTCGCACACAAATACCTCCTCAACCTCCGAAGCATTATAGATATACAAGAAATTCCCCGCCATACAAACGTTTATCGACGAGACATGAAAATTCTCTCTCTTCAGCTTCTCAACCAGCGGTGATGGCATTTCTGTAATTTCCTCGCACCCAAAATTGTCACTGTTCACTTCCCAAACTTTCACTCTCTCTACCCTCTCAACGTCTCCGATCAGTCCAATCAGAATCAGATGGCCGGCAGAAAATCCGATGATCGAGTATGAAATGAGGTGATCAGGACGTAGATCGTAGGGTCCATACCAAGTCTTGGAATTCGGATTAAACACGTGCGTCGTACCAGAATATTTCTCGGTGACGAAGAGTCTCTGATTATCGGCGGCGACTGAGAGCCACGTCGAGGCTGCCGAGTCTCTGAGAACAAACGGCATGGACTCGCACGTGTCCCAGCTGTTCGCGACGACGTCGTAGATTTCGACGGCGAGTGGATCGTCCTCGAAGTCGCACGTGCCACCGGCGACGATGATTTTGTCGCCAACGATAGCCACGATCGGGTCCGTACGCCACACGAGTGGAGGTCCCACATGATGCCACGTCAGATTCAATGGATCAAACGAGAACGCAAGTTTCGAAGGGGACAACATGTAGAGGAAATTCGAGTGGGACGATCGGAGGGCTGAGACGTACTTGATGGACGGCTGTGATACCTCCATCCACACGTGTGAGCGAGGGTCATAGGCATGCGTCGTCGTTTTGTATGGTGAGCGAGTGCTCTGAGTGTGAACCACGAGCCACGGTTTAAGTGGGTTAAAGATGAGAGACGGAAAAACTGCACGATTCCATGATATGGACACGCGCGAGACGGGAACGAGATCGATGAGTGGCACGTGTGACAGAATGGACTCTAGTATGTCGCCATAAATTGGAGCTTCTTGCTCTTGCAGTTGTAGTTCTTCTTCTTCTTCCACCATCTTTGAGGCTCTGTCCATGTGTGTTTGCCTTATTATTATGGAGGTGATGGGTTGGGTATTATTGACTCTTTATAATAAGCTGCGGTCATTGAACGTTTGATTATTTTATAGTTGTTTAGGCAGAGTTTAATTTAATGTTGGAGTGCTGTCAATATTTAGCGAAGCCGGGTTTATTAACACAACACATTACAATATAAAATTAAGGGGATTGAATTTTTCTTAAATCATTCATTTTGTTAATGAGTGGTGGGTATAAATAAAAATATATGCTTAAATAGACTATGATGGAGTTGTAAAAGAGGAGCTCATTGGATACCGCATCTATAGGTTTGTATCGATTATTCTTTCAAATTTAATAATCGACTATTATAGAATTACTAAAAAATAGGTGTAACCGTTACACCACCCTAAGTATTAGATATCGTAATTCAAATTCTACTATAGATGTAGAGAGCAAGAGGTCCTGTTTTACGTGACTTTGATTTTAATCATTTGGTGCTATTCTTTATAGGTGGTTGTTGACTTGGAAGCTCCAGTTTGGTGGTGGTGGTGTGTTTTGTTGTTGTTGGTGGCGGTGGTTGGAAGAGGTGCTATGAGTACTGTATGGCGGCTTTGTGATTCTACCATCTATACAAGATAATACTTTGCAGCCTCATTCTAACAGTTTTATGGACAAGATTCAAAGTTTTGTGGTTAGTGTAATTCAACAATATTGTGACTTTTGGCAACCCATGTTGGACTAATCTATATGCCAAGATGCCCAAAGACCAGAACATCTTTAGGTATCACACAAGAAATGATGTCCACAAGAAGCACCAACAAGAAAGTCTAGTACTAATGGAAAGTATAGAAAGTCAGGTATATTTAAACTACTACTACTAATTGAATTGGTATTCTATATAAATCGTGTTTAACAAAGTTTATTTGAATTTGTTGATATATAGAATAATTTTCAAAGTATGAACTCAGGTGCGGAGGTCAGACAAGGAGGTCGGGCAAGACACGTAGAGCTCAGAGGATCGGAGCCAGAGCTCCCCCCAAACGAGACAATGACAAAAATGATAAGGAAATAGTTGGATGTTAGTTGGAACCCTATAAGCGGCCAAGAGCCATATCCAAGGCGAAAAACCTTCAACCAACCAAAATACTCTTCAAGAATCAAGAAGTAATCAACAAATGAAAGGTTAGGATCTTGGCAGAGATCCCACAGATCAAGGAATAGCTCTATAAATATTATATAATGCCTCCAATAACAAAAGAGAAAAACCTTAGTGGCATGAGAGGCAGATTGTGAAATTCATCCCCCATTATTGAAACAAAAGGAGCAAGAGTCTCCATTGAAAATTTTTCACTATATTTTCACTGTTTAATTCCTCCCAATCTCTGAATTTTTTTTTTATCACCATCCTCACGAGTCGAGGAGCTCAGACACAATGTGCCAAGCATAGTTTCAACCTTTTGCTCGTCCAGGTTAATTTGCAACATCTTTGTCTAACCTCTGCGCCTGAGCTTATATTTTAGAAATTATTCTATGTATCAACAAAATTTGTATCAATATGTTTATTTGACGGCTCTATCCTTGCACCGGCCAAAGCTAAATTTAAATTCATTAATTTTAGGTTGGAATCTTAAGTCGAATATAAAATTGGCAGGCTTAATTGCAGAATCTCTAGCTAATGGTAATGTAACAACTTGAAGTTCATGCAATACCAATGAATTAAAACAGACCCCAATCACCCATCTGCCATGTGAAGTTCTGTTAAAAGGTGATATATGCAACATTCTATTGAGATAAGTGTGATGTAAGGTTATAGATATACATATCTATATCTATAGGACCACAACGATGGAACAGGCTCCATTAATTAGAATAAGGATAAGGCAAAATCCAAGCACCACCAAAATTTGATAAAAATCAAAATGAGCATGACCCACGACAAGGGCCAACATATCTCAGGTTACTCTCACAGTCTCGTCTTTTTAATAGGTTTTTAGGTCATTATCTTTACCTAATATTTAATAAAAAGAATTTCCTCTTTTTATATTTTTGATTGATTGTAAAGCTTCAATATTTGACGTCTAGTTCAAGTCATTAATGAAATCGTAAGGTTTCATATAAGACTCCTGTTTATACCATTCCCTAACTTGAATCCATGATGTAATAACTAATTGGGTTTGACTAGGGTAATTTTTTTTGGATACCGTACCACTTATTATCTTTTGAGGTATTTTCACCACCTTTAGAGAGGAGAGTGACTACGCTAAATTTGAGTGCCCAATGAATATATATATATATATATGAGTATGAAATCCAAAAATACTTTTCGGTAACATAAAATGACCACAAATCTTGTTTTTGTTTGTTCACGATCGTTGATCGTGAAAATAATAAATTAAGCTAATCGATTGTGTTTTGATTGATTCATCAAAGTTATACATTTAATTTTTACTTTTATTTTTGTGATAGCAATGCAATTAAAATGTATATAAATTTAAGAATTGGTAGAGTCACATTATCACATGGCACAACATATGTGGAGTGGAGAGATACAATTAAATGCATCAATAAAACATGCACAAATACAATGGAAGAATCATATACTAACAATAAAACATGAACACCCTAGACATTGAAATCATATAAAACTGCTAACTACTCCAAAAACAAATACTTGAATCAATGAAAAGTGATTCGCAATCATTAGGCCCACAGCATATATCATAGAAGTGAAATAGGGAAATGAACCCTTTTCATGGACCGGGCTTGGTAGGGCCAGAGGGGAATTCGGCCCAAACTAACGAAAATTATAATGCTTTAAAGTTAAGATAAAAAATTTTTTAGTGTAAATAACAACTTCACCAAAAAAATGTGTTTGATAATGAAAATTACGACTTTTAAATGTTATGTTGTTTTCTTTAAATGTTAAGTTAAAACTCGTAAAAGAGAAATTATAATTAATTAAAGTAATTCATGATCGATTTTGAAATGTATAATTATTAGTTATTACCAGTGCTTGAAGTTACAGAGTAATAAAAAAAATGATTAACAATAAATATATTTGTATTCATAACAAAAATTAAATCATAAATATAGAGGAGAGAGAAAAAAAATTTAAACCCCAATTGCAGTGGGCAATGGTGTGGTGGCAACGGTAGATGTGGTGGGGGTGATGGGGTGGTGACGACGACAATAATAGGGGTAATGGTAGGACAGTAGCTGTGATGGTGGGGGCGGCAATAGAGTTGATGGTGGTTGTGGGATGGCGGCAGCGATAGTGATGGTGGTGGTAGGGGTAGTCGTGGTGGTGGTTTGGTAGCGGCAACAGTAGTGGTGATGGTGGGACGGCTCCAAACATTATTATTATTTTTTTAAATTCTTATGAGAAATGATAAAATACTTATAAAAAATCACCCAAACACACGGCATATTCCCTATTAAATTTGAGGTGTTAATATTAATTGTCGGATTAATTTTAAAATAAAATTTAAAGAGAACTCAACCATAAAAAATAAAAGTTATTTTGTTTATTTTTAAAATTTGAATTGTAAATTATTTTATTGTATAGATGACTGAAAGGTGTAATTTGACTAATAAAAATAGTAACTTCTCGATATGGCAGTGCTATCCAAATCAATAAATCATACGTGGAGAAATAAAGAAAGACCACACATCTTCCTAGCTCATCCACTTGAGTGCAAATAGCTAGTAATTGCACTTACGCCTTTGTCCGGGCAGGGGAGGAGAGTAGTTAAGATTCAAATAGAAAAATGGTTCAAGTCGAGCTTCCCATGTGCCAGTTTAATCCATTTCACCTCCCAAAAATGTCAGAAGTACTGAGAATGTTGGAAGGTGATGACTAATAAGTAGAAAATGGGAGGCCTCACAAACTGTGGAGACACCCAAGTACAGGAGATTTGGGCATCAAATGATCTAGCACTAGCCTAAACCTGATCTAATTAACCAATGGTAGCAAATGAATACACACTAATCCGACTCACATGTGCTTCAATTGTAAGTGTCCCAAGGTCCTTTCTTTCAAAACCATATGTACAACTGCCAGTCATGATACTGTGGTTGGTTGTATTAACAGCTGCTGACAACTCTATTTTCTTGAGCAGCTCTGTTTAGAGGTTTTTGCATTTTCTGGAAAGGAGAAAAGGGGCATCAAGTATAGGAAGGACCTAGACCTCAGAAGGAAAGTCATTAGCTACACCAGACCAAGAAACACTTTTTTTTTTGTTAGCGTAGTTTTTGAATGACCGGATCGATCACCCCTCAACCAAGACATTTCTGAGCAGTTACCCTCACCCCCCCCCCCCCCCCACCCCGGGGGAAAAATAGATCTGTGCTTGCTGTTTGCAGATGTGTTAGATAACAATTCAGTATTCCAAGTTCTTGTATTTACATATCTGTGGCCCATTGACTAGAGAAGAAGGGACACCATCTAAACTGAACCAGACATGGTCCTTATATTTAAATTCAGGGCCTTCCTATTCAAGTGGTACCATAAGGAACAGCCATCTCGAGTCGCAATTGTGGATTACTTAGGCGCTATACATATATGCCGGCGTGCTCTAAGGAAAAGAACCGGGGGAGGGGAGGGGGGGGGGGGGAGAGAGAGAGAGTGAGATCTACAAATAACTATTAGTTCAGTACCCTCCAATACAATACAAGTACATAATTAGGAACACTAAACAGAAAGAGACTGACAGAATTTATGCTTAGAGCATAGACTTTTATTACACACTAATGCAAGAACTACATTACCATATTACAGACAAACTGAAACATAGCCTTACAAAGACTCTAACCGAGCCCATTGCCGTTTTGTGACTTGCCGGTTTGCTAGGCATTAGCCAAACTCCTCTGCTAGATGTGGATTCAGCTTCTTTGTGCACCGGAGAGTTGGTGATGGCTAATTGCAAGCAAACTGTCTGAATTTGGAGGAGGATGAGGGAATCCTCACTCCAACTGCCATGCTTTTTTTAAGACCCATGGAGAGATTCCTCCCAATATATATTCATAACTATCAGCTTCAAGAATCTGATGGTTTGGTTTATTAGATATCCAATGGGCTTATACAAAAGCTAGTGGAGAATGGTAGTCTCTGGATTGTGGCTTTATATAGCTGATGATTGAGAAAAAAGATTGAGAAGTGGTGACCAGAACTATAAATAAATCATGACATCATTATCCCATACACTTACTTTGTCTCTTAGATTAAAACTGAAAGTTACTAAAGTTCTATAGTTGTAGTTGTTACCCTAGGATGACAGTTTAATCCTTGGCCTAGTGTGATAGTTTGAGGCACATAATCAAGGAACGCAGCCACGAGTTCAGACAGTGATAGGTTAAATTAGTAAATAGCGGTCGATGATAAGTCACATTGGGTTTCTGGTGATGCAGATTTCTTGAAACTATGTGGCCATTAGAGGGGTTGGTGTGAGTATAATATAAGCTTTTATTTCCTGAGAACAACTTTTTCTTTGTGCATTATGGGAGTTCTTTTATCTTTGGTGTTGTAATAGTGAATCCACTAACTCATGCTCATCTATAACTTTCTCCACAACTCCCTAAAGCCTCCTAATTTCCCACTAACTCATGCTCATCTACCTTTAGAACTTTCAAGAGAGACTGTCATATTCCTTTTTCTTATGTCTTGTACACATCTTCAGTTCAAGATTCTATTGGATTCTATGCAGAAAGGAAGTGATCTCCTCCTCAGAAATGCACCCAATAACAAACACTTAGACTATCCACTCATGCTTTTTTGTTTGCCTTTTTTTCTTTATTGCAAACAAACAACCACTACTTTCATGTTTGTAGAGAATCTCACTGTGCACCATTTGTTTATTTCTTCTAACTAGTCTTAATGCTGTTGTTGCCTTGATCATAATCTAATCTTAATTATTATGGTGAAACTGATTGTTGATCGATGTAATTTGAAAGATTATCTACGATTGTTATCATGAATGAACATTTCATTTTAGGTAGGGGTGGGACAAGATAGATGATAGATATATTTGGAATTTTGTCCGATAAAATGACCTGAACGATGATTATACTCTAGGATTATTAATGTACAATTATGTAGAGATTAAATCAGTTCAACTTAGATGTCCCTTTTCTCATTTTGGATAGCTATCTGATTACTCTTCATCATTGTAATCATGCTGATCATGGTCAAGCCTTTTCCTATGACAAATAATGGCATCTTTGAACTGGTAGCGATGTGACTGCAAATCTGTGACTCTTCTCCCAGTTGTCCCACTGATTACACGTCTTCAAACTTCAAATAATTGGGTAGATTCTCAGCCACACAACTAGGCAGTCATGTTAATTGATGAATTAAAAAGGAAATGAACATAAAACTATCTGCAAAACACTTTTGGCCTCCTTATTTCTCGATTTGTGTGTGACATTTTTATAAATAATTATTTTAATCTTTTTTGTCTCGTTCTAATTTCAAAGGTTCACTCTTTTAAGGTTCCGGGAGACGGCAGAACAGGCTCAGTCATGTTTGCTAACAAAATGCCTAGATCCTGACTATGTTACCCTCCTCAAGAAAACTTGTTTGAATTGTATCAGCTGTAATTTTGAGTGCTGGGTTCCTACATAAGCTGTTCATGAAGTGTTATATATTGTGAAGAACACCTATTATTACCTAACTTGCCTCCTTCAGGTTTCCGGTTAAAACCCAAACCCAGCTGGGCTCCAGGGTCAGTGGTAGGCTCCATGTCGTACTATGAATCTTCAGAAAATCTGTATTTCCATTATACTTTTCAAGAAGAACCTCACACGCATTAGCCACGTGGTGATTCTGTCAGCCTGCATATTGTACTTTGTATTTGTAGTGTCAATTCGGGTTATTTTATTTTTGAGTATATTGTGTTAATATTTGTAATTGATAAAAAAAATTATTTAATTATAAAACAACTAATGAGTTGAAAGAAATATCTTAACCAATTCGAGTTAATTGATTGTGTAATTTTCTGAGTTTTATATTGTATTTGTGTGAATAGAAAACTCCCCAGCTTTTTGTGGCCTCCACCTTTGTACTTAGGGTTGACAGTCGAACGAATTCAAACGAGTTCGAACCGAGTTTAAAAAATTATTTAAGTTTGATTCGTTTAAAAAACGAAACAAGCATAAAAGAGGCTAAAAAGAGCCAGACCCGAGTATTTGAACAAGTTAAATTTGTTAAGTTCGAGCTGAGCCTATTGGACTCGTTTCTAAATAGGTCTATAAAATTGTTTAAGTTCAATTCATTTAAAAAATGAGCCGTGCTTGAATGAGTAAAAAAAGAATCGATCACACATCAAGCTCGAGTAATTTGGTTTGATTAAGAATCTTACATATGATTAACACATGATTTAATGATTAGGAAGGTTGTAATAATACATTTGATATTATTCTACACACATTGAATCAAAGAGACATACACAATATAGATGGGTGTATTAATGTAAATCTCTAATTAAGTTATTAAATTATGTTTAAATAATAATTTTTTATTGGAATAGGAATGCACTAGTAGATTAAAAATTAGACTTTATAATCTCACCATTGATTTTATTGTAGGTCCCAACATTTATTGGAATACACTACATATTCAATAGTTGAAATTATCAAGCCTAATTTTTAAATCTAGTTTTTAAGTTCATCTAGAATTACTGTTACTAGATTAGATTGGGGTTTGAAAGAGAGGTCCTATTGGGCTTTGCCCCTTGTCCATGCCTTAGGCCCCAAATGTTTGTACTTCAGGCCTGAGGGAATTCAGGCTAGTGGCCTGTTGGATCAACTGCCAAAACGTTCAAGCCCCAACTTTGGGGCAGATGGGTCAGGTTAAAGGTGGGCTCCCCAGCCCATGGTCTGAATTGGGAAATCCGACCCGAAAGAAGAAGGTGATAATCAGACAAACATTCACCAAAGCTGATACGATACGCTTCGTCTATGCGATAATGGCTTCACTTCACCTCTCTCTTGGCCCAATTCCGGGACATCGTCCACCGAAGTTCCGGTCGGCTCTATGCGCCGGTGACCGTCAAGCGCTTTTTAACCGCATTGCTCCGGTCTATGACAACGTACGCACCACCAAGCATCACTTTTAAGTTACTCCAATCACATTTTGGTGGTATTCAAATTGTGGGTTTACCGTTTTTTCTGATTTTTGAGTTGAATTCTTTCAGTTGAATGACTTGCTGAGCTTGGGTCAGCATCGAATATGGAAAAGAATGGCCGTATCTTGGAGTGGGTAAACTAAATTATACTCCTTTTGCTCAATTTATTTGATTATTAGTATATGAAATGTGTTTCTTTATTTGTACACATAGAACTATAGATGGATGTATATATTCGTAACGTGTACAAATATGTATTTGTTTTGTGTAGAGCGAAGGAGGGAGACTCTGTGTTGGATGTGTGCTGTGGAAGTGGGGATTTGGCCTTTCTCTTGTCTGAGAAAGTTGGGACAAATGGAAAGGTTTTCTCTCCTTTTTGTTTGTTTTATTTATTTACTCATTTTGCATTGCATAGGACCAACCAAATTAAGTCTTATATCCCAATCATTTGGGGTGGGCTACATAATTCTGTCTTCGCTATTCATTGGTCGTGCGCATTTTGCATTGCTTAAGATTGTATGAAAATGGGCCTGAAAGTATATACTGTAGTGACATAGATTATTGCTAAGAACGAGATTAATGTTTGAAATTTATGAGCATAAGGGAGCATTGTTATGTTTGTGCTTTATTTGTATCCTCTAGACAAAAAGGACATTACAAGTACACCAGCTCAGAATTAAATCGTCTTATGATAGGATAAGAAAGTGGAACATGCTTGGGGTTCATGGAAATCACTCTAGTATTCCATTTTAGATATAATTGCTCATATGGTTGTGAATAGAAAACCTATAATATTTCTGGTCACAGATTGAATCCTTCACAGCCAAGGATTGAAATTTAGTTTCGAAGTATCGTTTCGGTCATCTCAAAAATGGAAACGTTTTGGAAACGCAGAAAAAATATGAAAACGCATAGAAACACAAATACAATCCATTAATTTATAAAGATATGCTAAATAATTGATTAATTCAACATATTTATTGGGTTAACATCTATTTATACAAGAATAAATTTAAATTTGAAGGAAAAAAAGGCTTGACATGAGGTGAAAGTTACTTAAATTAGTTTCAAACACTTAATTTTTATGAAATAACACATTTTTACATAATATTAAGGTCTTATAATACACATGAAATGCTAATGAATACATACTTACATGGCTACATCTATTCCCCTGTGAAGTGTCGAGCAGGCTCATACATCGGTGTAGGCTCTAGAAAGCTACTCAAAGAAACTCTATATGTGACATAAATATGATGACAATAGTTATTCCAACTCATATTATTATGGTAATATTATCCAATTAATAATACTATTTTATTATAATACTAATAATGAAGGGTATCAAATTAAATTAATGGTACTTATGTATACTTAAAAATTAAATGTAATTGCAGTGAGTATTAAATATAATTACATTAGGGTATTAAATGTAATTGTTAATACTTATAACCAAAAAAAAAAAGCAAAAGACTTGCACAGGCGTGGGGTATTAAATATAATTATAGCAGGTATTAAATATAATTACAATGAGTATTAAATATAATTACAGTAGGGTATTAAGTGTAATTATTTATTCTTATAACAAAAAAATTATAAAAGACAGAAGAGCAGTGAGAATTAAATGTAATTATATTGGGGTATTAAATATAATTATAGTGGGTATTAAATGTAATTACAGTGGGTATTAAATATAATTATAGTGAGGTATTAAATGTAATTATTCATAGTGAACCGAATATATCATTGTTTTGTCGAAACGGTCCGAAACAGTGCCGTTTCGACCGAAACACTGGAATTTTGTGATTCAACTACTGTTTTGTTTCGGAGTGTTGAAATTCCAAAACATTTCGGATGTGTCGACACGACATTTTGATCCTTGTTCACAGCACATACGATGTGAAGGAGGTTGTGTTATATTTTGGAGGAATGAGCATGATGTTGGTTTTTTGTGGAATCTAGTTTGTATATGTGATCCGGATGATGACCCGACCCGAAGTAATATTGTGTGGTTTTTTAATGAAAAATTTTTTGAGGCTTAGTCGATGGAGTAGGACATATAAAACCCGTTGTTTTGGTGATTAGGGTTAATATGGTGGATTGTACAACCGCTCTCTATATTCAACTCTCTCAATAGTGAAATTCCTGCAGTTTCGTGAACGTAGGCAAATTGCCGAACCACGTAAAATCTGTGTCTTGTTCTTTCTTATTTCTTATTGCTTTATATTCTTGATTTATTCTTCGATTGTGTGTGTTTGTTAGTGGATTTAAATTGTTGTTAAATCTCAACATATGACTGCCGACCTGCAGGCAGAGGGAGTGCTGTCTTTAAAGCATGGCACATTTTTGTGTTTTTTTATGTCTTGCATTCAGAATTTATTGTAGCCCATCTGTAGTCTATTAACCTCGTGTATGACTGAGAAACGAGCTGATATTTATCATCTTTACCAAGGTCTTTCTAGATTTAACATGTTTTGGTAGCTAACATGATGTCTGTCTTGTAGCCTATAATGGCATGATATCTTAACCCAACATCTTAAGGTATGAAATTTTTAATCTGAGAATTTGATATTTTGTTTTTTCCCCCTTTTTTGGTTTGCAACTTTTAGGTTGTTGGTCTTGATTTCTCAAAAGAGCAATTAATGGTTGCTTCATCTCGGCAGCATTTGCGCTTAAAGTCCTGCTACAAGAATATTGTGTGAGCACTGGTAAATTCAGCTGTTGATTGATTAACTAACTGGCTAAACATGAAAAGGTCTCTCACACAAACTATTTCCTCCAACATCTTTGCAATGATATCCTGCAACAAGAGACAAATGACTGTGTAATTCCCTGTGGCAGCTAACTATATGTTTATGTTAGTTATTAGTCGGTATCTGCATGGCCTTAGTATCATGTGATCCATCACAGGTGGGTCGAAGGTGATGCACTTGATATACCATTTTCTGACTGTTACTTTGATGCCATTACCATTGGCTATGGGTTACGGAATGTGGTAGATATTCATAAAGCGATGGCAGAGATGTATCGACTTCTAAAACCGGCTTCAAAAGTGTCGGTCCTTGACTTTAACAAAAGCACGAATCCGTTTAGTACTTCATTTCAGGTACTAATGGCAAGATAGAAGTTTATTCCATTACTTTGACATTCAAATGTTTTGGAAATATTTTCTTAAACTATTTCATGGTTTTTATATTGCCATTATTGGTTTGCTCTGGGCCCGATAGCATAAGTTTCACCCTTATGCCATGAAATAAAGGATGGTATCTACATTCATACTACAGACGTTGAGTAAATTTATTTCTAGAGTTCCATCCCTATCTTGAATATGTCTAATCTAAAGGCCTTCATGGTCGCTCTTTACTAAACGGGAATTGGAAACGAATGTAACAAGGATCAAATTTTAATTCTAATTATTGTGTAATTTTCATTAGAAATTTACAATTCTTGTGCTTTGTTTTATGTAAGGAATGGATGATTGACAACATTGTTGTTCCTGTGGCAAGTGGGTACGGCCTAACACCTGAGTACAAATATTTGAAAAGTTCAATTCAGGAATTTTTAACAGGTTTGTTCTTTTCATTAACGCAAACTACAAGTTAGTCTATTAGGGATGAATTCTTCATATTTCAGTTGAAAAAAATGTCATCGAACCCAAATATGAGTGTTATTTTTTCATCAGTAATGCATTTAGTTGTCTCTGTTTTATCCACAGAACCTGCAATATTTGCTCTTTGTATTGCCTGAGATCCTGAAGAGATGGCCATCTTTAGGCCTTTTACTTCCCTTGCTCAAAGAATGATGACATTGTATATGGCTTGTACTGGTGTACTTTTGTTAATGGGCATGAATATTTATGGGGTTCTGAACATGGATGCCATTGCAATTATATGGACGTTGCTTAAAGAACAAAGTAACGTGTCTTAGAAGTGTTTGCAGAAGAGAGGGGGAACCTGATAATGTCTGCAGTAGGTCATTTGGGCAATTTTTCTTTCTATTTAGCTGGGTTGTTTGTGTAACCTTACAGGAAAGGAGTTAGAGAAGCTAGCTTTGCAGACAGGGTTTTCTACTGCCAAACATTTCGAGATTGGTGGTGGACTCATGGGGAACTTGGTGGCCACACGGTAGATGGGTTTCAAGCCAAGCGGGTTTATGCAGTGTTAAATTCCATTTTAGAAGGTAGAATCTTTATGAGTATTCAGAAAGTCGCATTTCATACCGGGAAAAAAAATCCGGAATGCATTATTAGTGTTCGGATCAATTGTAATCATTGCTTTTTACTGTAATGTTAGTTTGAATAATTGAATGAAATCGTAAGTCTCTCTCTCTCTCTCTGCACGTTTAGTATTTTTTTTGTTTGTTATTTGGGCTGGCTTTTTTTTTTTTGGGGGGGGGGAAGGAGGGGGTTAGTAGGTGTGCAATGCAGGACACTGTATTCCGAAGCACCAAAATCCGTCTCTGTATTCCTCTGAAATTTTCACTGTTGACAGTGTTGTCGCATCTGTTGTTAATCAGATTTTGATCAAAATTTTCATTCCAATGCTGGAAAATGCTTCTACAATCCGGGTTTTCTCAATTCGTACCGAATTTGGAATTAAATGACCATTGGCACTGGTGAAATGTCATCCATATTAGACTGTAACTTGCATAGTTTATTAACTAGTGTTATGAGACTGAAGCTACTCACAAAGAGGAACTGATTTTACAAGCTCAAATATCCGGGCTAGTTGGCTCAGACACATTTGACCATTGAACAAAAACAAAATATATCCCGGCTAGTTAGCTTCCATCAGGTTGGTGCACTCACAAGACAAATATAAAAGAAAAGACAAAATCATCTATTGAACCACTTAAACTATGTACAGTTCACACACAGCAAAATTTAAGAACGATAATAAACAAAATTTGTACCCAATAACCACAACACAACTTTACAGGATTATTCACTTTCTCAAACTTTGTGTAGCAATAGAAAATATTGGTGTCGAACCTTTGTACTTGTATCACCACCATATATTTGTGTCTTGTGTATCAATCTGTAACTCATAATGGCTGATAAGGGAGTCTATGATACAACTTTCAGATGCTTGTATATTTTCCCTTGTAGATGAATGGGCTGTAATAACTTTTTCCATGAAACTCTTCCAGATTCATCCTACTTAGGTGTTACCTAGGGTAGAAGGAACTATGGGAGACACTGGCAATTGAATCAGAATTGAGGACGTTGAGCGGGTGACTCGGGTTTTTGAATGTGTCATTAAGTGCCATGGTTTGCTCATCTACAAAAGGTGGATTAGTGGGTGAAGGGAGGTGCTCATCTTTCTTTGCCAGCATCTGCAGTGCCTTAGACATTGATGGTCGTAGTGAAGGAACCTCTTGAGTGCACAGAAGTCCTACATGCAGCACTCTTAAAACCTCATATTTCATGTTGCTGTTGGGGTAGTTATGCAGCATTAGGTTTGGGTCAAAGAGTTCTTCTGCTCTCCCTTGTTGGAAATGCTTCCATGCCTGTTTAATCCCAAATAACATAATAGGTAAATCGAAATGCAAAATTATAGCGTTAATTTTTATCGTGCGCCTAGTCTCACGTGTTGTGTTAGAAATTTTAATGTAGTCTAGGTTTGTGTTTTGTGTGGAATACAGCTGAGTGTGTGTTTGTGGATGTGTTTTGAGTTTTATTGTACGTCTTCTATCTATTTTCGAATCAATATAATATTTCCTTTCTTAAACAAAAAGGGCAGTTCATTGTTGGATTATTGAAATGCTTGGACGTACATAGAACACTAAAAGCTTTAGGACTTACAACGATGACCAGGCTGTCTGAATATTCTGAAGTTTTGCTCCTGTTGTTCTGGCTTCCTGTAACTATCTCCAACAAAAGCACACCAAAACTGTACACATCTGCTTTCTCTGTCAACTGGCCATGGGCCAGATATTCTGGAGCCATATATCCTCTGTGGATTTAGAAAAGTGAATGGACCTCAACATTAGTTAATTAATCTAAGAATTTGGTAAACTTACAGTTTCTACTCTTACTCATTTGAAGAGTAACGGAAATGAAAAGTTGCTTACAATGTTCCTGCAATAGCAGTGCTGATGTGACTCTTATCTTCTTGGAAAGACCTGGCCAACCCAAAATCAGCGATTTTAGCACGGAGCCTTGAATCCAACAAGATGTTACTTGCTTTTATGTCTCTGTGAATGATTCGGGTTTTTCTGTTTTCATGAAGGTAAACCAAACCTTCTGCCATCCCCATAATTATATCGAATCTTTTCTCCCAGTTCAGCGCTTTACCTCTGTTCGAATCTGTCAAGTGTAGTCAACATTTATCCCAATTCCGTTAACTTCACATTGTCACAAATTTGGGATGGTAAGACATGCTCTAAGGAGTAGCACTAGATAATATGCATATCCTCGGCCATTGTTCAAAACAGTGCCCTGGGTTGAGAGGCCATATATGTGAACTCAGACTTCCAAATTCAATGTAAAATCCTGTACTTACCAAAGATGAAGCGATCAAGACTCCTGTTTGGCAGGAACTCATACACGAGAAGGCTTTCTGGTCCTGAACAACTGCAACCTAATAGCCTCACTAGATTTTTGTGCTCAACGCTGCTAATAATATTAACTTCATTGTAGAAATCTGCTGCCCTGTGCCTGTTGTTGAAGAACAGCCTCTTGACAGCAATCTCTCTTCCATCTGGTAGAACTCCCTGCAATAAAGAGAAATTGTGAGGCTATGTCTAGGTCTAATGGAAATGAAACTTTTCAACACAATGAGAAAACGAAGCAATTAACATAATATCATTTATCCAAGTACATTCTACACAATACCTTATAAACTGTTCCAAACCCTCCATGCCCAAGCTTGTTGGTCTCATCAAAAGACCCTGTGGCTTTCTCAAGTATGGAGTACTTGAAGTTCAAGCTACTGTCATGAAGGGTCTTCGCCAATTTCTCTGCGTCGTTTGAACCTGAGAAGTTCAAGAATGAGAGGAACCTTCAAAAAGTTTGATTCTGTTTCAGAGACCATATTATCATGTCTTGGTTTAAAGTAAAAATACAGAAACCCTACTTTATTTGAGGTTCTAAAGATACAAGTATTCAAAGACTCTTGAAGTAGGGGAAATCCCAGTATCCCACAGATAAATGATGCAATAAACTGTTCTGAATTTATTTTACTTTTTCAATCAGTACTTTTGCTTGAATTACTGATGCCATTCTTAATAGTTGGGATCATGCAACTGCTTTATAGCTGATATGGAATAGCAAAGGTAGAAGTAATACCCAAATGGCATCTTCTTTTCCTCTGTATCTTCTTGTGCTTCCAGATATAAACTCCAAGAACTGCCCCAACTACCAAAACGACCACAGAACTAACAGCAGCAACTACAATCACTATGATTTTCCCTGCAGAAGTAATCATTGAAAAACCGTGATCAGGCAAACTTCAATCTTCAAGTTCTATTTCTTACTAACACCTCTTTCCATGCCCTACTAGTTTTGTTCATATGCTAGTAAATTTAATGTGCTAAAGTACTTGATAAATACAGGGAAGGAGAAACTAGAAATCTTATTACCTCTTGAACTTCCATTGCCAGGAACAGGATTAAGGAAATTGGTTTCAGAGTATCTCATGAAGCACCCGGTGTTCAATGCCCGCCCCTCAGACCAAGGCAAGCATCTCAATATTGAACTAGATGCATTCTCCAAACATGTTCTGCAAGCACTTGCATTCAGTGTCCTCCAGCAATCAGCTAGAACATAAGCTGACTCATTTACAGCCCCCGACACAGCCACCTGAGACCTAGCATAGTTATTATTGTTTGGTGCATCTGAAACTGCTTGCAACACAGCCTGCCTTGCTGACTCTTGAAATGTGGAACTCTTTTGGGTTGTATTCCCACACAAGACCCTGTCTCCTGGCCCTGTATATTCCTCAAAAAAGCTGTAATTCTCAGCTCGCATAAAGCAACCATCGAGGTAAATGCGACCCCCATTGACAGGGAAGCATTGAGGAAGAACAGTGCGTGCCTCAGCATAGCACAATACACAATCAAGTAAAGAAAGATCGCCATAGCACTGAGCGAGTCCATAATTAGTATCGAGTCCTGAACCTGTAACTGCTACTCCAAAACCAGAAGTCCGCATCTGTTCACTGATGTTTTCCATTGTCGCAACAAAGTTTGGCACATAGATGGTTGAATTGTGCTCAGGTTGATTCCCACACATGATCTGAACCGTCTGAGATCTTGGGTCTCCCAGTGATCCATCTAGTAATAGTAGAGTCATAGCCAGAATGAAAAAGATAGCTGGTGTTGAGAAAGTAGACGGTGTTGAGATTACTTTCTTCATTTTTGGAATGAACCGGGACTTGTGTTTACTGGCTTGGATTGTGAGTTTGAGGTTGCTGGCAATTCAACAAAAATGAATGATTTGTATGTCCAACTGTTCAAGCACCTAGACAGAAAAACAGTATAAAGGAAAAATGCTGAGAAAAAGAATAATCAGCAAGCCAACAGCATAACAGTGCTATTTCAATGGTGCTGCCATTCTGTTCTGCATGATTTGAAAATCACCATCAATCAATACCCTTCATTCCACACGAGTTCTCGTTATCCTCCCATCACATTATTTATTGGAGTCTTAACAAAACTATGATATTTCTCCAGAATCTATGTCTTAGTGAAGATAATTTATTATTTTCTTATTTTTAAGTGGGGAATGTAAAATTCAAGATAATGAGAGTCACTTAGCTTGAAGAATCTTTGTGAAAAGCCTAAGTAGGACTCAGGATGTTAAAGCAAGGAAAGTATTGATTCCATTTGGCTCCTTCCTTGAACAGAAGGGTTGTTCAACCCTGGACTCCCAAGTTAACAAAGGCAAGGGAAGCACTTACTAGTGCGATTGACAATAAATGCTACCATAATTTGGTTTGATTTCACTCTGAACTAAGTACACTGGTTTGATTTCACACAGAACTAAATACACCAACTCCACAGTCAATTTTGTGGTCCATAATGCTATCAGCTTGGTCTCCACAAGCATTTTGGTTCCTTTTTTTTCTTCCTACAAGGTGTTTAGCCGCTAACCACCGTAACTTGAGCTGGTCTAGAGCATGTCCCCAAAGTAATAAAGATGTCTAGTCCTTAGGGGTGTGAGAAGGAATTAAAATTGAGACCTTGTACTTTGAATTGAACCTGAGACAGACCCAACCACTGCACCACTTAAGCATTTTGGCTCTTGATTTGCTAGTTTGTCAACTCCATGGTTGTGAAGACAACCCAGACCAGATACATCTCTGACTCATTGTGCCAATATCCCATATTTGCATAGAAGTGGGACCAACGAGAAGATTGCATGATCATTGAACACAGGTAGGAAAGTTCTCATCAGAAAGCTGGGGCCAACTAGTAAACAAGGGGGAGCCAACCCAATTGAGGATTGATGATGAATCATGTAATCCAAAAGAAAAATCGGCATTCAATAATATATGAAACTAAAACAAGGTCAATTACAGCCAAACTCGGCGATGCATTCAGTTTAATCAAAATGTGCAAACTACAGAGGAAAACAGGAGCAATAGATAGACCCAATTTAAGTTTGACAGAGAATCGTCGGCTTCAAAGTCTATATTATTGCGATCAAACATCGAATCAAAAGCTCCAGTGACAGTTGAGAAAAAATTAACCGAAAAAAAATCATGCTAAATTTGAGAAATTCATTCAAACCTCTGAAAATTTGTCTCAACAGCCCCCTCCACTTTTCGAAATACCGAAATGGATACCTGAGTTCATACCTTCATCAACACTGAATCGCCAAGATTAATGACCCCAAAGAGATCGACCTTCCCACTTCAATAGTCACACTGCACGCACACACACACAGAGGATGCGTAGAAATGATAGAGAAGTCAAAAGGAAGAAAAGAGCAGTGTTCAGATTTTTGGACGGATTTGGAAACGAAGACCAAAGTGCAAGAGACTTTTGAAACACGCGGTTCATCAACGAAATTCCTTCGCATGAGGTTGTGGGACCGGTTGACGGTTAAGTCAGTGAACATGAATGCGAGATATTTATGGGAGTGGAGCACTTTTGAAACAAATCAACATACAATTTTGAATATTTTTTGGGTCAATGGTTAAAAATGTCTAAATTAATTTATGTGTATTTTAATTAATTTTTTCTTTGATTTACTCAAAAACAACTAGAGTATTCATGAGAAGTAAATCTTTATTGTCTAGTCTCAAGGTATTGCAAAAATTCAAATTTAAGAAGTTTAAGTTTACATTTTATTTTGGATATATGGAAGGAAATTTCTAAAATCAATTTTTTTTTTCTTTTTTGTTCAACTGTTAGGGGTGTCTGAGTCATCTCAACTAATCATTTCTCTGGTCCGGTCAAAGGCAGACCATCAACGTCGAAACTAAGGTATTCATGAGAGATAAATCTCACATAGCCCGCCTTGAGGGGTTACCAAAATTTAAACTCAAGACATCTGAATTTAGAATTCATTTCTGTTATCACTTGAACTACCCCTTTAGATTTTCTAAAAACAATTGAATAAGATTTATGAAGTCAATTGTAAAGAGAGAGCAAAGGAGGGAGAGGGCATATATCATCCTTTTTTGTGTTATGTTTACAACCCCCCTTCCCTCTCTCTCTCTCTTCAAACCAGTTCAAAGTCCCAATTAGGGATGCTAATAGACTAAAGCGGGGGCGGGGGTATAGTCTTCATCCCCGTACCCGCCTAAAAAATCTTTATTCATCTCCGGTCCACCCCCCGTTAACGGGTGTAATTTTTATTTCTATCCCCGTCTGCAGGTAAATTTATAATCTCCGTCCCCGCTTCCCTCGTACCCACCTAAGCCCAAGCCCAAGCTTAAGTTTAAGTCCAAGTTCAAGTCAATATAATTCAAAATTTTAAATAAATTTGACATTTTAAATAATTAAACAATATTCTAATTAATCTAACACAACATAATGTAACATCACATATTCGAACATAACAAAAACAACAAATGTCCAAAATACTACTTAAATTTGATATAATTCAATATTACACAACATAACACAAATAACATAATGGGTGGTAGAATCATCTCAATCAACTCAATTATCTCTTAATATCAGCTTTACACCAACTCAGAATTAGAAAAGGGATGTCTATGACAGATAAAAAACAAATATTTTAACACTAGCAATTTTTTCAACATAGGTAAAGTCATAAGCTCTGAATGCAGGTGCAAAAATGTAAACCACCTCGGATGGTAATAGAAAACCATAGCATGCTGAAGAAGGTCAGCCATGACAATTCTCCAACAAAGATTGCATGGGAGTTAAGATTAGTAGGATTAAGGGTGTCCAAGGGCCGGGTTACCCACGAGTCCCGTTACCTGGCCCAAAAAAATAGGCCTGAAGCACGATAGTTAGCCCGCTCAAACCTGAGCCCAATATACTTTAAGAAAAGGCTTGAATTTTCTCTAAACCCACTACCCGGCCCCAAAGTCCGAAGCATGGCCCAAAAATCGAAGCCTGGCCTAATAACTCGCCCACATACCATATATATAATATGCATATCTATATCTATATTACTAATAAAAGTACATTATTTAGAAAAACTTTTGATTGACTACTTTAACCCTAAACACAATATATAAAGACAATACTAGCCTTATTTAATTTAGAACTCATTTTAATAAGACTAGATTTATGTTAAATTTTTAATTGGACAATTCAACTCTCACAATACTAACATTATTAATATGGAATTTACAATAATAAACTTCATTAATATTACACATAGTCAAGCCTTTCATATTCTTTCTTTTAACAGATAAAAATAAATTGTTAAAATAATTAAATTTACTATTATTTATTTCTATCTATTTTCATTAATTGATTACAAGTTTCAGAATTTTCAAATGAAATTGCATAAATGTACTAAAGTCTTATTTAATATAAGATTTATTTTGATATAATTTGAATAATATTATCAAACCCTTACTTTTCATTTTCTTTTCTTTTATGTTTTAGTTTTAATAAATCCTCTTTAGTTATGTTTATTGGTAATATTAGAAGCCATTTTATTTGTATCGATTATCAATGTTACAAATATGTTCAATATCACATTAAATTACTTATTAAAATTTAATTTTTTAAATTTGCTCAACCAATTTTTATAATTAAATGACCACTATAACTTAAAATAGTTCGCTTCCAACAGGCCCAACAAAGTCTTCCCAAATAGGCCCGCAAAGCCCGCCCAAAAAACCCGCCCAATAGGTGACGGGCTGGATTGCGGGTAGCTTACCCCTACCTGAGCCCGGCCTGCCACTCGCCTAAGTACAGGCTTGGGCTTATACTATCCAAGTCCGGCCCGAAAAAAAAATTTACAGGCTAAGCCGGCCCAGCCCATGGACAGCCCTAAGTAGGATAAACAAATAATGCGACAATCTTGCACAGTTAATAATACTCTCAAAGTCAAAATAGCAACAAGAAACATACTCAAAAGCATAGTATACATGTTTACAAGATTACACAAAATTTTAAAGTAATGATAGAGCAAAATACTTGATGCATTAGACTTTCACATCAATACTTGATGAGATATATATATTATGGGTAACGAAGGCGGGGACGGGACGGGGGTAAGGGTAAGTCCATCCCCGTCTTCATCTCCGCACAGATTTATATGGGTATTCCCATATACGTTCACCGTCTAATACGTATAGTCCATCCCTGGTCCAAATGGAACGGGTATGGATGAATACCCGTTTTTCATAGGTCTAATACCATCCCTTGTCCCAATTGGACTGACACCAATTGAAATTATCTAGCAGAATAAGAATGTGAATATTATGAATATGACTGAAACCCATGGAAGGAAATATTATTTATCCAATTTTTATCCTGCAAATATGAATAGAAGTTACACTATGCTTGAACACCAATTGAAGCCATCACCTTCCAGCAGTAAAAATATTGCAGAAGGGAAGCAAATGGACACAGACATGACATGAAGAAGAGAAATCACAACAAAACATGTCTTGAAATATGCTACATGTTAAAACAAACAGGCTCATGTGATCTTGCTGCTATGTCCTTCACAGAACCACACCCACTTCTTAAGCAACAGTCCATGCTTGATGAACAAGAGGTTCTTGCGATTTCCCATACGAGTTCCAGCACAATGCCTGTTCAAATCCTTGATAACCCGGTGAAGGTTTTAGCTGAATATCAATTAGATCAACGTCAGTGCATGGAACGGCAGTGCTACAAGCTAGATGAATTGGTTGTGCTGAATAAGTCCCAATTATCTGATCAAATTTCACACCAGATATCGCCACGGCTCCTGTTTGGTTCTTGCAGAAATTCTTGTCACAATAGTAATGATCAATCATTATGGGGACCTTAACATCAGAGACTTGAATATTTGAGAATGAAACATTCTTAATAGATCCAATACCACCCTGTCAAATTATATTATAATAAAAAATGACCAAGAAAATTAGTATAGCAGCATAAAAAATCAACAAAGTGAAATTTTCAGATTATAGTTTAGAACTTTGATGTTGATTGTACCTGCCATGTCTTGATCCTTACTCCATACATAGTGGTTTGCATAGAGATGTTCTCAATGATGACGTCCGAGACACAAGCAATACTTTTATCTTTCCCTAATCCTCCTAAACTGGAATGAAATGATAAATGAGTTGAATGCCATCAAAGTGAAACAGTAGAGTAATTTACAGCCAATATGTTTACCTATCTTTCTAAGCTAGAGTTATGTTATTTGTCTTTAATGTGCTGATTTACCTTATACCATGACCAGTGCCACAATTTATATGATGCACATGGATTTTAGAGCAACCAGTCTGCATCGACACACAGTCATCGCCTGTTAGAATTAGAACCCAAAATTAGAACAATGACAAGTGTTTCCCAAAGTTTCTCATTAATTAACCATGTTACACTTTTCTGCTTGCCCAATAACATGCAATTTTTAATGTGTGAAATTCAGGGAGAAAAGCAAATTTTCAATGGACTAATCTTACCACAGCTGATGTTAGAATGCTGAATTTCTACATCTTGGGTGTTTTGCAGGTGAATACCGTCGGTGTTTGGGCTACTCTCTGGTGCAGACATTGTGATTCTAATGTCACGTACCGTGATATTATAGCTGGCATAGAATCTCAAAACCTGTATTCGAGAGAAAATTTAACTCAGTAATTCCTTCATATCTCAAAAATATTATTCCTGCTCATCATAATTTAGTTTTTTTTTAATAGGGTCATTGAGTGAAAGAAATCTTACAGTTTGTTTCATACCGGGAATGTGTTTGGATAGCCTCTGCATAAATAATGGACACATAAATAGGTTTAGCTTTTATGTATGCATAAGTTAAGTTGTAGTTTTACTTGTGACACAGTTGAAATTTGGCTGCCGCAAACCTGAACATAATCGATTTGAGAATTCCACCAATTAGAGCCTTGGCCATCAACCATACCAGAACCTTGGATGGAGAAGTTGTGAACCCATTTAAAGTTTATCCATTGAAACAAACTTGATTTTGGCCATGAACCAACTTTTGGAGGAGCTAAAAGAAGCCCATCTATCTGTTTGGATTCCACTGCAGTTAGTTTTTAATGTTCAAGGAAATTAATAGTGGTAAAAATTTCTACAATTGATCTCGGAACCTTGCAAGCAGACTTCCATGCTGCTAAAAGTACCTGTTTGATCAGACAAACATTAACCAAAGCTGATACGATGGCTTCACTTCACCTCTGTCTTGGCCCAATTCCCGGACATCGTCCACCGAAGTTCCGGTCCAAATTCCGGTCTGCTCGATGCGCCGGTGACCTTCAGGCGCTATTTAATCGCATTGCTCCGGTCTATGACAACGTACGCACCACCAACCATCACTTTTAAGTTACTCCAATCACATTTTAGTGGTATTCGAATTGTGGGTTTACCGTTTTTTCTGATTTTTGAGTTGAATTCTTTCAGTTGAATGACTTGCTGAGCTTGGGTCAGCATCGAATATGGAAAAGAATGGCCGTATCTTGGAGTGCGTAAACTAGATTATACTCCTTTTGCTCAATTTATTTGATTACCAGTATATGAAATGTGTTTCTTTATTTGTACACATAGAACTATAGATGGATGTATATATTCGCAACGTGTACAAATATGTATTTGTTTTGCATAGACCGAAGGAGGGAGACTCTGTGTTGGATGTGTGCTGTGGAAGTGGGGATTTGGCCTTTCTATTGTCTGAGGGAGTTGGGACAAATGGAAAGGTTTTGTCTCCTTTTTGTTTGTTTTTTTTATTTACTCATTTTGCATTGCATAGGACCAACCAAATCAAGTCTTATATCTCAATCATTTGGAATCGGCTACATAAGTCCGCCTTGACATTCATTTCGGTCATGCACTATACGCATTGCTTAAGATTGTATGAAAATGGGCCTGAAAGTATACACTATAGTGACATAGATTATTGCTAAGAACGAGACTAATGTTTGGAATGTATGACCATACAGGAGCATTGTTACGTTTGTATTTTATTTGTATCCTCTAGACTAAAAGGACATTACAAGTACACCAGCTCAGAATTAAATCGTCTTATGATAGGATAAGAAAGTGGAACATGCTTGGGGTCCATGGAAATCACTCTAGTGTTCCATTTTAGATATAATTGCTCATATGGTTGTGAATAGAAAACCTATAATATTTCAGGTCACAGATTGAAATCCTTCACCGCGCATATGATGTGAAGGAGGTTGTGTTATATTTTGGAGGAATGAGCATGACTGCCGACCTGCAGGCAGAGGGAGTGCGGTCTTTAAAGCATGGCACATTTTTGTGTTTTTTTTGTCTAGCATTCTGAATTTATTGTAGCACATTTGTTGTCTATTAACCTTGTGTATGACGCAGAAGAGAGCTGATATTTATCATCTCTACCAAGGGTTTTCTAGATTTACCATGTTTTGGTAGCTAACATGATGTCTGTCTTGTAGCCTATAATGGCATGATATCTTAACCCAACATCTTAAGGTATGAAATTTTTAATCTGAGAATTTGATATTTTGTTTTTTCCACCTTTTTTGGTCTGCAACTTTCAGGTTGTTGGTCTTGATTTCTCAAAAGAGCAATTAATGGTTGCTTCATCTAGGCAGCACTCGCGCTTAATGTCCTGCTACAAGAATATTGAGTGAGCACTGGAAAATTCAGCTGTTGATTGATTAACTAACGGGCTAAACATGAAAAGGTCTCTTATACAAACTATTTCCTCCAACATCTTTGCAATGATATCCTGCAACAAGAGACAAATGACTGTGTAATCCCCTGTGGCTGCTAACTATGTGTTTATGGTAGTTATTAGTCCGTATCTGCATGGCCTTAGTATCATGTGATCCATCACAGGTGGGTCGAAGGTGCTGCACTTGATATAGCATTTTCTGACTGTTACTTTGATGCCATTACCATTGGCTATGGGTTACGGAATGTGGTAGATATTCATAAAGCGATGGCAGAGATGAATCGAGTTCTAAAACCGGCTTCAAAAGCATCAGTCCTTGACTTTAACAAAAACATGAATCCGTTTGGTACTTCATTTGAGGTACTAATGGCAAGATAGAAGTTTATTCCATTACTTTGACATTCAAATGTTTTGGAAATATTTTCTTAAACTATTTCGTGGATTTTATTTTGCCATTATTGCTTTGCTCTGGGCCTGATAGCATAAGTTTCAACCTTGCGCCATGAAATAAAGGATGGTATCTACATTCATACTATAGACGTTGAGTAAATTTATTTCTAGAAGTTCCATCCCTATCTTGAATATGTCTAATCTAAAGGCCTTCGTGGTCTCTCTTTACTAAATGGGAATTGGAAACGAATGCAACAAGTATCAAATTTTAATTTTAATTATTGTGTAATTTTCATTAGAAATTTACAATTCTTGTGCTTTGTTTTATGCAAGGAATGGATGATTGACAACATTGTTGTTCCTGTGGCAAGTGGGTGCGGCCTAACAACTGAGTACAAATATTTGAAAAGTTCAATTCAGGAATTTTTAACAGGTTTGTTCTTTTCATTAATGCAAACTACAAGTTAGCCTATTAGGGATGAATTCTCCATATTTCAGTTGAAAAAAATGTCGTCGAACCCAAATATAAGTGTTATTTTTTCATCAGTAATGTATTTAGTTGTCTCTGTTTTATCCACGGAACCTGCAATATTTTCTCTTTGTATTGTATTACGTCCTGAAGAGATGGCCATCTTTAGGCCTTTTACTTCCCTTGCTCAAAGAATGATGACATTGTATATGGCTTGTACTGGTGTACTTTTGTTAATGGGCATGAATATTTATGGGGTTCTGAACATGGATGCCATTGCAATTATACGGACGTTGCTTAAAGAACAAAGTAATGTGTCTCAGAACTGTTTGCAGAAGAAAGGGAGAACCTGATAATGTCTGCAGTAGGTCATTTGGGCAATTTTTCTTTCTAATTAGCTGGGTTGTTTGTGTAACCTTACAGGAAAGGAGTTAGAGAAGCTAGCTTTGCAGACAGGGTTTTCTACTGCCACACATTTCGAGATTGGTGGTGGACTCATGGGGAACTTGGTGGCCACACGGTAGATGGGTGTCAAGCCAAGCGGGTTTACGCCGTGTTAATTTCCATTTTAGAAGGTAGAATCTTTATTAGTATTCAGAAAGTCGCATTTCATAACAGGAAAAAAAATCTGGAATGCATTATTAGTGTTCGGATCAATTGTAATCATTGCTTTTCGCTGTAATGTTGTTAGTTTGAATTATTGAATGAATTCGTAAGTCTCTAAAAATTTGTGTAGCATTAGAAAATATTGGTATCGAACCGTTGTACTTGTATCACCACCATGTATTTGTGTCTTGTGTATCAAACTGTAACTCATAATTGCTGATAAGGGAGTCTATGATACAACTTTCAGATGCTTGTATATTTTCCCTTGTAGATGAATGGGCTGTAATAACTTTTTCCATGAAACTCTTCCAGATTCATCCTACTTAGGTGTTACCTAGGGTAGAAGGAACTATGGGAGACACTGGCAATTGAATCAGAATTGAGGACGTTGAGGGGGTGACTCGGGTTTTTGGATGTGTCATTAAGTGCCATGGTTTGCTCATCTACAAAAGGTGGATTAGTGGGTGAAGGGAGGTGCTCATCTTTCTTTGCCAGCATCTGCAGTGCCTTAGACATTGATGGTCGTAGTGAAGGAACCTCTTGAGTGCACAGAAGTCCTACATGCAGCACTCTTAAAACCTCACATTTCATGTTGCTGTTGGGGTAGTTATGCAGCATTAGGTTTGGGTCAAAGAGTTCTTCTGCTCTCCCTTGTTGGAAATGCTTCCATGCCTGTTTAATCCCAAATAACATAATAGGTAAATCAAAATGCAAAATTATAGCGTTAATTTTTATCGTGCGCCTAGTCTCACGTGTTGTGTTAGAAATTTTAATGTAGTCTAGGTTTGTGTTTTGTGTGGAATACAGCTGAGTGTGTGTTTGTGGATGTGTTTTGAGTTTTATTGTACGTCTTCTATCTATTTTCGAATCAATATAATATTTCCTTTCTTAAACAAAAAGGGAGTTCATTGTTGGATTATTGAAATGCTTGGACGTACATAGAACACTAAAAGCTTTAGGACTTACAACGATGACCAGGCTGTCTGAATATTCTGAAGTTTTGCTCCTGTTGTTCTGGCTTCCTGTAACTATCTCCAACAAAAGCACACCAAAACTGTACACATCTGCTTTCTCTGTCAACTGGCCATGGGCCAGATATTCTGGAGCCATATATCCTCTGTGGATTTAGAAAAGTGAATGGACCTCAACATTAGTTAATTAATCTAAGAATTTGGTAAACTTACAGTTTCTACTCTTACTCATTTGAAGAGTAACGGAAATGAAAAGTTGCTTACAATGTTCCTGCAATAGCAGTGCTGATGTGACTCTTATCTTCTTGGAAAGACCTGGCCAACCCAAAATCAGCGATTTTAGCACGGAGCCCTGAATCCAACAAGATGTTACTTGCTTTTATGTCTCTGTGAATGATTCGGGTTTTTCTGCTTTCATGAAGGTAAACCAAACCTTCTGCCATCCCCATAATTATATCGAATCTTTTCTCCCAGTTCAGCGCTTTACCTCTGTTCGAATCTGTCAAGTGTAGTCAACATTTATCCCAATTCCGTTAACTTCACATTGTCACAAATTTGGGATGGTAAGACATGCTCTAAGGAGTAGCACTAGATAATATGCATATCCTCGGCCATTGTTCAAAACAGTGCCCTGGGTTGAGAGGCCATATATGTGAACTCAGACTTCCAAATTCAATGTAAAATCCTGTACTTACCAAAGATGAAGCGATCAAGACTCCTGTTTGGCAGGAACTCATACACGAGAAGGCTTTCTGGTCCTGAACAACTGCAACCTAATAGCCTCACTAGATTTTTGTGCTCAACGCTGCTAATAATATTAACTTCATTGTAGAAATCTGCTGCCCTGTGCCTGTTGTTGAAGAACAGCCTCTTGACAGCAATCTCTCTTCCATCTGGTAGAACTCCCTGCAATAAAGAGAAATTGTGAGGCTATGTCTAGGTCTAATGGAAATGAAACTTTTCAACACAATGAGAAAACGAAGCAATTAACATAATATCATTTATCCAAGTACATTCTACACAATACCTTATAAACTGTTCCAAACCCTCCATGCCCAAGCTTGTTGGTCTCATCAAAAGACCCTGTGGCTTTCTCAAGTATGGAGTACTTGAAGTTCAAGCTACTGTCATGAAGGGTCTTCGCCAATTTCTCTGCGTCGTTTGAACCTGAGAAGTTCAAGAATGAGAGGAACCTTCAAAAAGTTTGACTCTGTTTCAGAGACCATATTATCATGTCTTGGTTTAAAGTAAAAATACAGAAACCCTACTTTATTTGAGGTTCTAAAGATACAAGTATTCAAAGACTCTTGAAGTAGGGGAAATCCCAGTATCCCACAGATAAATGATGCAATAAACTGTTCTGAATTTATTTTACTTTTTCAATCAGTACTTTTGCTTGAATTACTGATGCCATTCTTAATAGTTGGGATCATGCAACTGCTTTATAGCTGATATTGAAATGCAAAGGTAGAAGTAATACCCAAATGGCATCTTCTTTTCCTCTGTATCTTCTTGTGCTTCCAGATATAAACTCCAAGAACTGCCCCAACTACCAAAACGACCACAGAACTAACAGCAGCAACTACAATCACTATGATTTTCCCTGCAGAAGTAATCATTGAAAAACCGTGATCAGGCAAACTTCAATCTTCAAGTTCTATTTCTTACTAACACCTCTTTCCATGCCCTACTAGTTTTGTTCATATGCTAGTAAATTTAATGTGCTAAAGTACTTGATAAATACAGGGAAGGAGAAACTAGAAATCTTATTACCTCTTGAACTTCCATTGCCAGGAACAGGATTAAGGAAATTGGTTTCAGAGTATCTCATGAAGCACCCGGTGTTCAATGCCCGCCCCTCAGACCAGGGCAAGCATCTCAATATTGAACTAGATGCATTCTCCAAACATGTTCTGCAAGCACTTGCATTCAGTGTCCTCCAGCAATCAGCTAGAACATAAGCTGACTCATTTACAGCCCCCGACACAGCCACCTGAGACCTAGCATAGTTATTATTGTTTGGTGCATCTGAAACTGCTTGCAACACAGCCTGCCTTGCTGACCCGTGAAATGTGGAACTCTTTTGGGTTGTATTCCCACACAAGACCCTGTCTCCTGGCCCTGTATATTCCTCAAAAAAGCTGTAATTCTCACCTCGCATAAAGCAACCATCGAGGTAAATGCGACCCCCATTGACAGGGAAGCATTGAGGAAGAACAGTGCGTGCCTCAGCATAGCACAATACACAATCAAGTAAAGAAAGATCGCCATAGCACTGAGCGAGTCCATAATTAGTATCGAGTCCTGAACCTGTAACTGCTACTCCAAAACCAGAAGTCCGCATCTGTTCACTGATGTTTTCCATTGTCGCAACAAAGTTTGGCACATAGATGGTTGAATTGTGCTCAGGTTGATTCCCACACATGATCTGAACCGTCTGAGATCTTGGGTCTCCCAGTGATCCATCTAGTAATAGTAGAGTCATAGCCAGAATGAAAAAGATAGCTGGTGTTGAGAAAGTAGACGGTGTTGAGATTACTTTCTTCATTTTTGGAATGAACCGAGACTTGTGTGTTACTGGCTTGGATTGTGAGTCTGTGGTTGCTGGCAATTCAACAAAAATGAATGATTTGTAAGTCCAACTGTTCAAGCACCTAGACAGAAAAACAGTATAAAGGAAAAATGCTGAGAAAAAGAATAATCAGCAAGCCAACAGCATAACAGTGCTATTTCAATGGTGCTGCCATTCTGTTCTGCAAGATTTGAAAATCACCATCAATCAATACCCTTCATTCCACACGAGTTCTCGTTATCCTCCCATCACATTATTTGTTGGAGTCTTAACAAAACTATGATATTTCTCCAGAATTTATGTCTTAGTGAAAATACTTTATTATTTCTCACTTTTAAGCAGGGAAAGTAAAATTCAAGATAATGAGAGTCACTTAGCTTGAAGAACCTTTGTGAAATGCCTAAGTAGGACTCAGGATGTTAAAGCAAGGAAAGTATTGATTGCATTTGGCTCCTTCCTTGGGCAGAAGGGTTGTTCAACCCTGGACTCCCAAGTTAACAAAGGCAAGGGAAGCACTTACTAGTGTGATTGACAATAAATGCTACCATAATTTGGTTTGATTTCACACTGAACTAAATACACTGGTTTGATTTCACACAGAACTAAATACACTAACTCCACAGTCAATTTTGGGGTTCATAATGGCATCAGCTTGGTCTCCACAAGTATTTTTTTTTTTTCTTCCTACAAAGTGTTTAGATTTGCGTCGACTATTTCTTCGAGTTTAACGGCTGGCCACCATGACTTGAACTAGTCTAGAGCATGTTCCCAAAGAGATAAAGGATGGCCAGTCTTTAAGGGTATGGGAAAGAATTATAACTAAGACCTTTTACTTTGAATTACCAAAAGATAGACCTAACCATCGGACCACTTAAGCATTTTGTGTTGGTTTTTTTTTATGGAGTCTAGTTTGTATATGTGATTCGGATGATGACCCGACCCGAAATAATGTTGTGTGGTTTTTAATGGAAAATTTTCTGAGACTTAGTCCGTGGAGCGAAGGCTTGGGCCGATAGGCCCAAGCCGTAGCGCTCATGGACAAGCCTCGTGGGGGTTCGGGGGCAACGCCCCCGAGGAAAAATTTTTGGGCCCATTATACAGCCCAGTGCGTAGGACATATAAACCCTGTTGTTTTGGTGATTAGGGTTAATCGTGGTTGGTACAGCCGCTCTCTGTATTCAACTCTCTCAATAGTGAAATCCCTGCAGCTTCGTGGACGTAGGCAAATTGCCGAACCACGTAAAATCTGTGTCTTGTTCTTTCTTGTTTCTTATTGCTTTATATTCTTGATTTGTTCTTCGATTGTGTGTGTTTGTTAGTGAATTTAAATCGTGAGAAATCCCAACATTTTGGCTCTTGATTTGCTAGTTTGTCA